GGGGTGAGTTTGACTCCTTCACTGTTCTTGGCATGTTTTTTGGTTTTTAGTTTTTGTTGGTTCTGTTCATTTTTAGTGGGGGTCTGCAAAAAACAAAGTTTTTAGCTACCATACCAAGAGTAGAGATGTGACACTTGCACAATTTTACATGTCGAGTCCCCCCCTCCCGAAAGCTTTCGGCCAAGACAGTTTAAGCATTTTTGGTTAGTCGGCTAATCTCTCAGTAGGTCAGGCCGGGTCTTTGCGCCTGAGGCCACGCACGGAAGATCGTGCCGGGACCCTCTGCCGGCAAAAGCTTGGCAAGTTGAGTTAGCCCCTTTCCTTCGAGGAACACAGGTCCATTACAAAACTGCCTGCCATGGAAGATGCCAATATAAAACACCCCTGCGATCCAGGGAAAATGCGGCCCTCAACCTTAGGGGTACACCCTCAGGGGACAACACAATGGCACTTGACAGCATAAATTCTGACAGCTCGCGGGTGAGGGTGTGGGTGTGGGTCTGTTTGTATGTGTGTGTGTGTGTGTGGGCAGGTGTGCATGTGCGTGTGCGTGTGCGTGTGCGTGTGCGTGCGTCTCGTAAGCATAGTGTTGGTTCCGGGCTTTGACATGGCGCAAGGATTGATCACTGTCACAAATTTCAGACCTCCCGCCCCCGAGCACAGAGCTTGATTCTGGGCGCACTGTAATTAAGCCAGAAAGGTTGCAGCGTGCGTTGCTGAGCCCTCTGCACAAATTATATATAAAGGTACCTAGGAGCATGTGTTGAGGCAATTGAGTCGGGGCTTCAAACCGACCAATGCTTGAGTGGGTAATTAAGGGTAACGCGGACTGCCCGTTCAGTTTAGTGGAGTTCAGTTCAGTGGAGTCTGCGTGTGCCCCTGGGTTGCAGCTTAAAAGAAGGTCAACCCCAAAAAAGGCTTTCATTTCCTACTAGGGTTCAAAAAAGGGTAGGTTGTAGCCCTGGAGATTTGTTTCTGGCTCCACTGATGTAGTTGTGGTCGAATCATCTATGAGCTCCTCATGTCTGAGCCAGCTGACACGTCCGTCGTGCAGGCAAATTGGCGGCCATTGGCAAACTGACTGCTGTGTCAGCATGTCCCATTTGCCTGCCGGTTGCGGCAAAGGCTCCATCTGATGGCATCCTCTTTGTTCGGAACAACCTGCTCCGCTACCACAATTGTAGACCGACACCGAGGGGTCAGGACCACTCAATATGTGGTACTCTTGGTTCCCTGCACTTATTTCTGAAGTGCGCAGCAATTGTCCGATGGAGGTTGAGTTGATCTTACCTCTGTTTCTTTCCTGACAGGGCTTGTTGCCCTATAAATTACCTTGTATACCTGAACTCGATTCGGAGCTTTGTGGTCACAACACGAGACTGTCAGCCTTGGGGGACCTGCCTTTTCAAAGCCAGCCCGGACGATCCGCGCGCGCGGAGGGGATCATGTGCCGGAACTGGTCAAGCAGGAGACGCGAGCTCTGCGTCAAAATGTCTTGCTCATATATCTCAACCGCCAATTATCGTCTTTGCGCAGGTTGCAGACTCCAGATATTGAGCCCAAAAACTCTGGAATAGAGCAGGCTCTCGCAGCACATGGGTTGGTTGGATCCTTTGCTACGGGTCAACAGATGCTGCTTCGCACAGGCGTTTCGTGCAGATGGGAGTGGCCCACACAAAGGCCTCACGATCTCCAACGTCAAGCTGATTTTGTGCAGTTAGTTTTGCAGGACTTTGCGCGAGCTGAGGATTTCACTTGATGCCGGGGGCAGAAAACATTTCTCGTCGAAGGCGGCCCTGCCCCCCGCCCTTATCGTACCGCAATTGTCCTGTCATTTTTCCTCCTCCGTTGTGGCAGCAGGTGGAGCCATTTGCGCAGCGGGAAGATGGGCGACATCCGGAGAGGTTGGATGGATCGCTGAGGTGGGGTGAGTGCAGATTTTGGCAGGCGCGGTCGCCGGACCGACACCCTTGTCACAAGCGCAACGGTCCTGGAAAAGCCACGCCGCGCTCGGGCGGTGGCTCAGGGGCTTTTTTTGGGGGGGGAGGGAGGGGGGGGTCGGTTGTGGTCTGTTTTTAAGCTGGCTGCTTCCCGCTGCAGGCTACCCTGCAGATGCAAATTGCCGGAGATGCCTCATTTTACTTCAGGCTGGCAAAACACAGAAATCGTCCTCTAGATCCCACCAATTTGACTGCCAAGGGTCCACTTGGGATGAAGCTTGACCACCCGAAAAGGAACCGTTTGGTAGTGCGCATGTTCATGTGGCCAAGGCTGCTCGCCTGGCTTTGCTTACCCGCGGCCGTCAGGAGTGGGTTTTCAAAAATGGCGAGTGAAACGTTGAGTGCAGTTTGGACGCTTGTTCCAAGGGCTCAACACGTGGTCCTGGTAGCGCCCTCGACACGTGTGTATGTGTAGATGTATATGTATATATACATACACATATCTCGTCACATTCATGTCTTTTCAACACAACAACTGCAGTTTCATATGTAACTCGCTACTGCATCTGCAAATGGTGAGCATGTTGCGAGAACCAACGCTTCATTCTCAGGCGTGTGCCGGTTTCCATGTAGCATATCAGTGCAAATTGCTAGAGTGGTCAGCAATACAGTGAGGCAAGAAACTCTTCGATGGCAGCCGGTCCTCAAGCCTTTCCTCGGGGGAAGGGCTCCCAACCGCTGGGGCGGGAGTGCGCGCCGCCTCGCGGAGGTTCGTGGTCTACCTAGAGGCCACAGATTCCTCCCACCAGTTCAGAGGGAACAAGGGAAACCCAGTGGCCTCACTTTGTGGTCTGCCGACCACTCCAGCGGAAGGAGTGCCACAGAATGCGCATGCTACACGGGAGACGACTTGGCAATCCCCATTGGCAATTGGAACGTAGAGGCCGTAGAGACCCTGCTGGAGACGTGGAGCTTCCAACAGACTTCATTGGGGAGAGTGTGCACGAGATCTATCCCAAACCTCCGAAAGGCTGGAGAAGATGCCCCAAAACACACAAAGGAGGGGTTGATCGCCCACCAAACTCACGTGAGGCTTGAGTTGGGGACATGTCCAAATTAGCCCTGGCAGGCTGGTTTTCGATCACCCCCGATTTGAAGGATGACTGTGGACCAACTCGATGTTCCTCTTCCTCGATGATTTTCGCGTCACCATTTGGGCCACTTGAATGCAAGTTGGGTGATGTTCAATGGCGGAACAACGTGAACCCCTGTGCAAATCAGAGACTTGTTAGAAGAGACCTCGCGAAATATGTTTCCTTGCCAAAGGGGGGCTACCTCTGACCACGAGAACCATCGGCTCAAGTTCTTTGGGGGAGGGAAGCTCCAGCGAGGTTGTGGGCGCAGGCGAGGTGGGGAGAGGTGCGGGGAGTTGATCCCAATCAACCCCAGTTTAGTCATGTGGGGGTGTCCCTGAATTTAGCGGGGAGTCATCACTGATGGATGGGAACACCCCCCTATTAATAAACTGGGGTTGAATCATCCGGGTTCAACACTTGGTGTTTTTGCCTGGGGTTGGTTTCATTCACTTGTTGATTGGTTTTCCACCAAACGGGGTTGCTCCCAAGATCCGCTCGGCACAAGCGTAGATGGTAGAAGTCTGGCTCCTGGCAAAGGGAAACTCCGAAAAACCTACCACTCCTAGAAGCTTTGTCAACAGTCTGCTCAAACAAATCTGCGTCATCAGCTTTGCATGATTATGATAGCAATCAAACACAACTGCCCACTGAACCTCCCGCAGGATCTGGAGCTTCCGGATGCCCGCCGGGGACCAGATCTTGGGCTGGGGTGAGGCCACGGTGCAGTCGACATAAGCCTTGGCAATGGTAGCCTGACATGACAGGGGTGCATTTTGCCAAGGGATGTTGGGACTGAACAACTTTTTGCCAACTAATGGGTTTTCCGTATTAAACCACTGAAAGTTATTCACTTTTAGCAGGGGAGTAGAAAGCAACCGAGCTGAATTGAAGGTTTTGCTTCGGACCCTTGCTTTTCTGGGCAACAAGAATGAGATCAGCGAGCTCTCCCATGAAGCTCGCTTTGGGTCCAGAGGACCGCAGGGTTGTCCTTGTTTCCATTAGGGCAACCCATGTTGGGTAGGTATTTTTGACCCACCATTTGCCAAGTTTGGATTTCAGGTGCATTCTGAAGACTAAGTGTGGCCGGATATATTGACCATAGCTCATGTACCTTCTGGGTGACTCAGAGGGCAGTGGACAATACATGGATTTCTGTCCCAACGTATTCAGTTGGAGCGTGATGTTGGTACGAGGCATGTATATTTGCGGTCAACTCCTGGAGACTTCGAGGGCACGGTTGCCCATTTCAGCGCTGTTCATTTGGAGATCACCGATGTCAGGTTTCTCAACCTAAAGGTGTGGGCTGCTTGGAAGTATGTCAAGTTTGTTTCTCCCCAACCTCTGTTGCCCAATGGCGCCTTTTTTTTCTTCCAAGAGTCCCCTTTCAAGTCAACCAGCCCAAACAGGGCCCCCTTTCTGCAAATCCACTGGTTGCATCTGAGCAGAAACCTGATCCCTGAGGTAGCTGGTCTTAACAAAAAAAGCGCGTCACAGCCTTCAGGAGGTCCCACCAAAAGGAAGCTGAAGAGACGCCCCTCGAAATGCATCGCCCACTTTTTTGGAGCTTTTCAGGGAAGCCAACATCGGCCTTCTGGGGGTCCCAAACTCTCCTTTCCTTCCATTTGCTGATATATTTTTTCCCGGTGTTGCTTTTAAAGGGAATCTGTCAATACTGGACATATGTTTTCAGTTTTTTCCAAGAGACTTAAGCAAATAGAGGTTTCTGAGGCACCCGTTGCTTCTTTAGGCTCAGATGTTGCATGAAGCGCTTGTCGTGGGGACCCTGCTGGCCGCTGCCGGACCTGCCGCCCTGGTGATTCTGCTCTACTCCAGTATTGGCTTCAGCGACGATGTGTACCAGCGGCTCAGCGCGAAAAAAATGCCCAACACCGCCACAAAACCGATGGGGTGTCCGGCGTTTTCCATGAAGGTTGCACATGTGGCACTATAATAGCCCCACAATGTGCTCAGTGACACAAATCCACCTGAGGTCCGTGAGGTGCACGTTTGTGGATGGTCACACTCCAAACCTTTTGTGGGGGCAATTCCGATTAATGTTAGACCCGCTTTTCTTCACGGGGGACGCTTTTGTAGAAAGTGGCTTTTCCTAATTGAGGATCCTGCGACTGTGTTGGGGTTCGCTTGCATGGAAAGTTATTTTGCCGGAGAAATCTCAGGGAGAAGAGCACGGGCCGAAACAAGTGGCCCACAATCCACGAAAGCAAATCCGGGAAAACCGTGGATTGTCTTTTTTGAAGTGGTCCCCAAACCATCAAATTTAAGCAAGCAGTCGCACAAAGGGGGTTGCCCACAAGAGGCCCTGATTCTCTTTAATGTGACTGTTTATGGGGCTTGCTTTACTGTCCAACTTTTTGGGGGGTTGGGAATCTGAGAGCAAGGATGGGCAATACTAAGTTTGGAATTGGGAACTCACAGTGATATTCTAGGAATCTGAGAGTCAGTTTTGGCAATACTAAATTAGAATTGGCAATGCTAAATTAAGTACGGGGAATCTGAGAGTAAGTCTTGGCAAAATCAAATTCAGTACCGGGAATCTGAGAGTAAGTCTTCGCAATACTAAGTTTAGAATTGGCAATACTAAACTAAGAACTGGGAATCTAAGAGTAACGCTTGGCAATACTAAGTTTAGAATTGGCACTAAAGTAAGTACAAGCAAGTGCAAGTCGAGCCTAGACCGCCAGGTTTTCCACTAAAGAGACCCCCGATAACTAGTTCCACTGTTTGTGGGTGGGGGGGGGGTTGGAGACGTAACATTAAAGCAGACCCAACATGAATCCATCCCTTGTGTGTGTGTCTGTGTGTGTTTGGGAGTCTTCCATGGTAGTTTTTTGTTGACGCAGTGTGGTTCCTTTTTTGGGCGGTACCCTCTGTGGTGTCATTTTTGTTTTTGAGGCAAACCGCGAAAACTGGTGCTCCCGGCGCCTCCCGAGACAAAGGGTGGTCGTGGTTTTGTGAGGCTGCCCTGTTTGGGGTTGGTTGGCAGGGAAACCAAAAAGGCTAGTTTGGGTTTTGGTCCAATTGAAACATCTGGCTGGTTCTCAAATCAGGGAATCAGTTGGAATGCCCACAAACCATCCAACTGGTGGTTTCCTTTATCCAGGAATCCCAAACCCTGTTTCATTCCCAAACCCTCATTCCCTACTGTGGATGGACGAAATCCTGCACCACCTAAGAATCCCTGGAATGATGATTCCCCTGTAACTACTCACAAACAAGTTTTTCGTGGTTTCAAAGTGGTGCAGGATTTCGTCCATCCACAGTATCAACTGAGCTCCCAGCGAACTGGGAAGTAAGGCTAGCAGGGCAAGTTCCAGAGCTTTGGTGCCTAGCGACCAAGCTGCTGGCAGCTTCAGCCTGGCTCCTCTACTTCATCCTCGACATCAGCAAGGCGCGAAGCGGGGAAAACACAAAAGAAGGGGTCTGGCGAGTCTGGCGTCCAAGCACTGGGCTGAGTTCATGACTAGTTGATCCTGTTGCTCATACTACCAGGCACAAATAAAATTGACCTGTTTGCAACCTGGTGTCTGTCATGTTTCCTTTGGCCGGATCTGTTTGGCCAAGTGGGTTATCAAAGTCTAAAAGCTGTGGGATCCTTTTCTTCGATCCAGCTCACGTGTGGTTGACGTTGATGCCAAATACGATGGGACAGATACACCTGAAGAGAAGGCCGGCAGAGAGGGGGCCAACAACATGCCCTGCTTCTGGTCGAACCTGAAGCATTGCTAAGTCATCACTCACTCGGCTAAAATGCCATACCGGCCAGGCAGCAGATTGATTTTGTTGCCGGATCTAAGTAGCTGGTGTCATTTTTGTTAGGCCCAACGGAAACATGCGACTTGGCTCCGCTCCAAACGGGTACACTTCTCTCACCAGTCGGGTTGAATCCGGGGCTCCCAGCGGCGAGAAGCCGCTCTAACAAACCACGAGCCATGAGCGAACACGCGGATCAGCAGGGTATTCCCCGGCTGTTAGTGTTGGGGGAGGGAGGGGGGGGGGGGAGCCGAAATAAGCCCTAAATACAGCCTTATTGAGGGCTTAATAACGTAATAAGGGCTTATTTGGACTCCCTCCCCCTCCCCTCCCTCCCCCCCAGCCCCCATGAGTGCAGGCACCATCTTTCACGGGCAGTGTGGACCTTCAGTTAGAACATGTTAGAACACAATGGGTCAGGGATCCTTGTTCAGCAAAGGGAAATCCCCAAAACTTCCAAAAATTGGATCCCTGAGCATGGTGGTTTTCTCCTCTCTCTTTTTTTTCTTTTTGTGGGGGCGGGGGGGGGGGTCAATCTGGGGCAAAAACCATCCCTATTCCCGCTCTCAAGCGTGTCGTTCTAACATGGAAAACCGCCGGTGGTGCGGGTTGGGTTTTGGAAAGGTTGCTCTTTTGTTTGACCTTCAACATTGCCAAATGGCGGTTTCCCCACTCACAAGGAGTTTAGTCTGGGGTCACAGACCAATCCAGAAAAACTGATTTTCTGAAGAGAAGCATCCAACCGGAGAGAATAGAACAGAGCTACTGGGGTAGGGAGCACATGCACCGAATCTTTCTCAGACTCCTCCCCCAAAAAGCAAATTGTCCATTGGACGTGGGTCGACTCGTTTTCGGCGGCGAAAGGCGAAATCATGGCGGTCGTCGGGACACATTTTACTTTTCTGCTTCTTGTGGTTTACTGCTTGAACTCCAAATCCACTCGACTGCCAAAATATATTCCACGTTTGGCTCCCCAAACCCAACGTCACCCAAGAAGTTTTCCGCGGATCGATCCGATCCAGCCGCGGATCGATCCGAATCCGAGGCTCCATGGCGGGTGTCGCTGGGCTGCGGACTGGGGGTCTTTCTGCTGAGTTTGGTCGCCGTCACCTGCGGCCTGGACTTCCCCTGGGCCATTCCCTTCCTCTGCATTCAGCGCCTCGCATGCGGCTGGCGCGTGGCCCGTGGCGAACTTTTTGCCTTCTTTTTTGTTTCCTTTTTTTTTCTATGGGGGACGGGTAAGGGGGAAGGGAAGCTTGGCTTGGGCAAGCGGCTTGGGCGTGGTTTTGTTGTTGCTCTTTTTCTTTTTTGCGCCTTGGGGGCCGGTTTTTTTGTTGTTTTTTTCTCTCTTTTTTGGGGGGACGGACGGACGGGGGGAGGGCAGCTTGGGGCCCGTGGTTTTGTTTTGCTCTCTTTTTTTCTTTGGGGGACGGACGGGAAGGGCAGAAGGGCCGGGAAGAGGAGGATTTTCTCTTGGGGGAGCATACTAAGTTGGGAACCGAGGTAGGAACACCCCCAACAAGAGGTAGGGCCGTGACATATAGGTGGTTGAGATCATTGCTTTGTTGGAAACGGACCCGACCATTCATCCATGCAGCGAAATTGCTGCCGTAGCTCATATGGGACGGGCCGGTGGCACTTTCCTTTTCAGGTTTCCCGCAAAATTCGTTGCCCCCCCAGGATACAAACACAATCCCAAGTGCATCCGACTTTGGCTTGGCGCCGGGAGATCTCCAGTGGTGCGCAAGTTTGGAGGGGGTGACTTGGTCTCCCGAGTCCAGTACCAGAAAAAGGTGAGCTTGTCTCCCTTGACTGGTCCGGGTCTCAAAAACGAGGAAGAAGAGTGAGACGAACAGAATCCACAAAAGCCCGCATCCAACAGCAAATGGGTGTGGCTCAAAATTGAACAACTGGGGCAAACCGCAGTTTTTAGTCTTTGGTTCCATTTGCCAAGGTGCCAGGTTGGTGCATTTGGTTCACCCACCACCAAATGTCTAGATGAACGCGCAGAGAAGCGGACTCAAAGTGCTGCTGGCGCATACCTTTTAAAGCCTCGATGGGATTAAACTGCCAGGGCGCGGCTCTTACCTCCGTACGGGTGTTTTTTGTTTTGGGGGGGTGGGGGGAGGGGAATTGTCGTGTTCCTTTGGATTTCCCTTTTAAGAGCACCGAAAAGAACGGGAAACCCAAAAAATGACAGACCCACGTGAACTGAGGGAGGGAGGCCCGCCCACACTTGCCACTAGGGCCCCTGCCAGATTTCCTGCCTCCGAATGAAGTGTATTGTGGCTCATGCGATGATGATGTAATATATATATATATATGGTACTCCCCCCATGGACCAAGGCTTGGTGCGTTTGACCTGTATTTGTCCAGCGTTTTGTGTGTGTGTGTGTTTTGCTTCTTGGACTTTGTGTCAAAATCAGGGGTGTGCCATATATATATATATAGGTGGGCAGACATCCACAGACAAGTAACACGCACATTGCCCCACAAGATTCCAATAGAGACCAGGGTGGGCTGTTTGCTTGGAGAGCCCCTCGCCCAGGTCAAGATGTATCTATGGATGAATGAGGTCACTAACAATCCAACCATGTATTTCGGATGTAAACGATTCCTTGCACCCATAGCTATTTTTATTTTGAATTATATCACACAAACATGGTCCATTAAGATGGCCATAGTTGGGAGTGTTGGGAACTTGCTAGCTTCAAACAAATTTCCGCATGGCGGGTTTTGGCTTCGGGATTCCAGCTTCGTTTCTTTTTTTCGCATGGCGGTTTCAGGCCCTGGTTCTGGTCGTTAAGCCTTTTTTCAAACTTTTTCAACTGCCAGTGGGCAGTTCTCGAAGATCCTTTCGAGGCCGAGGGGTTCCGTTGCGAGGGGTTCTCCTTCTTCTCCGAGCGTTTGGATGTCTCATAAAACTTGCGGGTGGAATGGGGATCAAGCCTGCGAAGGGTTTCAGGTTGGGGCGCCTGGAATTTTTCTGGCCGAGCTGCCGAGGAGCAGCTTCCTGATGTGTGGGCTCATGCGCGTCTATCTTTTTGAGAGCCTCCCTTCCAAGGACTCGATTCGACCCGAGCGCCGAGTCCAACCGCCCCCCCCCCCCCCGGAGAAAGATAAAGGAACATTGAGGCGGGGGGAGGGGTCTCTTTGTGTCCAGTTTTGGGCAGCTCTTCAGTCATTACCTGATTACTGTAGCCGTTTTTGAGCCTGTCTTCGGCAAGGTGGTGTTCAAAAGCTACAGCGGCATGTACGGATCCCGGAAGGGTATGGCAGACATGTTGGTTCCTTTTGCGACACTCGGCCGTCTTCTTTTGGGGGATCTCAGCGACCTTACTAAAGCTTTTACCCATGTTCCATCCTTTTCTGTCTTATTGACAGGGGTCCAAGTAGGAATGTGCTCAGGATGTCACAGTTTTGGCCCATAGGGATTGTTCAGTCCGAGCGAACCGACCAGATCGATTCGCCGATAGTCAAGGTCCCAGAAGGTGAGGTGTTTATTCCTGGATCCTTGCGACTGAGTTTAAATGGAAGCATCGGGAACATAGGTGTCCTTTTTGGCTTAAGCTTAAACAAATAGAGGGCGATTCCTGGGTTTAGATGGGGTTTGTTCCATTTACATCTATTCCTGGAGTCTTCTGTCCCTTAAATAATAGTTGGTCATTACCCAAAATGGCTTTGGCTCAACAAACCGGTACCAACATGGAACCCTGGTAAGTGGAAACATGGACCAAAACCTGCGTAACCCCTCCTGTTTAATTTTGAGCCATACCCAAATAATGGGGTCATTCACCCACTTTAAAAGGGTGAGAAGGAGAGTCTAGGTTTTTCCAAAAGGCCACCGAAGCATCGGGCAAGGACTTCTTCACCGCGAGTGCGATGAGCTTTTGTATCTGCAGCGCATCCGTGCTGAGCTCGGCTTGGTTCGGTCGTGACTTGGGGGTGTCGGGTTCCTCTTGTTTGGGTTCGAAGGTCTGGGTCGAGGGCTGGTTTTGGTTTGGGTGTGGGCGTTTGAGTTTGGAGATGGTTTGGGGCAAGAAGGTGTCGGGCGTGGGCTTGGGGAGGAGACTGGCGACACTTGCCAAGTAGCTGATTGCCTCTTCAAGTAATGGCTTGTATTTGCATGGCTTTGGAACATGTGTTTTTTTGGAGGGAGGAGTGCTCCTGGAATCTTGCAACACCTTTCCATACGGCAGTTGGGGCTACCAGTGAATATTTTAACACAAGTAATTCAAAAAGAGCTTAACCAGAAAGCAGCAACACACTCTCCCAGAACTCTTGGCACCGACTTCTACAAAGAGTGCCCGATGCTGTTTTTGGTTTTCTCGAGGTTTCTTTGGTTTTGGTTTTGGGCAGGCTTGATCCAATGGAACTTCTTCTCTCTTCTTTTTTTTTTTGGGGGGGGGGGTTCCTCGAGGTATTTGTGGATTTTTGGAAACACGGGAATGCAATAGAAAATAAGAAAAGACAGACATTTGCATGCATCCCTCAAAAGCAACAGAAGAACACCGCAATTTACCCCGGTCCAAACAACGCGAAACATGCACTGCCACAGTCCCCTCTTCAGTTTTCTTTCATTTTGCAGGGGGTCGCCTCCTTTTACGGCGACCCCCGTTGTCTTGAGGGAGTGCCTGTCCGCGTTCAGGTGCTGACTCTTTGGACTGGCTGGTGGATCTCTTCGGAGGTGAGCGAATTCCCGCCTGCGCTCACGTCAAAGCTGCCAGACTGGGCGGACAACGTGGTGAACTACACCCTGTGCGAAGCAGCGGCCCCGTTGCATAGACCCGGACTGTGAGGTGGCAATTCCTTGCAAGATTCTTGGGGGGCAACCCTTTAGAATCGCCTGCCAAGACAAAAGTGCCTTTTTTTTCCATGGCCGCTGGAGTCTTTTGAGGGTAGGACACCCATGCATCCAGAGGGAATACGAGCGAGCTTTGGTGGATTTTTTTTTCTGGTTTGGGCAAGGGAAAACAAAAGCAGGTTCTGGTTGAAACAAATGTGGTTCACAATGATGGTTTACACAGAGAAGGGATGAGTTGTTTGTGTCGACAGACGCGAAAGGGGGGGCGGCAGTTTGTTTGCTTTGCTAACTCGCTCTCGACATGTTGCAGACCCACAGAGGGGCTGAGGCTGAGTTGTTCAAAAGAAGTCCGCAAGATCCTACCAGATGGTGGTGAGTTCCCTCGTTTTATTGGCGCTCCACTCCGGATTGCGGATTAGGACTAGGGTGTGCGTGTGTGTGTGTGTGTTGTGTGTGTGTGTGTGAGTTTTCTTGGCTTGCTTTGGTTCAAACCCGGACAGGCTTGCAATCGGCATACAGGTAAATGCCAGCCCACCAGTAGACAGGGTGTAGTTTGCATCCTTTTTTCCCAACGAAGGGATTGTTTGTTCAATCCATGGAGGCTTACCCCTTGCTTGTTTAGGAGGCTTTCCCCACGGTCAGCCAAGAAGCCACGAATCATGGGCTTTTATCCAACCAGTGGCTTGAAAGGCACGTTGTTGCCATCGACCTGACGGGTTGCAAGCCGCAAGCTCAGGATGCCGCGAGCCAGGCCGATGCCATCGGGGCATGTTCCAAAGTGAACTCCCTCGTGCAGTTGCAGAGCCTTTCGCCCCTGGCTGTTTCCTTGGCCTACGGAGTCTTTGCAGAAGCCAATCCGCCCTTCTTCTTTTTGTTTTTGCGGGCGGGTGCTTGAGGACCAGCAAAGGGGCAATAGAGCTGGCGATTTCGTCACAAACGGAGCAAACGAGCGACAAGATCTCGTTTCCTGGCATCACCCAACTTGTTTTTGGTGCGTTTCCTGCCATCACCCAACTTTTTCCGTGTTTTCCCTGGCAGTGAGAGATTTCATTGACTCGCACTCCAAAGAAAAGCTTTCTTGGAGAACTCTCAATGGTTCAAGAGGTGAGGCCCACCTCCCAGTTCACATTTTTTTCATATATATATATATATATTGTTTATTTATGTATTTCGCTCTGTTGGCGTTAAAAGGCTTTTTATTATCGCTGTTAATTATTGTTATCACTGTTTGTTTTTGTTTTTTCCGGTTGGTTTTGAAGGGAATTTATCACTGCCGGACTTGTTTTTGTCCAAGGGGCGCAAATGCAAATGGAAGAGTTGCGGTCGATGTTGAAGAGTTGTCTTTTTGGGAGCCCCTTGCGATGTTTCGGCATCCAAGGGCATCCAGTTTTACAGGCCTTCCGTGAGAATGGGATTCAAATCGTGACGGAGCATTGGAATCCACCACTTTCGCACCCTCCTAGGTCCTTTAGAGGGGCTCCCCTGTCGAGAACTGAACTGCCCCAAACCAGGATGCCCTGTTTTCCACGGCGGCTGGAGGTTAGTGTCACAGAAACAGGCTGGTTTTGCCATGGGATGGTGAAGGGAAATGGCACTAGAAAGGCGAAGAAGGGAAACCAAAAGGACGCCGAGCCTTTGAACCTGCTCAGTGACTAGTTCCCTTCCAGTTGGTTAAGAATATTTGTTATTTCCCCTGGTGGTTCTAAAGGGAATCTATCACTACTGCAAAATTTCCTTTTTCCAGGGAACTTAAGCAAACGGAGGTTCCCCAAGCAGAATGAATGACAAATCAACTGATGACCTCTTCTTTCCGTGGGCAAACTCTCTCTCCAGTTGAGATGGATAAAATCCTACAAACATAGGGATGTGACTATCAACTGGCGTGAAGCGGATGTTAGTTTTTGTCCATCCACAGATTCAGCGTACATTTGATTCCGCCACACCTAAGGAGTCTTTGCGCTGTGCTGCACCTTCATGCTGAAAGCCGACTCCTGCATCAAGCCAAGGCGCAAGTGCAACTGAAAGTCACTTTAAGTCCGGAATCCTCCTGGTGATCCCTTTTCTTCTCCCTCCCGTTGGTTGAGAGGTATGCTTGTGCAAGCGAAACAATGTCTTACCCGACGCTTGTTGTCATTTAGCTGCAGCGCGCCCAAAACTGTTTTCGAACTTTTGACATCTTCTCAAAGCCACACCCTTGCCATAGACGATTCGTTTTTTGCTCCCAGAGGCCTAAGGCCAGTCCTAGTCGCAGGCTTGCAGATGGCTTGGCGCTCTCCGCGGCGGAGCTGAAGGCGGCTCAGAAGCTCCAGCGTATCGTGCAGAGGACGGGAGAGGGCGTCTCAAGCTGCAAGCTGCAGCCAGCACCTCTCGCTCCCTGAGTTCCGGAACTCGGACTCTGCCCGGAGTCTTCTTCTGACCCTAACTTTGAGCCTGGTTGGTCACCCAAGAGAATGGGGTCATGGACCCATTTTTAAAGGGTCGTGGAGAGTCTAGGTAGTTACTTTGTGGGTCAACCACTAGGTCCCCCAGCTAGGTGCCCTTTCGCACCAACTTGTTTGGTTGGGAGGGTTACCCTAAAATAGACTACAGGCAAAAAGGCACCCTTATTCTAACCTCTCCACTGGAGGATCTAGATCAGTTTCGTGGTAAACAAACAGTCATCCACTCAGGAAGTGAGACACCCAGCGTGAGACACGCCTTTATTTGCTTTGGGGTCATCCACTCAAGTGAGACACCCCGCGTGAAATGGCGCTTTATTTCTGAACAGGACGAACTGGAAGCTCAAGCCTCACTTCCCGGAAAGGCGTTTGTCAACAAGAAATCTTGCATTTGTTTCCAGCCGATGGTGTTAGATCCCCACTCTCTGGGCAAAGGGGACTCGATCCCGACTCGCTTAAGTAGAAGCGACTGGTTTGGGAACCCCCCTTGCAAAAGGCCGTGTTGGGGACTCAGCACGCGGGATCCATGTCTACCAACATGCTAGCAGACCAACATGTTTAGAGTAGGGCATATCTATGTTTGAGGGGGTTTATGCTGATGCAAAGGATATCTTCCCTTTGAGGCGAACGTACTGTGGATGTACGAAATCCTGCACCACTTGGACACCATGGGAAACCATTGTTTGTTGATATTTGCAGGGGAATCATCATTCCAGGGTTTCGTAGGTGGTGCAGGATTTCGTCCATCCACAGTATGGAACACAAAAGCCTTGAGTAGCCAGGTATCACAGAAGGCGAACAGGCACGTCCCACCTCGGAGGATGTTTCTTCTGCTGGCTCTGGTGTTGGCCCTGGGCTATGGGCTGGCCTGCGTCTCTGCAGAAATCGAGCTGTTTTTCGAGGCACTTGCTCAAAACCCGGGTAGATGAAGGTTAGTAAGGGAACTTCCCGACCATGAATGGGTGCAGCCGCCTTGTCAATCTTTACATGGTTCTGGGTGCACCATTTAGTACAAGTTTGACTATGGCTCAATTGTGCGGTTCTGTTTTCCGCTTGGCTGGCAATCATGTTTACGATGGGAAATGACATGTGGTACCTGCGATGACCTGCGACAGTGGTCCCAAAAGCTAGGGCGCTTCAAGTCGAGGCACGTCCTCCTACGCCCACTGGTGCAGCAAGGACGGGGCTGGGCGAAATTTGGTTTTCTTCCCTGGGCCTTGAAAGGAAAATGTTATGGAGCCCGTACCCCCCCCTCCTTTAGCCCCCCCCCTAACCGCCCTAGGGATAGGACCCAACTACCTTAAGGGGGGGGGGTACAGGCATTCATAAAAATGAAGGGCAGATTGCTTAAACAGCCATGACTTGTGGAAGAAGGATCATCGACACAAGGGGAGGTTCAACATCTGTTCAACCATACAATGGACTCTTTTGTACTGGCCGCGAAGGAACAGGTTGAAATTGGTTTGAGCATACTCTCCGGTTGAAGGGTATGAGCTAAGCAGGGGGTTGAATCCAAGCCCTGCAGCTGGTGATTTGGTACGTCTTGAGCGGGGTGGGCACCATCTTGGGCCTCATCTTCCTGGAGACGGATCGCGCGCTATTGCAGCGCCTAATGTCGCGTGCCTGACAAATTTTCACCCATTGTTGTTTGTTGGTTACCCAAAAGGGTTTTCTCCAAAGGCTTTCATGCGCGTTTCAGGATATCCTTTCAATCCATTGCGTTTTCAGAATTCTATCACTGAACATATGGGTGTGGCTCAAAATTCAAGAGCCAAGGTTACGCAGGCTTTAGTCTCTGTTTCCATTTACCAAGGGCCCGTTTTGGGTACCATTCTTTTTCAGCCACAGCCATAGTGCGTTTCCTTTTTTTTGGTCAGAAGACGTCTCCGACGGAAGGGGATGCCAGCCTGTGCTCAGGTTGCAAAGCGGCTTCGGCAAGATGGTGCTGCAGGTTCTCAGGAACGACTGGGCCAGGGCATTTGCTTTGGGCGCTTTGAATGTTTCTCGTCCTGGACGGGATTCTAGGTCCCCAGCTATTGGTGCCCTTTTACCATTTCTTTTTTGAAGGAGGGTTCCCCTGAAATAGACTACAGAAAAAGGGTATCCTTATTCTAACCTCCCTACTGGAGGACCTAGTATTGTAAGGAAAGGCTTTTTGAGATTGGTTTTTGTAACGGTCGCTTTGGTTTCCTGATTTCGTCCAAATATTTTAACCGAAATCGGTGTCCTATGGCCGTAAAATTTGATTTTTTGACCGTTTGGTTCCTTTGGTTGCAAAACTTGGCCTCAACTACTAGACTGACCCCTTCCGGTGACGTGACAAGGCGCCAAAAGGAGCTTGGCTCAAAAAAATGAAGTAGAGATAGGGTCAAGGCTTGACCCCCAGGCTTTGCAACCGAGGTCTTGATTCCGGCGGTGCTGTTCCTGGACGTCCTGCGGCAATTGGTGCGAAGATCCACCGACCCGGACGCGGACTCCGACCGGCTGACGCCCATGGGCCGGTCTTTGCTGGACTCGCTGAAGCCGCTGAACTGCAAGAATTTTGCACCCTGAACGCTCTATCTATAGTGTGGATGGACGAAATCCATTTCGCACCACCTAAGAAACCCTGGAATGATTTGATTCCCCTGTAAATACCAACAAACCATGGTTTTCCATGGTTTCCAAGGGGTGCAGGATTTCGTCCATCCACAGTAGGTGTCCTTCTTGGTTGTTTTGGTCGAAAAATAGATGGCGATTCCTGGTTCACCTGGTGGTTTAATGATCTACCAGGGCCAACTGGTTCCCCCGAAAGGACACCTATGGCTCTACGCTGTTGGGCTGGATCTTTAGACTGTATCTTTTTGCATTCCCTTCATATCGCCTTTTAACCAGCAAATCGAGGGAAGCTGATGCAGTGTCCTGGTTGACTAGTCTGGTTGGCTATAGGTCCCCCAGCTGGGTGCCCTTTCTCACCCCTTTTTTTGGGGGAGGGTTCCCCTACTAAAACTTTTTTTCTGGGTGTTCTTGGGGCTGTGAGACCCGGCTGACCCCCGGCTCAAACACAAGCTCGGGGTTGAAATCGGGTTGGCCGGAGGTTCGCTTTGCCAGCCTCAAGGTTTGCGACCTCAAGGTTCACCTTGAGATGGCTGTGGTGGTCAAAACCGTTTTGGGATCCGAATTTGGTGGATTGGGTGAATTCACCACCCGTTTTAGAAGCTATTTCAGTGGTTGGATTGAATCGGATGTGCACTGGGGGTACGATTTGGTTTTTGACCCATGGCCAGATTGCTGAGATTGCTTTGGCGGGTCGCGGATTGAATCAATCACGATTGCCAGTGCTCATCGAAAGGGAAGCAACTTGCCAATACTAGTCGCAGTCTGGCGAAGCGTGTGCGTTTCGTGCATAGGGCAAGACCACGGCTGCAAAAGAACCAGGTTCTGAGTGTTCAATGATTCGGCTCTAAATGTTGCAAGTTCCGGAAACGAGGGAAGCTGTGCTATCCATGGTTTCAGGACGGTTTAGTTGCATCTCCTAGTGGAAATCGCCGGCCTATGAAGCTGGGCCCTTGGTTCCCTTGCTCAGATTTACCAAAATAGCGAAAGTCAGGAGCAAAGGGTGCCAATTCAGGCGTTTGGGTTTGTAGGGTTCATTCCCATCCTCTCCAACCATTGTTCTCTCCAGAAGCTGGTTGGCTTATGTCTGGTTCTCTTCAGCAACCACCCATTGTCCCTGGTGTTTGGTCCATATTCTGAAGAGAAGGATCCCTACAAAGATTGATTGCAACATGAGGGTGCGGCTAGAGAGGGGGGCAAAGACGGCTCCAGCAAATGGCAAAAAATCGCTAACAGGGGCCAACACAAACACCGAAAGGAGTCGTCCGCAAAAACCGAGATGGCCTTTTCTGGGGGGGTTCCAGGTGAATCTAGGTGGTTTCGAGGCAGTGGAACTGGACGGGGATCTTCCGGAAGTTGGATCTCTACTGCTTCTTGTGGCAGCTGGTGTTTCTGGGCTCCAAGTGCACCTACGTCTGCCTCTCTTGGCTGAGCCTTTGGCGTTCGATCATTCGATCTTGCGGGTTCAGAGTTCTTCGGGAGACTTGGGGTTTTGGGGTTTTGGGGTGACAGAGACGAGCTCTGAACTTGTCCCTCCCCCTGTCCCCTCCCCCACAAAAACAAACAAGCGCGATACGAACTCTAAATGTCCCATGCCCGCTTGGCGGAGCAAGTATATTTTGACCAAGGCGCTAAGGATCTTGTCACGTCCCACTCCTTTGGGAATTCGAACGGTTCTCAGGGAGTTTCACTCTCGGAATGAGGCCAAGGTTTTCGGGCAGGAAACTCAAAGTCATTGCCTTATTCTCTATTCTGAGAACCAGCAAGTCAAAGTTGCCTTTGAGGGTATACCCATTTGTTGGTGGTTTTCAAGGGAATCCAAATGGACACCACCTTTTTCTTTTCTTTTTTGGGGGGGGGCGAATCCTGAAGAAGCACGCACATAAGGGATACAAATTTGGGCAGGCAAGGACTCGATCGGGTAAAACGAGCGAGCCCATGAACGCTTGGGATTCTTGGTTGAACCAGTTTGAAGAATAGGAACTTGCCCTACGTGGGAGGCAGTGACATCACTTTTATCAGCCGATTGACATCCCGAAAGAGTAGTTGATACCCTTTTCTGAAGCTGGCTCGCAGGGTCGCAAACAGCTGCGGCCATGACGAGCCACTGACCTTCCCACCAGGAATCAGAGAATTCCAGAAAGTTGTTCCGATGTAGCTCCGGCTGTACCACTACATGCTCGTTCTGAGACTCGCTTAAGCGCTGTCACCATGGATTTTCTTTCCACTGCATGCTTGCCCAGATTGAATGGTACTGTATAGTTGCAAGGCTTATCATGCTCCTGTGCGTGAGCTCTCTTCAACAGATCAAGCCCAGGAATTACTTTCTCATCGATGCGGATCTACAGCTTCCTTCAGTCGCCGGCATGGTCTTCCTGGTCGGGGTGGCCATGTTCATGGTGCCCATTGTCCCGGGAACCGCCGTGTACCTTTTCTCCGGCGTCGTGTTAGGCAGGGACTCTGTTGAGTGAGGTGAGCTCTGCTTTGACCTCCTGATTGAGACGCAGAAGATACCGAGAACACGCGTTGCAAAGGAATTGACCCTTGCGCAGCGCTTTCCCGCATAGCTTAAAAGAATTGGGATTGACCAACACTTTAATTTTAGCAGCCCAAGCGGAGATTCAGAGAGGAATGGCGCGGACCGGTAGATACATTGCAAGCTGCGCCTTGAGTTGATGCTTGTAGCCGTATCCGGTTTATCTTCAATTGAAGACCAAACACATACACGGATCAACACTTAGATGGGCACCTGCTTCATGAGCAGGGTTCCTTGCATTTGGCCTTTGACTACCCCAACGGACATGTTTGGAAAATCAAAGGAAGTTTAGAAGGAACTTCCGAAGTACTGGGTGGTTGGTTGGTTGGTTGGTCGGTCGGTCGGTCGGTCGGTTGGTTGGTTGGTTTGCCGGCACAGGCCTCGCTTGGGCCTAGGGCTGTCTATTGACTTTGATTTGGTGGCAGTTGGGTGTTGCTCGGGGCTGGTCTCGGGTGAAGTTCTGGTTGCTGCAGCCTTGATGGGGGCGGGTCTTGGGCTTGGCGTTAAGGTTTCTTTATTGTCCTAAAGTGCCTCCAACATAAGACTCAGTTGTTCAGTGGCACCCTTTTTCCTTTTTTTTGGGTGGCTGCAACACTAAAAATGGTCCAAGCCTCAAAAAGGGTTCCTTTTTATTCCAGGGTCTCTGAACAACTGAGAAGAGTGAGGCCCTGAGGTTGCCAGCCAATGTGGAGAGGTAGATGAGGATGAGGGAGGCCCTGTGCTGAGCCCGGGCGAGCAAAAATGCCGGGGCTACTTACTGCGCAACCATCAAAAGGTGAACCAGCGGGTCGACCCCAAGACTCGTGGTTTTAGAGAGAGAGAGAGAGAGCAGACAGAAGAGAGACGAGAGAGAAAGCGAAAGAGAAAGAGAAAGAGAAGGAGCAAGAGAAAGAGAAAGAGAAGAAAGAGAAGCAGACAGGGACGGAGAAAGTGGAAGAGACAAGGAAAGAGACAGAGACTGCAAGAAAAAGACAGAGACCGAAGAACAAGAGAACGATCGCGACAAAAGGGGGAGAGAAAGAGAACAAGAGAAAGACAGACAGAGAAAGAGAAAAAGAAGCAGAAGGAGAAAGCAAAGGAGAAAGAGCAAGAGAAAGGGATTAGAAAGAGAAAGAAAAAGGCAGACAGCAAAACAGAAAGAGAAGGAGCAGGACAAAGGGGAAGAGAAGCTCGCGGCAAAAGACTCGCAAGTGCAACTGGCAAGTTGGCGGTGGCCTAAAGATAAAGGAAGCCCCAAGCGGCTAATCCCAAAGACGGGTCTAGGATTGAGGCCGAAGAATGGTCATGTGAATCTGCCGGAGAGTGAGCAGGATCCAATCTTGGGGGCAAACCGGTCAAAAGTCAGTCCACCTGGCCTTTCAGAGCTCCAACCATCCTCTAGCGAGGGTGTCCATTTAAGGGCCACTCGTGTTAGATTTTGTTTTACAAATGTTTTCTGGAGCCAGAATCGTGCGATAGGGTGCTCAGACCGACAGATCACTAAGACATGATCAACTAGGTACCCTCCAACATGGAGCCTGACTGGGTCAAATGGTGAGTTTTAATAGGGAACCACCCCAAAAAAGTGATTGGTGGACATGAATCCCCACCTACATGGTGTCCGCCATTTCCGTTTCGGGCCCCTTTTTGAGAATTCATATGTCCAATGGGTCCCAAGTCCCAAGCCGATGTGTCCATTTGGCCAGGAGTACTGAGCACTGTGCGGGGCTTAAACTTGCTGGCGGGCATCGGTCTGGGAGTAGCCGTCAGCGCGGTGGCCAAACACCTCGCCTGCGTGGGCCTCTTGACATTTCGACCGCTCGACCGCTCGACCGCTCGACCCGTCGCAGGTCGCCCCCAAGCGGTTCCAAGCGCAAGCCCCGCGGTTTCTGTGGGACGTGCGAAGCAAACTTCCCCCAAAAGCACCCACTGAGGTTGTGCGGTTCAGCCCCCTGCGGCAACAAATCATGGTCGTCCACCCTTGAGGTGTTTCATTCGTCGCCTTGAAAGGTGTTCGTTGTTGTTACTTATTTTCCTTGTCTCACGCATCCCTGTTTGTGTCCAGAGTGAGCCCACAGGATCGCGCTCGAAGGAGCAAACGGGAAGGTTTGCATGCACCAGCCCCACATAGTATATATAGTATATATATATATATATGTTTCTTGGCTTCGCTTTTTGTGGCTGTTACGCTCCTGGTGCCTTGTCTGCGCTCCCTTCGGACGCGCGAGGCCAGTATCTGATCGGCTATGTGGCGGGCAAGTGGGTGCATGTCCAGCGCCTGGTGGCGGTGGACAAGGTCCCCACTCGCGCCATGGAGATGATCCTGAACCGGAGGGGCTTCTCCCTGGGCAAGGCGAGGCGAAAAGCAAAGGCAACGAACGCGGGGAACGGAGCAGAAAGCAACCAAGAAACGATCTGGGCCTTTTGGAGTTGAGGTGGAATATGGCTCAAAGGTTATAGGTCCGAACCGCAAGAGAAGGACCAAACCCTACCTTGAACAACCCTCGGATAAAATGCCGGCCAAATAGGGCCTGATCGGGGTTTAGACCCTGCGGGGCGTTGCGGACCTCCGGCCCGCCCCCGGACACTTCGTTTTCGGAAGGTGCCCGAATCAAAGTGACCTCTCCCAGAATTTGGAGCACCAACTTATTTCAGCTGGCCTCGCACATAAAGGCCTTCTGTTTCCATGAAGGAAATTTGTGCGAGCTTGGTTTGTATCCCTTTTGCCGAGTGATGGGACTTTGGCCCACCGTTTGTCGGCCCAAACAAACTGGACAGCTGCAATCGGGTGCCGTTCTCAAATTGACCATGGTGGCGGGTTGTACGTCCAGAAATACTTACACTTCTATGTATACAATGATTATGTGCATACATTTATGCACAGATTTGTCAACATTCAGCTCCTTGGTAGACTGGGGGGCTGCATGCGTGCCACTGAGCGTTAAGGTAAACGTGAATGTGCGGCGACGCACTCAATAGCATTTTTCACGGGCGGACCTACACACTCCAATACACTACCCCTCCTGGGAAACCTGGGCGAACCTCCGACAAACACAGAAGGTTGGTGCAAACTAGATCCAGGTTGAACTGCGCCGAGCGCAATTTCTACATATTTTTTGGGACGCTGTTTGGGACTCTCGGTTGTTTTGCCTTCGGGGTTCAGCTTTATTGAAGGATTACTTGGAGGCTCCTTGGGCTGTTTCCCTTATCGGGTCACGCCTTGTGCCTCAACGGATCAAAGAGGTTTGCAACTCGGCGGCTTTTGAGCCAGAGTCAATCTTGGCGGCTTGACAGCCATATGGCCATGGGGCATAAGATATGGCTCCATTTTGGGGTGGATGAACATCCATTTGCCACCTATTTTGATGTTCACCAGGGGTTTTCTGGGTTTTGACCCTCCAGCCATATACCCTTGGAAGAAGCAGAAGTCCATGTGTGGAGAGGTCAACCCATAAGCTTTCGGAACCCGACCCCTGGAGGTGTGCATTCTAGTTGCCGGGCCGGACTGGCCCACCAGCGTGCTCTGTGGCATTTTGAAGCTGAACATTCCGTGGCTCAGTTGCAAATCCGCTTATTGCGTTTCTGGGGTACTGGCCAGATGACCCGGACCTCAAAAATGTCAACGCTTGGCGGACGCAAAAAGCACTCGCCATGCCTGTGGAGAATGGAGCTTCACGCCTTTAGACTCGTTCCTTCGCAAAGTTTGCCAAAAAACGATCAAGCCTTTGGTGCATTTTGCTTGGATGTTAGGACTTGAACTTTTTGCCAACTCATGGATTTCCATTAAACCACTAAAAGTTAAACTTTTAGCAGGAGAGCAGAAAGCAAGCGAGAAGCTCAAAGAGTTCGCCTTGTTCGTTTCTGAGGCCAACATATAGAGACCAAAGAAGGGAGTTGTTGACCGTAACCCCAGAACGAAGGGTTTCTTTGGGGATCCACCTTGTTTAGGTGTGTGAATTTCTATTGATTGATTCCCCATTCTTTTTAACCATCGTTCTTTTCAAAAACCGGCTGTTTCCCCGGGTTTTTTGATGGTTTCCTGAAAAGAAGGATCCCCGGAAAGAACGGAATTGGAAGCTACCCCTAGAGAATTGCCGTACGGTGAAGTCCCCCATGCGCGGGCAGCCATGGGGATTTCACCTCAAAGGGTTCCGACCGTTGCCCCCGCCTGGCCTCTTTTTTTGTTTGGGAGCCGCCCAAAATGGCGGTTTTCCTGTTGGTTTCCCCGCGAAAAAGGGGGGACCGTTGAAAAAGGACAGAACCCCAACGGGTGGTAACCATGATCATAAAGGGTAGGATATACTCTGTGACAAGGACAGGAATCATTCTGGCAAATTAGTAGAAGAAGTGCTCCAAAAAAAGTCAAAAGTGAGCTGGATCCCCTCTTTTGAGTCGGACCTATGTGACTGGGTGGAAAAAAGCTAAAGAATGTGTTCCCAAGAGGAAGCCACAAGGCTGGGTGGTTCACAGCCATCCCTTGCGTTTTGAGTCTTCTACGTTTTTAGAATTGAGGAGAGGTGTCCATTCAACCCACAAGGTCAACTTTTAGCAGGGAATCTGAGGACAGCCCAGAAGGGGATGAGAGTGTTTTTTTAAGCACCTGGTATTTTCCCAGAGCTGTCAGTTACTGTCAGTTGGCAACCTGGTGTCAAGAGATGCCTTCGTTTGCACCGTGGGAAGGTGCAAAAACCGGTTTTGTTTGTCCAATGTCTCTAAAGGATCCCTGGGAATGACTTTCAGGAAGGGTGGTTTTACCAATAAGAGGCCCTCTAGGCCCTCTAGGTCCCCCAGTGCCCTTTTTTGCCCTTTTTTGGGGGAGGGTTCCCTACTAAGATAGACTACAGAGAAAAAAATCGGGTACCCTTATTCTAACCTGTCTACTGGAGGACCTAGCCTTTTGGTCGGCGAATCGGCTGGAGTCTCTGTGCAAATTTCAGGCAGATGCTTCTGGGCACTCTACCAGTGATCCTGGTGAGTATCATCCCGCAGGCATCCGTCGGCACTTGCCACCGTTCGTACCAACTTAGCTGTGGGTCAAAACCAATGGGATCCCATTTTGGGGTAGGTGCACCACCCATGTTGGTCTAGTTTAGTGGGGATTGGAATGTTCACTGGGGGTACGGGATTTTGACTCATGGCCACTTGGGGATCCCCTTCAAAAGAGAACAAGGGAAACCCTGCAAATGAGTTTGGGCTGCCGTAATTACTTGCGGCTCTTTCAGTCCAGCAATTCTTTGCAAGTGAATCGCCTACCACAAAAGCCTTTGGCGCAAATCAATGTTTAGGATATCCACTACACCATACCAGGGGAATCTGTTTTTTGCAGCAGGCCAAGTTCTGTGATACCGTCGAAGTAAAAGTCAGGGGGCGATTGCGGGGTCATAGGCTTATTGTCCACAACTATGGCTTGGTGTCAAATGGAACAGCCAAAAAGCTTTGATTTGCCGAAGGTTTGTTGAACTGTGGGTTCCGACGAACTTGGTCATGGGAAATATGCCATACAGTGGCACCCAAAGGGCCAAAGGAAGATGGAGTTCCAAAGGAAATCCAACATTTTGACTGTCATGTCTGGGAAATATGGCGCCTACAACATTGGAGCCAACAGGGGGTTATCATTTTCATGATGGTGACCGGGCAGAACGACTTTTTGGGTGTCACCCAAATTCCACAAAGGACTCAAACCCAGGGTCGGTATGAACAACAGTAATTCAGGGGGATGGTGAAGCCAAAGTGTTTTTTGGTGGTCAAGCAAACATTCAGCCCTGCTGAAAATGCAAATCATCCTCGCGTCATTCCCGCGCCGTTGTTGGGCTCGTTGATGTTGGTTTCCACCCAGTTTGGCTGTTGAAACCTTTTCGCATTTTGAGAAATGTCCACTCATCTTGACTCGTGGCTCATACCATATTTTTACATGACAAGCTGTCGCTCATTTCACACATTGGCACGCTCATGGCAGACAATCATGGACAGTTAAAGATCCACTTCTTTGTTGGAAAGGGCAGGCATCCGTCTCTCGGATGTGACAACCTGCCAGAGGAGGCTGTTCCGTTGAGGAGGCGGTTCCTTGGTTGAAATGTCACTTGAGCCTAAGACTCAAAGGCAGATACCAGGAACTCTGGTCCGCAGAAACGCCAGGGGTTTGAAATCAGAAATGTATGTTCACGTCCCAAGCGTGCCAAGCGACACGGAGACTGATAATACCTAGGCGTTGCAAAGTTCAAACCACAATTGGTACTAGGTAAATGTGTAGACAAACTGCCACCAGGCCCATCTACTTTCCACCAAACTGACCAAAAAAGGAACACCTACAGTCCCGCAGGTGGCGGTCGGCGCTTTGCTTGCCCTACCGGATGAAGCGCCGAACGTCTCTGCAGGAGTAACAATGTTGGCAAGCATCCTGCAGGCAAGCGAAGGGTTGTCGTGAACCTCCCTACAGCTTGACTGCTATTGCGTTGGATCTTTAGACTTTAACTTTTTGGGAAATCAAGGGGTTGTCCACTAAACCCGCAAAAAGTTAAACTTTTTGCAGAGGGGTCAACAGCAACAAAGACAGGGGCCATGAGGGGCTGTCACTTCTCAAAGCCTTTTGGCTTATGCTAGGCTGACCATAGGCCTGGGGGTCATCGAGGTTGGCAAATATTCGCCGAACCGTTTGAGCGATTGCGGGCTCCCTATATTTCCTCTTTGCAGAGCTTGGGGTTGATGTTGAAGAACCATGTTAGAGGGAATCCGGGCAAGCACGGTTGATAAATCTGGGGTCAATATGAATGCCGCCTTCAAAAGGGACCCAAAAAGCCTGGATGACTTTAGCAATCCTGTAAAGGAGATGTCCCGTTCGCAGATTCGGGAAGGTCCTAAAAGAGGACAGCTGATCATATTTCCAGGGCTGCTATCAAACAAAACCTTGGCGGAGGGTGAACCGGGCTCGCCCGCCATTGCTTTTGACGGATGAATGACCAGTGCTTCATGTGCGACCAACATCTCCCGCGAGTCCGGCTTGATCTTGTGTTGGGTGCTGCCACTTCACCAGGGGAAGGCGTCCAAATATGGTGGCATTTGCTCAGGTAGGTCATGGCCGTAAGCGGTGAACTTGTGTGGGGAGGGTCTGGGGGCTTTTGACGGTTCAGGTAGGGGCCATAGCTAAGAGCTGTCCTCTCAAAGCTGGAGCCCCGTCATAGCGTCGAACTTGGCATGGCCCGAGCACTGAAAAAACTTGGGCGCCAGACTGCGCACGCATTGCCGGTGAAGTGATGAAAACAACTAGGTCCCCCAGTAGAACCCTTTTCCCCTTTTTTGGGCGAGGGGTCCCCTACTGAAATAGACCACAGAGAACGGGTACCCTGATTTTAGCCTCTCCACTGGAGGACCTAGACAAGCTGGAGCAAATCCTACAACGATGTTGACGTTTGCCAAAGTCAGCGGGAAAGCTCGCGCCGCCTAAATAGCATCCTTGTTGCTGTTCGTTTCAGTGCGTCCTTAAATATGGGGGAGCCCTCAAATTGGTAGGTGCCCTTTCCGTTTGCTGTTGAAACCATTTTCCATTTTGAGAAACGCCCGGCGGGTCTACAGTTTGTTTCTTTCGGATGGCAAAGTTCGTGCATGTGCATTCGTGGTAGAGGAGGCGGTGGTAGCAGTGGTGGGTGGTGCTTGTGTTTTGGTTCTACCAAACTAATGTTTCAACATTGTCGGAAAAACATTGACCCCACCAAGCACCATGTTCGACGTTTTGGAGGGATCAAAGTCGTTGAATTTCCCCCGGCCTTGCAGCGCGGTTTTCAGGTGGGTCCTACCCTGGAAGGTACGGGCACAAGCTCAGCGGTCTAAGTCGTTGGTGAGCCTCCCCATTGCCTTTTTTTGTTTTGTTTGACAGGCGCACAGGTTCCAAGCGTTTTGAGGGATATGGAGCTTGTGATCCGCTCAGCAACAAGTGGCTTTCGGGCAAGAGACCTCTGCTCCCGGGCCACTTAGCTGACATCGCATGCCAAGCTGTTGTTTTTTCCTGTGATCTAGGTGCCCAAGTGAAAACCGTCAGGTGGGTGCGACCATCTACGTGTCCTACCGCATCTTGAAGACGGCGGAAGAACACTTCAAAGATCTCAGCGAGCCCCGGCCGGAGCACGCGGAAGTGGCGGAGCTCAGCAGAAAAGAGGACGGGCGTTCCGTTTTTTTTTGTTTGTTCTAGGAACTGTGGCCTTTGTTTTCCAAGGGTCCTGAACATGATCCTTCTTGATGCTCCTCTTGGCTTTGAATGGAGAAAAGGCCTGCTTCTCACGGTTCTGCAGCATGAAATGATATTTAACCCAACATAAGTTAACAACTGGCGCCCTTTCAGGCCCCTTCTCTGAGTGGTTCATTCTGCGCCATTCCAACACTTTAGCTCAGCTTCTTGCATTCACCGCAGCGCATCTGCACTCACACACACTCAAGCTTCAGCTGCCGAGGGAGTGATCTCGCCGGTTCGAGTGGCACTTTCGAGTATTGCGATCGAGTGGCGGCTTCCCTCTAGATTCAAACACGAAGCGCGCTGCAAGAGAAACACAGTGCCAAAAGAACTTTGCATCATTTCTGTGGTTCGTCAGATCACCCATCGCCCGCCGTGGAACTGCTGTGTTGGCACAGGATTCCACGAGGGGCCTGTGCGCCCTGCTTCCCATTGGTGTCAGGGTAAGACTGACACTCAGCGCGCGCGCAGACGCAGAGACACAGAGAGACAGAGAGACACAGAGAGACAGAGAGACACAGAGAGACACAGAGAGACACAGAGAGACACAGAGAGACACAGAGAGACTCAGAGAGACACAGAGAGACACAGAGAGACACAGAGAGACACAGACACAGACACACAGACACACCCGCCCACCCGCCCACCCGCCCACCCGCCCACCCGCCCACCCACCCACGCACGCACGCACGCACGCACTGCACGCACGCACGCACGCACGCACCCACGCACCCACGCACCCACCCACCCACCCACCCACCCACCCACGCAGGCACGCGCCTACGCGCCCACGCGCCCACGCGCCATCACGCACCCACGCATCCACGCATCCACGCATTCACCCAGCCACCCAGCCACCCAGCCACCCGCCCACCCACCCGCCCACCCGCCCACCCGCCCACCCACCCACCCACCCACCCACCCACCCACACCTTCCACCTTTGGAAGCTGCACCGCTTGCACCGTCCGGAAACAAACAGTGACAGCAAAATACCTCGCATCCCTTTCTGTAGCTTGTTGGGGATCTCTGAAAGTTGTTCACTTAACTTCTTTTCCTTGGATTTGTTTGACAGCCCCACCCCCCATTTCAAGCAGGGAGCGAGGCTTGCTGGGCTTGTCCCTGGGGTGGCCACGTGTACGCTTTTGGTGGATTTAGACGAACCAAATTGTTGTGGGCTCAGCACACAGGAGTGCTTCAACAGAAGATACCTGGAGACATGCAGCTGGGGCAAGCTGCCCTTATCTTTGCGCTTGGGTATCTCAGATATGTTCAGTGCCGTGGTTTGTTTCGCCATGTCTTCCTGTTGTTTTGAGACGGTGGGTGCCCAGTTACACCAACAGAACAAGGCGGTGCTCTATTTGTTCATTATGTTGTTGGCAGTTGCGACAATTCTGGTTGGCCTTTGATTGAAACCTGACCAGATGTGGGTTGAATATCCAAGAGGACTGACTCAGTCTCTTTTGGGCCATGAGCCATGACCCATTGTGACGTATGTTCCATGCGAACATTTTACTGGGTTGTTCGAAATCAATCCTGGATCCTTATGCCGGATGGCAATGGCTCCTTGCTGTAGTGGTCTCCCACTACTGATTGCGCCAGATTGCGGATCCTCATTTTGAACAACCCGGTTTTTCCAGGTTTTGCCCGCCCTACTCATCCTGGGTATGCATGGGACAGGCAAGACACGTCCCACCATGGGGTTGTCTCATTCTCGAGCCTATGTGGGTGGTTTCCCTTCAGTTTTTTGACCCCAAGGGGTGAGGAAACCCCAACTCATGTGTCCACACTGCAAAGGGTCCTTTGCAGGGGATTGGCCCGGGATGCAGCCCAGTAAAAAGATGATAACCATGTAAGTACATTGGGGTATCCAAAATGCATGCTGTCTGAATTCAGGATATGTCCTACTCCCAAGGATACGTTCCTGATGCAAGTAAAAACAGGGGCTTTCTATTCTATTTTTGGACGTGCCCGCAGTGTTAGGATTGGCCAGACCCGCATAGCTCCAATGATACCAGTACTCGGCGGCACAAATACAACCTCATGCTAGCCTGGAATTTCTTGCTTTGCGTCAAGCCATGCCAGATTGCTTGGTGCTGAGTCACTGACCCAGATTGCTCCAGGTTCCCTTTGCTTTAAGGGACATGGCCATGGCTGGAGATCTCAACATAAGTTGCCATCTTTCTTAACTTTCTGGGAGGGAATGACCCCTCCCAGTTGCCCAGCGGCGCCTTTTTTCTCCCTTTTTGTGGGACAGGTTCCCCTTTAAACTCAACGAACTGAAAAGGGATGCCCTTCAGATTCCCAGGGCCACCTTGGCGCCCGGTCCGACTCAACGGCCCATGGTCAGAACTTCACGCCTGCTGAATCAACAGGTCAAAGGGGTCCCGTGGCCCAAATGCCTACAGGGTCGTTCGAGCACCAGTACCACTTGTGATCCTGTTGCCCTTTTAAAGTGACGAAGTAGTCGTCACAGGGATGGCCTCTTTGGTATCACAAGGGTTACTTTCCACATCCGCGAGGTATATTCATGACTTCTGCGACCTGTTTTTCGGTGTGTACAATACAAGCGATGGACTTCCTGACAGTGAGCAGATGCTTTCGCAGCTTCTCCATCACGGACCGTATCGAGGCTCAGGTGCATTCAGTTGCCAGACTCGGCACGCCGGTTTGACTAACACCTGTTTGTGCCATTACAACAAATGCCTGTCTTGGTGTTCCTTCCTTTCAACCAGCAAGATGTGGATGGAAAAGCGAAATCCATTTCGCACCACCCAAGAAACCCTGGTGTCTGATGATTCCCTGCGACAAACGTTGTGGTCTCCGGATTTCGCATTGCCATCCCCCAGTGGTCTTTGGGAGTTTAAGTCCGGCCCAGCCAAATGCTTTGAGGGCCAAACAGCCTTGATGTCGCCCTTCCAAGCATCCAACCTGATTCCCGGGTTTCTTGGAATCAGGTTGCCTGCATTTGCTTGGTTTGAAACAAATTCATCACTACTGGACTTTTTTTTGTATTTTTTCCTGGGGCCTTAGCCAAATGGAAGGTTGGATTGGTTCAACCGCTGCGTACCCTGAAAACCCGCGTCCCAACGCGAATCGAAAGGATCCGACCTTTCGGTTTCCCCTTCCATGTCATGGCCAAAGGCGATCACCCTTCATTTGCAGGTCCTTTGGTAAGTGGGAAAACCGTTGGGACCAAAACCGGCTGGTTGTTTTCCACTTGGGTGCTTGTAGCGGAATGGGGACTCCCCATGTCGCCATCTTCTGGTGGATCGCAGCGAATTTGGAGCCGTGCAATGATGCTGCCCTCGTGGATGGTTCCTGCGCGTTGTGCCTGGTTCTTTTGGTGGAGTAATTATTTACCATCTGTTATTGTTTTGATAGGTGTGACTTGCCAGCATGAACATATCAGCAATCATTTGATATTTGCGCATGAAGATGATGAAACAGGACAGCATGTTTTTTGTTTGCTTTCCGAGCAAAAAGAGCCGAACAAAAAGAGCAGAGACTTCCAGTGACAAGAAAGTAATCAAGGTGAGAACTGGCGTTTTTGACCATGCGCAAACACCCTCTCATAAACATAACGTAAGTGGAGTGGAAGCCTTCGACAAGAGCATTGGCCTTGCGAGGAAAACCGGTTGGGTGCTCTTGGGGATGCTCGTATTTCTTTAAGGCGGCGACCCTGGAGCAAATCGGTCTCTTCGACGTGTTTCGCGGAGAAAGAAAGCAGAAACAATGTCTGGAAACCAAGGGGGCTGCTCGGTTTTTGGGGCCAGGAATTGGACAGGCTCTAAAATCTCTTGCATTTACCAGGGGGTTCCATTTTTTGAGCCAGCTTCTTCCGGGGTTTTCCTAGGAGGAGTCCTTGGACAAGGGCGGCCTGGGAGGCAACGTGCTGAACATCATCCAGCCCTGGGGCTCCGGGGCTCAAGCTTCACATTTATTTTTCAAGTTTTGCAACTCGAATTGTCTGGCGATTCCAGGGGGTTCTTCCTTGTCCGAATTCTTTTCAACCATCGTTCTTCTCCGGAGAAAGAAAGAAAGAAAAGAACAAACTGGTGTTTGCCCCTGGGTTTCTGGAGGTGTTCTAGAAAGATAGATGTCTGGAAAGAATGGGGAAGGTACCCCGAGATTCATGGGTTTTCGATGTTTATGAGGTTTCCCCCTTTAAATGTGGGTGGGCATGAATCGTCTTCACCTTTTTTCCTGAGGTCCACGTCGGGTTGCCAGTGGAAGTTCATACCCATATCTTCCCTTTTCGGCAGAAAACAAACGGCTTTAGTCGGGAGCCGTAAGGCCTTTGCAATGTGTTCTCTTTCGGGGTTGGAAGACTAGGCAAAACCGAGGATGGGGGGTGCGCCACTTCTCCCCCAGTTCTGGGCATGGCGGAAGTGGCTTGCCCTCACGCCCTTGTCCCCCTCTTGATTTCTTCTCAAGGTTCCTGGGAATCTAGCTGCATCGGTGCTACTGCGCTGCGATGAACTTTTCCCCACCTTGAACTCTTTCCAGTGGGTTCCTGTTGCGGTAATGTTGCCCCCATATTTATCAACCCCAGTTTAATGGGGGGTGTTCTTGGGTTTAGTGGGGCATCCTCGCTCTTGGAGGGGCCGCACCCCCCCCCAAAAAAAATACAAAAAAAACAACTGGAGTTGATGAATATGGGGTCAACATTAGGCTGCCGGCCAGTAGCTCCTTTCGGTGCTTACGGTTGGTGACCCTTGGGGACAAGGAGGATCCGCCGCTCAGGTGTGGGAGCTCGTTTTCAGTTTTCAGCCTTCCCTTTGCCCAGTTGCCCAGTGGTGCCCTTTCTTCCTTTTTTTTTAAAGTCAACCAACCAAAGAAGGATGCCCTTTTTCCCCCATGGCCACTGGGCATCTGAGTTTGGGATGGCTTCCTTTTTCCCAAGACACCTAAGTGCTTCTGCGTTCGCCCAAACGCGCAGAGAATATCTCTAGGTCCCCCAGCTAGGTGCCCTTTTACTCACTTTTTTGGGGGGCAGGGCTCCCCTACAATACACCACAGAAAAAAAGAGTCAGGTACCAACTGATTCTAAGTCCTCTCTACAGGACTATAGAGATCTTCAGCCCTCCTTTTTTTTGGGCGCCCCCGGGCGGCCAGCCGCCGTCCCGGCAAGCCGAGGCGCCGCGACGCTGTGGGGCGCGCTGGCGGCGGTCTGCGCCCATCTGCTCTGCGGCTGCGCTCTGCGGCGCCTGGCGCGCCACGTAGAGCTCCAGGTGGATCCACTGGAGGCGATGATTCGATCGGCGGGCGGCAGTGGAGCAGCCAAAACGTGAAGTGGGGTCTCCATTGGCCGAAAAGAGAATGAGCATTTTTTATGAACATGTTTTACATGTTATATATAATATATTTTTCCATGTTGGTTTTGAAGCGGCACCAATTATTTTTCCTTGTTTTTCAGGGGTGGCTGCAACACTTAGAATGGTCCAAGCCTCAAAAAGGGTTCCCTTTTTTTTCCAGGGTCACTGAACAACTGAGGCATCCAAAACGAGGGGTGAGGTCTCCATTTGCTGATTAAGAATGAGCATTTTTGTCCATGTTGGTTTTGAAAGGAATGTATCACTACTGGATGTTTTTCATTTTCTCCGGGGGTCGAAAAAACCCAATGAAAGGTGGGGGAATATTAGAACCGCCGTTGTTTACCTCCCTGGCGCTCAAACGAACCAGTAAAACAATGGGGGGGGGGGGGGGGTTAATATAGCCAGCATTGTTTTCTTCCCTGGGGTTCAAGCGAAGCATTAAAACCAGGGGGAGGTTAATATAACCATTGTTTCCCATTTACAACACTTCACTGTTCTTGGCATGTTTTTTTGGTTTTTTGAGTTGTTTGGTTCTGTTCATTTTTACTGGGGGTCTGTAAAAAACAAAGTTTTTAGCTACCATACCAAGAGTAGAGATGAAGAGTTATCATCATCTAAATCGGGTCCTTGCCATTCTGATTTCGGGGCAAGACCTAGGCAGCGCATCGACCGGATCTGACCCGAGAGTTGTCAAACCCACCAGGTCCGAACTGGGGTGAGTTGAGTCGCAATCGTCTGAGCGGTTCAAAAACATATTCCACGAGATTTGTGCCCTGGGCTACGCAAGGATTTGGTCCCCTTTGGCATTATGGATTTGGATTGGCCAACCCTCCGTTTTGAACAGCCCAGATTGTCGGTGGCCTAAAGCATTTGTGTTTTAACTTTGGAGATGAAACGGCAATTGCTTCAGCCTTCGTGTTTTTTAGGGCCCCTGAGTTTGAGTGTGTAACAGTTCTGACAACCTTCCTTCTTTAGGTTTCCAAGGCTTGCATAAACCATTGCCGCCTTCTTTTGAAATGCTACGCAGCTGTATGGATATCTATGGATGTTTTTGGCTTCTGGTTGTTTAAGAGATGCTCTGGTCCTGGAGGACAAGCCGGAGGGGGAGGGAATTGCGCCTCGGCCAAAGGGAAGCGCCGGCTTTTTCTCATGGCTTTGGGTCTCATTACGATTTCCGCAAAAGTAGCCTTTTCCCACCTTCCCGCTTTGTCGTACGTGTTTGGTTTGTTCTTGGAAAGGCTGTGGGGAAGCTTCACCGGGGCCCTTATATCCACTTTTTGGGATGGATCAAACATATCGAGCATTTACAACGAACTCTGGCAGAAATGGATCAGCGCAGCTTTGATTCTGTCGCTCGTGCTGTCCTCCATGTGTAGAATCAGGCCAACGCACAACATGCCCACCCTGCAACAATGGTTGATGAGGGTAGTGGAAGCATTCTGTCGACCGATCCATTCTCACTTTGTGGGGACAATGGAAATGCGTAGTTTTAGCCTCTGGTGGAAGCGGGGACGACACATGGGTGTGACTTGGGCTACTTATTTCTCGCTGCAATCGAAAGGCAAAGGGGCAAGCAAGGGTTCACACCAACTCGCCTTGGCACTTCAGGAAGTGTTTGCAGACTAAATGGTGAAGTTTGGGGATGGGCGGGATTTGTCAACTCACGGTACAGGTCAACTTGAGCAAAGCAAGGTGACTCGCAAACGACTAGATGAGTTTCAAGACGTGCGTTGCAAACAGTTATGTACACAGGTGCCGTGATCAAAACACGTGCTTGCGAAGCATGACCATGACAGACATGGTAATCCGCCTTGGCAAAGCCCATAATCCGCACGCACGACTCTCCTTTCCCCCCCCCCCCCCCTCAATTCTTTGTCTAAGCTCCACATGGCTGGCCTCCCCCGCTCCTCAAATTTTGGTCTGGGCTCCACATGACTGGCACTCTTCGGGGAAGTGGTCACAATAGAACCTGCCATCGTGCACCCGTCCGGTCCGGCGTCTCCTCTCCCGCTGGGACGGAGCTCACGACCAGGTCGCGCGTGTGAAGCGCCCCTCTGAAATCGAGAGACAGAGAGCACGGGCAGTCGACTCAGCAGGTCAGCTTCATTGATGCTTAACCAAGTTGACCTAAAAGGGCGCTGATCACTACATATCTCTACACTCCCTCCCACTAACATGGCACCTCCCAGGGGGTTCTTTAAGAGGAAATTGATCTTCTAGGTACCTCCCCACAGGAGCCATGTTAGTGGGAGGAAGGGTATTCGTCGCGCCGTGTCTTTGCAAGTGCTTGCAGGCGAAGCAAGCGCCCAAGCCCCTCGCCGTGGTAGTCAGGTACTGCGAGGAGTGAGCGGAGCTGGCCCAGTCGCCGTTTTAACCCGTGGTTGTGGGAATTTGTTTTTTGTTTCCATGGCACTTTCTGGAAGAGGTGTTGCTTTTATCCTAGGGCCGTTTTTTTTCTTTTGTCTGGTTCCCTGGCTGGCTAGTTGGTCGGTCAGTTGGTTGGTCGGTAAGCTGGTTTCTGTAGAAGTGGCCGGAATCGACAAGTAGTTTGTGCCACGTTGCTACGCTTCCCACCACCGTGGACCCCTAAGGGGATCAAGCCCTCTCGGAGCCTTCTGCGGAGGCCTTCTGTTTCTTTTGCTCTTTGGGCATCTCTCCAAAAGAGAAAAGGGGGTAGTGCCCTCCGAAAGAAGCCACCAGAAAATAGAGATCCGTGAACTAGGTTCCCCAGTAGTGCCCTTCCTCCCTTTTTTGGGGGGAGGGTTCCCCTACTAAAATAGACTACGGAAAAAAGGGTACCCTCTCTACTGGAGGACCTAGGTGAAGTTTGAAGCGTGCGAGGAATTTCTCGATAATCAGCACAAGTGGCACGGAGAGGTGGCCATGAAGTGGCGCTCTGAGCGTTTACAAGGGAAGCCTTGCGAACTTGTCGGCCTAGTGAGGAGCTGGGGACCTGAACCAAACCCAACATGGGCGTCAGTTGTAACAACTCGAGAAGTCCAGCTAAACCACCCAGCTCTAACTGATATGATATAGCTTTTGATCCGGCTCGTCTCGTGCAATCTTTAGCGAGTAAAGTCTCGATGCAGAGTGTGTGTTCTCAAGATTCAACATCTCACATGCTGAGGAAGCGATTTGCGGGACTTGAACATCGTGTTGAATGTAGAGGGGCCATATGTTCAAACAGTCCTTCAGCAAGCCCAGGATCTATTGTTCTGGGTCTAAGGTTTCTCCACTCAGTTCTTTGGGATCTTGAAGCTTGAATCCAGAGGGCAGCGGGGTGAAATTATGGATGGAAACACCTCTATTCAATTTTCTGGCCACGCGCTGGCGCTCTGTTACTCCTCCCTCAATCTCCTGATGTGTTTACCAGGCCCTCTTTACTATCCAGCTTCGCTTCAAGCCGGATTCGAGCGCTTTCCTTGACACGCAAGATATGCATACAATGCCGGAAGTGATACCATTTGCCACTGTAATTAGGTCTTGTAGGTAATTAGACTTTTCTCCTCTTGGTTTTGCATGGCTTGGTTTGGGTTCCTTCTCAGTGACAAATGTAATCACTGGATCAGGTGCATCTCCGGGCCTCGTTTGGAGCTTCCGCTTCCCTCTCCGCGTTGCCATGGGCCGTGACTGGCGGGTCGTGAGGCTACCCTCATGTGGGCTCCATGTTAGCGGCGGGGAGGCGGCCTTTTTATTTCTGCCGCGGAAGCCGTCCAAACAGGACAGAAGTACGTGCCTCCGAAGCAATGTGGATGTGGCTCAAAATTAAACAGCTTGGGTTACGCAGGTTTTGGTCCATGTTTCCACTTACCAGGGATCCATTTTGGGTACCGGTTTTTTGAGCCACAGCCATGTGTAATTTGCGGCCCCAAGAAAAACAGCTCTTCCCAATTCCCAAGCCCTGAACAAGGATACTGAACAAGGGTGGGGTGATTGAGGGCACCCTCTCTTGAGATCCTGAGGGACGGTTTCATGAGACACCCACCAGAGTTGAAAATTGGGGGGTTCCAAGTTGGGGGCATCCGGTTTTGAATGACTTTTGAAAGGAAGGAGATATACACGACATGTTTTTTACGGTGCATTGTTCATGATTCATCTATGAACAACACAAGTCATAGAGAAATGTGGGGGTTGCCGCATTGCCTGACAAATTACGTTTCGCTTTGTAAGAGTGGTGTTTTATACGCCCCCACCCCCACTTTGTTTGAGTAGTTGCTATCCTTCCTGCGCAGGTAATTACCTGATTTTGACAAGGTAAGTACCAACTTTTGTCGCAACCCCTAATTATTTCGGGGCAAATGTGTTATGGGCGGCTTGTCTTAACTCTCCATGCGGAGTTTCAGCAGAAAGAACGTCACTACGACGATCGGCGCAAGCTGCGGACAAAGCGGAAGCTGCGGAGAGGGCTGAAGGGAAAGCGAGCGACAAATCAAAGATCCTTTGGGTGGATATGCCTTGTTTCAGCTTTTGGATTTCAAAAGGAATATGCAGACTCCTTTGAACATAGATGTAAATTTGATTGAAAATTGTAGCGCTCGCGGAAAATTGAGCACTTCCGGTGAATCCTTAGGTCACGATGAGCTTGTTGTTTGCAGGGCCCCTCCGTTTGTTTTGCTTTGTTTTCGGCTGGAGATTCGCGCTTCTCACAGGCACTCTGCGAGAAGGATCACAATTTTCCCTGTTTGTGGTTTCCAATTGAGCGGTTTCACTTGTTCCTTCAGATCAACCTCTCCCAGAGTCATGGATAAGATCCAAACCCATGTTTTGCGCTCTTGCTATGGGCATGTTATCTTGATTAGTAGGGTACTTCGCTGTTCGTGGCGTCCGCTGTGTTTTTTGGGTTTTGTTCATGTTTGCTTGGGTGCTGAAAGAGCAAAGTTGCTGCTAACATACCAAGCGATGCAATAACAGCCCGAACTTGTGACTTTGCGCCCTTTGTTTTCCCTTCACGAACCAATGCTCTCTCCGTACGCACGGTCTTCGGACTAACACTGAGGTGTTAACAGACCTCGTATTAACAGGCTCGTAAAGTCCATGGTCGATGTGGCATCTGGGAAATGGGACTCGATCGAGAAGCTTTTCATTTGGCATAGGTGTCCTTTTTGGTTGTTTTGGTAGAAAAATAGATGGCCCTGGTTTACCTGGTGGTTTAATCATCTACCAGGGCCATCTATTCCCCCTAAAAGGACACCAGCTTTTCATTTGGCCGAATGATCGTCCACAAGTCGACTCCGCAAGTCCTGGGCTCACGGATGCTCTCACAAACTCCAGAAGGATGTATGCAGAGCATCGCGGGTGTGGAGGCTAAGGATGTACGAAGCTTTGGTGGGCGCCACTTTGCTGGCAGCGACGGGGCCTGCCATTTTGGTCATCGCCCTCTACTCGGGAATAGGGCTCAGCAGTTATGTTTGCAGCTGGGTGGTGGAGCTATCTGCAACCTACTTCCCTGCTGTTACGAAATGCCTGATCATCGCTGCCTGGGTTCTTTGCTTTCTCTTTGATGTGGTCAAGGCAGGATGAACATTTGGTATCATCTCACAGCTTTGCCCTCTGCTAAAATCATTATGGCGGTCAAGAGTTAAATCAGGTTGATTTTCAGGAACCCCCAGCTAGGTACCTCCTGCCTCTTATAATTTAGCTCTCCCCAGACCCCTGCGTACCCTGGCTTCCCTTCTCGTACAGACTTAAACAAGGGATACCTGTTTGGTCCTTGATGCAACTGTTCATCCATATGTTTCTGCCGAGTTGCTTTGGAGATGCAAAACGAGCTACTAGCTCAACATGGTGTACCCTCCCACCAACTAACATGGAAGTGCAAAAGTAGGCCCTTTCCAAGAGGAAAGTAGTCTTTCTACAGGGGTCTGTGCACTTCCATGTTAGCTGGTGGGAGGGTAGGTCCTTTTGAATGAAACCCTTATTTCCAGACCCCCATAGCTGCTGCATAGCCCCTCAGGCGCCGTCGGGCGTTTTTTTGGGTACCTCCGCGGGAGTCTTCGGCCTCACGGTCTTGGGGCTCACGATGATGTGCTTCGAATTCCCCTTGGCCGCGCCCTACGTCGCCACTGGACTGCTATTGGGGGGGGGGGGAAGAAGGGGGGAAGGGGGGGAAGAGAGAAGGGGGGAAGGGGGAAGGGGGAAGGGGGGAAGGGGGAAGGGGGGGGGGGTTGGATCTTTAGACTTTAACCTTTTGGGGAAATCAAGGGTTTTCCACTAAACCCCCAAAAAACAGCTTAACTTTTTGCAGGGGGGTCGACAGCAACCAAGGCCATGCAGAGCAGCTTTCTCATCGGCTGCTACATGCGCACCCACCTTTTCACCGCGGTCCCCTCCAAGGATCTCTTTCAAGAGCCGCGGGGTACACTCATGCATTAGATATGCATATTACACATAATGCACACTCAAAATGACACCATTAGATGTGCAGATTACACATACACACACACACACATACAACCATACCGTAGGTAAGTACATGCACACAGAGAGATACAGACACGCAGACATACAGACGTACAGACAGACAGATAGACATACACACAGACGTACATACATACCGTAGATACATACAGACAGACAGACAGACCTAACATGCATAGATGCATAGATGCACAGATGCATAGATGTATAAGTTAGCCAGAACATGCATACATTCACATATACATACACACGCACACCCAAACACAGGCACTTACAGTACACGTACACCCTCTGCTTCCTCGACTATACTGTTTGCCGCCTCGACCACTAAAGAATAAGGCTACAAAAGTAATGCCCCTCAACCATTTCAAAGGAGAGCTGGAAAATGTTGGCCTACCTGCAACACCCTGACCTTCCTCGAGCATATTGTATTTTGTTTACCTAGGTCTTCCAAAGGTTGCTGTTTTTTTGCCCCCTGGCAAAAAACATGTTTTTTTTCGCCCGGGGTCGGTTTTTTGAGACCGGGGGCAAAAAATGGTGTTTACTGGAAAACAAGCAATTTTGCGGTGCAATGCAGCCTGTGCGGCCTGCGTTGATATATTCAAGCGAGCGTGCTGGCTATGACAAAGTAGTGTACAAAACTCAGCCACTGGAACATGCGTAACGAAGCGGCCCCGCAGTGTTGATCTGATCAAGTTAGGTAAGTGTACGGATTTGTGTTCGATAGTTGGACCAGAGAACCCTTTATGGCTCAGAAACTAAGCCCCAACTAAGTGATGCATTGACAAAAGTGGAGCCAATCAAAATCGAACGAGCGCAGGTGCAAGGCAACGGTTGACCAGAAGGAGACGAACCCAGTTAAGGTGATAAGCTAAATGGTCGGTGCCTAAGCCATACGAAAGGATTGAGCATGGTGCTAAGAAAACCAGCAACATGGGTTCTCTTCTCAATACGGAAGCCAAATATGTTGCGGGTCGCCAGCAGGACGAAAGGATTTGAACGTACATATTGACTCCAAGACTTTAGAGACTTTGGTGAGAGTCGTTCAATAACTATCGCGAAGACTATTTCTATCGCTCATGAAGAGCCTTTAATGAAAGGATGAGTCCATCATTCATGAAAATCTTCATGGGGTCCATAAAAGTCCTCATGTCATCCATGAATAATATTCATATCACTCATGAGAAATACTCATGCGATTGATTCAAAACTAGTAATGTCATTCATGAAGAATCTTCATGCGACCCATAAAATATGTTCATGGTATTCATGAAGAATCTTCATGCGAGCCATAAAGATTATTCATGCCATGCATGAAGAATCTTCACGCGATCCGCAAGGAATCTTCATGCAGTTTATATATATATATATATATGAATAATCTTCATGCGACCCGTCAGGAATCGTCATGTCAGTCATGAAGAAGCTTTTTGCGATCCACAAAGCGCCTTAATTCATGTCATTCATGAAGACTCCGATCCATAAAGAACCTTCACGTCATTCATCACGTCATTAATGAAGAGTCTGATCCATAAAGAATACATGTCATTCATGAAGAATATTTATATGCGACCCGCAAAACACATTTGTGTCAACCATGCGCAATCATCGTGTCATTTATGAAACATATTCATATGACTCATGCATGATCATACGCACGCCATTCATGAATTCGTGCTATCCATACGATATATTCATGTCATTCATGAAGAGTCTTCACGATATCAATAAATAAAGCTTGATTGTGATCCACTTAATATTCATGTCATTCATGAAGAATCGTCTTGCGATCCATCGTATATAGATATCCAATGCATGAATCTATTAAATTCACGTCTTTCATGACGAATACTCATGTCATTCATGAAGACTAATCATGCGAACCGTGAAGACTGTTCATGTCATTCATGAAGAATCATCATGCGATCCATAAAACATGTGCATGTCACTCATGCAGAATATTCTTGCATAATCTTCATGCGTCTCATAAATAATATTCATGTCGTTCGTGAGGAGTCTTCATGCGATCCTTGCAGCATCTTCATGTCATTCATGAATAATCTTTATGCGATCCATGAAGAATCTTCATGTCATTCATGAAGAATACTCATGCTGTTCATGAAGAGCGGATTCCAAACGGGGACAACACTGTTTTTTTGACAGTGGGACGGACCACCGAAATTTTTGGGGGCGGTTTTAAGCGGTCCGGGGGCGGTTTTGGCCGGTCTGGGGGCGGTTTTTGGCGGTGACCTCGTTTGCAGCAGCTATATCACAAACTGTTTAGCCGACGCCAACATGCACGTGAGTAAAGTGCGCGGCCATCATACTGGTGTCTTCTTTGCTTGATACTGGAATGTGATGATGACGCATTAAATTGCTGCGCAGCGGCAGCCGCTCGCCCAACACAATCCACGCACGTGCTAAAACTCAGCGAATTGAGCTTGCGTGCGTCTCCCAGCGGGCGAAGCTTAAACAAAGTCTGTGTGCATTGATGGCACCACCAGCAAGGCCTGTTTTCGCTTGATTCTGCACTGTGTGAAACGCGTGGCCTGCAGAGCATTTCTTTCAGCCGAGTGCGAATAGGTGACTGTGCATGCTGAAATACAAAAATAAATGATAGTATATAATATATGCCTATAATCCTATGCTTCGTCGACTATGATTTAAATAGGCCTCGTACAACGTGCATGTGTGCCTTGGCAGCGACTATTTTTCATATTCACTGTCTGGCTCCATTTTGGGTTCAATTTCGTTCTTCAACCAAAGCCACGCCTGCTAGGACAACCTCTCAGGAAACCTTGGGAAAGCGCGTTGTTTCTGCTAGCTAGGCTCCTTTTTCTTCTTGGTAGGGTCCTTAATTTCCCTGTCTGCGTCTGCTCACTGAAAGCCTTGCCTGTATTCTGGGAAATGATAGGTTGGCCTTTGCAATTTGCACAGGTGGCATAGCCAGTGTTGGGCTCGTCTTCCTGGGTCAATTTCATACATGCAGCTCCAAAGGCGACGTAACTCTGGACAAACCGTGTATTCAAAATGTAGAACACCGTGGAGCGGGCATGCTCTGACGTACAGCCATGTTTTTGGCAGGGGGCAATAAAGATCAACACCCTCATCCTACAATGGTTGCTGTGATGGAGAGAAGCCCAGGCTGTGTCCCGCTTTTCCAAGTGAAGCAAAGGGACCCAAAATTCAACAAGGTCCACCTTCACGCGCTGAATAAGAAACAGGATAGCAACATAGTAGCCAATACTATCCACGCCACAAATTGTCAAACATGTTGCTTTATATGTGTGTACAACTTTGGGATCCTAAGAAGCGGCCTTCGCGTCAAGGCTCGTAGCCCGTGTTCCTGTTCAAAATGGAGGCCGAAGCTAGTCGTCAAAAAGAAGTTTTTGTAAAATACACCATGGTTGTGACAGAGTGCATTTTTAAAGTAGGCTTTGGAAACATAGGGGAGCATAGCTTTCGAAGCCTTCGCCGTGGGCCCACTGTGATTTGAGTGGATGCTGACTTTACGGACTAGCTGCTGCTCTGGTGAAGTCAAGGGGGGAAGCTGGACGCGGTGGCTGGGAAATTTCAGCGGGTTCTGACAACAGCTGCAGGGTTGAAGCACTGTGCCTTGGCAGTTAATATTTGCTCGGCAATTCACGGGAGCTGAAAGGCTTGTTTACATGTACGCACATTTTTGCACGGAAGAGCAAAAGGCCGGAGCAACTTGGACAGTCACGACACGCATGCTGCGCAACAAACACAGAATTGCGAGCGACCAACCGTGTTCAAGTGCTACATAGTCGAGGCTGCTGGGAAGTTGTGTTGTTCTGCTGTTCCACGAGTTTTGTCAGTTTCCCTAGGGTCAGATTTTGGACCGCAGGGGCGCTTTTTGTAAGGGGGGGCGGAAATTATTGTACATAGCTCGGGGGCAGAAATTCGGCAACCCTGGAAGATACAGGTAGACCAAAAAGAAAGACAACTGCTACGGAAAAAAGTACGGCCCTACACCGCAAAATGGAGATCTCCAGTCAACGTGGTGGACCCGCGCGCGGAAGTTCAGCTTGCCACAGGGACCTGTGCATGTTGTTTTAGTAGCTTGCTGATCAGGTGTTTTTACAAACGTCATATGTGCTTTCCAAAGAGCAGTTTTTGGCTGTGGGAATGACAAAATAAGACCTGGGCATGTGACGCATGTAGTGACGCATTAAATACGGTAGTGTGCATGTTCCTGAACATGCAACCCACTGCCATCCTTGAACGCAGATCTTTCTGCTTTTTTGGCAAAGGTTTGATCACAAATTCCGAGACGACTGTTCAGCAGTTGGCTCAAGATATCGACAGTCCTCAAAATCCAGTGCATGCTCTGGATAAAGACATGACCGTGGACAATCCGTGGAAAAACCATAAAAACGCGTGAAAGGCTATTAAAAGGCGTGGCAACATAAAAACAAAAAAAAGCATGGACAATCTAGGATAATATGGCGGGCAACCTTCAACTGAAATGTTGTGCTTCGTGTGCTGTGCTGGTGGTGAGCTGCGGGTAGTTTTTTTTACCGATTTGTTCCCGTGCGTTTGACACTCCTGTAATATATTGGAAAGGGCGCAGGTCATGTTGCCTCCTCGGCTGAATGCCTCTATGCAAAAACATGTTGACGAAACATGGGACACGCAAGTGCTCTCTAAAGAACATTGTGGCGCTTATGTGCACAGCAATTTCTATCTACTTCAGGCAGCCAAATTGCAATTTTGAGCATCGGCGAGCTTGCAACATACTGCCCCAGATATCCAAGAAGAAACATAACGGCATGCAAGCTTCCAAATGTAGAATGTTAGTAAAGCGTAACATATAGCCTCTAACCATCTTATGGTCGAGCTACCTCAACCACACTTTGGACGGCCTTTGGAAGACCAGGGAACACTTAGGATCACTCATGTAGCAGAAGTGTGATATATTTGTAGTATTTGGGGCCAGGCTCAACAGTCTAGCTACCTCGACCATACCAGCCACCTTGGCGTTGAAATCGGCTCTTTGTTGCTCTGATTTTGACACGCGTTCCACCTAGGAACGACAGGGTCGGTTACCAAGCCTGCCAAAAGCTGCCCTGGGACCCCCTGTGTAGGCGGGTACCAACAAGCTCTCACTTGTACAATCTGTCCTGACACACATCACACACACAATACACACGCACGGGTGCAGCCGGGCAGAAGTTAAGGGCCAGCCGGTGTGTTGCCAACCAAGCTGCCACTGGCGGCACCTTCTTGTGTGGCTCGGCATCGCGGCAAAGGCAGTTGTTTTATGTTTTGTCAGGCTGCGCACACGAGAGGCAAAACACACGCGCACACAAGCACAGACACATGTGGTTGCGAACTTAGCACATGTCGATCTTGGTTCCCCAAATTAGGGACATTCTTTCAATATGAGTTTCAAGTGTAAGCCATTCAAGCTGACGTTTACGGCGAGCTCACCGATTTGGGGTAACACGAGCGATTGGATGTATTGTAAACACTTTGCAGATTCAATTTTAGGTGCTGCCTTATTCTACTTTTGTGTATGACGATGAATTTTAACAGGGAACCACCTCGAAAGCGATTGGTGGACATGGATCCCCACCTAAATATTAAATGATATCCACCATTTCGGGTCCCTAATTAAAATTCATAGCCATAAATATAGATATATATATATATATACATATTCTTTGAGGTGGGAAGTGTCGTTCGGATATATATATATACATACAAAAATACATATATATATATATATTCTGCGTCCCTACTCAAAATTCATAGCTGTATTATATCTATCTATCTATATCTATATATATATATATATATTCTGCGAGGTGGGGGGGTTTTCTCATTTTCTTTCAGCGCAAAAATAATGATCTCTCGAGGACTTCTTCACCGCGAGCGCGCTGAGCTATAGCATCTGCGGCGTGTGCGCGCTGACCCTGTGGCTGGGCTGGCGGATCTCCATGGTGAACCGCTTTCAGGAGGGCACGGAAGCAGCCACTTGGATGTGGGTCAAAATTCATCCGGCTTTTCCATGTGTCCATTTACCAGGGTTCCATTTTGGGGTGCCCCTATTTTTGACGACACAAAATTCATCCACCATGGGACCGCAGATTTTCCATGTGTCCATTTACCAGAGTTCCACTTTGGGGTTGCCCTATTTTTGACCCACAGCTATGTGAGGTGTGTTTGATTCTAGGGCTACCTTCCATTTCCATTCCAAACCCAGGGATCCGGATCTTTCCAGGAAACCATCAAACCCAGGAAAAACAGCCGTTTTTCCCCAACCAACAGGAAGGGGTTGTTAGATTTTATGTTGGAATCTGCGTTTACGATGCTTCTACACCACGCTCCCACCCAGTATCCCGCCAGAGCAGCTCGCCAGTGGATCCCGCCGAGTATCCCGGCAGAGCAGGTCGCCAGTGGATCCGCCGAGTATCCCGCCAGAGCGGCTCGCCAGTGGATCCCGCCGAGTATCCCGCCAGAGCGACTCGCCAGTGGATCCTGCCGAGTATCCCGCCACAGCAGCTGGCCAGTGGATCCCGCCAGAGCAGCTTGCCAGCGGATCCCGCCGAGTATCGGCAGAGCGGCTCGCCAGTGGATCTGCCGAGTATCCTGCCAGAGCGGCTCGCCAGTGGATCCCGCCGAGTATCCCGCCAGAGCGGCTCGCCAGCGGATCCCGCCGAGTATCCCGCCAGAGCGACACGCTAGTGGATTCTGCCGAGTATCCCGCCAGAGCAGCTGGCCAGTGGATCCCGCCGAGTATCCCGCCAGAGCGGCTCGCCAGTGGATCCCGCCGAGCATCCCGCTGAGTATCCCTTGCCAGTGGATCCCGCCGAGTATCCCGCCAGAGCGGTTCGCCAGTCAGTGGATCCCGCCGAGTATCCTGCTGAGTATCCCAGAGAAGCTCGCCAGTGGGTCCCGCCCAGTATCCCGCCAGCCAGTGGATCCCGCCGAGTATCCCACCAGAGCAGCCCGCCACCATGAGTCTCACCTACTTATAAGTGCTGTTATGGAACTTAAGATGAACTTACGGAGAACTTATGAAGTCTAGTTATAGGTGTACTTATAAGTAGTTCGTAAGTAGCGTAAGTAGTTTGCGTTCTGCGGACCCCTTTTTTTTGACGCTGCGCAGGCGCACACGTTTCATCTCGTCTGAAGCCTCTTTTTTTTGGACTCAAGGGATACGCTTTGTCGTTGTTCCAGAGCGAAAAAGGCGAGGGACGCTGACCCCCCCCAAAAAAAAAGAAAAAGACGCGCCGACCTTTTTTGGCTCAAAGCATTCCGGCGCACATTGCAGTTCAGTTAGTGCAAGCAAATCACGCGCTGACCCTCAAAGCGCCACCACTGCGGCATCAGCATGTGCTCCAGCAGCTATACAAGTCGAGTCGGAGAACCTATACACAAAAAGCTATAGAGCCAAAAAGATAAGCAGATGCACCAAGGCTCGGAGAACGTATACACAAAAAGCTATAGAGCCAAAAAATAAGCAGATGCACCAAGGCCCACATTTCGCGATTTCGGACAAAGCCCACCGACGTCTCACCGACTTAGCACTGACATGCTCGCGGCGCCACGATGCCCCTACCGACGTTCACCGACATGGATAAACCTCTATATTTTCAACAGACTGGGGGTCCACCGACACGCACCGACGTATTTCGGCCCAGGAATCTTCGAATCCCAGCCCACCGACAACCCGAAGCCGCGATGGCCCGAGACCCCCACCGACCCCCACCGACCGATCACCAACATTCGTGCCCCGTGTAAGAGGGTCCAGTCGGCTTGAAAAGGAACCGCCCCCCCCCCCCTCCCAGCCCCGCCCTCCCCCCATCCCCAGCGCGCTTTTTTCTTTTTTCCTCCATCTCCTCAAGTTCCCGCTCGCGCCGGCAAGATGCCGGCTACCCGGCTGACGCAGCGCGGCGGATACACCTCTCGATTTTCAAAAGATGACCCCAGATGAAGGGAAGAGAGGACCTGGTCAAGCCTGCGCTCTGGACCCGCGTCGCGCCATGCATGTATATATCTCTCTTTTCGCAAAAAGAAGGGTTTCGCTTCGCTCTGTGCTGCGTCCACTTCCTTAAAGAGCACAACGTTCCAGTGCCGGGAAGAGCATGCTCTGCGCGGACCCTTGAAAACAAATAAAAATCGTAAGTAGCGTAAGTAGTTTGTAAGTCTGCTAAGTATGTCCCACATAAAAAGCCTACGTCACTTATAAGTCCCGCCGTAAGTATGCTAACTTTCCAAGAACTTATGGTACTTATGGCATTTATAATTTCTGTTGCGGGTCTTATAACTGCTGTTGCGGAACTTATACTGTAAGTGATGTTATAAGTAGGCGAGACTCATGGCAGTATATCCCCGAGTATCCCGCTGAGTATCCCAGAGTAGTTCGCCAGTGGATCCCGCCGAGTATCCCGCCAGAGCGGTTCGCCAGTCAGTGGATCCCGCCGAGTATCCTGCTGAGTATCCCAGAGTAGCTCGCCAAGTGGGTCCCGCCGAGTATCCCGCCAGCCAGTGGATCCCGCCGAGTATCCCACCAGAGCTGCCAGTGGATCCCCGAGTATCCCGCTGAGTATCCCAGAGTAGTTCGCCAGTGGATCCCGCCGAGTATCCCGCTGAGTATCCCTTGCCGGTGGATCCTGCCGAGTATCCGGCCAGTATCGAGCCGGAGCGGCTCGCCAGTATTTTGCCAGTATCCCGCTAGAGCAGCTCGCCAGTCTGGTTTTGCTTACTTAATGTCCAAAAGAGCCGATGGGAATTTGGAGTCGAAGTCTCTAGGACGCGGAGGATTTTTTTGTAACGGTCGTAAGCTCGTGAGTGCGGAGGGTGGGGATTGCTGGAAGCGAAGTATTTTTGTTTTTTCTGTCTTTGTTAAGAGCGATGGTTGAAAATACTGGGGAATCAACCCCTAGACTGATGTAAAGTTGACCCCTTAGCACTCAACCCCAGTTTATTAATACGGGGGTGTCCCTTGGGTTTAGTGGGGAATCATCGCTTTTGGAGAGGAAGATCCCCCTATTAATAAACAGGGGTTGATTAGTATGGGGTCAACATTGCCCATTTTGGGATGTGTCAAAGACGAAACCAAAGGAAAAACACCATTTTAGGCAGGGGGTTTTGTGATTTAAAAACACTCAGGCAAGTGTGTGTGTGTGTGTGTTTGTGTGTGTTTTCTTTTGAAGGGTGTCCTTCATGGCCGTAACCAAGCTTTGCGATTTAACTTGTTGCCTTTTGCAGGCTATCCTTCGTACTCCTTTGTCGATGTTTTGCCAAGGGTCTAAGCCTGGCCCACAGAAGCAGAGCCAACTACGGTATGTAAAGTTGGTTTTGCTGACGGTTTCTGAGGACCTTCAGATGCAAGCGATTCGACCACAGACCTTTTTGTTGTGCGTAGTGTTGTCCATGGTGTTCCTCTTGTTTTTGTTTGCCTGAAGTGAGCTAAATCGATTTGGCCTTTCAGGTCTACCTTTTTGGTCAAGGCAAGGCAACCCTCAGAAATGATCACCGCTTATTCAAGCAGGCCCTTTAAAAAGTAAGGCCATTATGGACATCAACGAAGCCGTGGTGAAGCACGCCGCGTCCGAGTTTGGCCTCAACTCGTCTTTCACTTTTAGCTCCTGCAGGGCGCCTGGGCGGCGTTTCAATCGATTGAAACCGCGGTTTGGGTATCGGAGTTGCATTTTGCTTGGGTGTTAGGACTTTAACTGTTGCCAACGATAGAAGTTAAACTTTTAGCAGGGGAGCAGAAAGCAACCGAGGTATGTTCTTGGAGCTTCGCCCTTTCTTAGCAACTTTTTTGGTTGGGAGGGGTCCCCACTACAGAAGAAAGGGTGCCCTTATTCTAACCTCTCTACTGGAGGACCTATAAGAGTATTGTTGAGTTCCCCTAAACTGGGCAAATCATAACATTGTCATCGAACCCGGTTTTCGCAAAGCATACGCAAAATATAGACTTGTATAGCTTTCACGGTCCTTATAGGAGTTTCGAAATTGTGATTCAAATACTTGTTTTGCTTTCTTTCCGAGAATCAGGTTCAAAGCAGGTTTGTCGTTTGCATCCTGCTTTTTCCAAGTCGGTTCTTGGAGTAAGGGGTTGGAAACTTATGAACAGGAAGCCAGAAGATGGATTCCACCAGGAGTCCTCTCCTACCGACCTGCCCGATGCGCAGATCGCTGGGGCATGTGCCAAGTTGTTCAACGTGCTACGACTGCAGATATATTCGCCCGTGATGGTGCCGCTGACTTATGGTGTCTCGGAGTGAATCAAGCTTGTGTCGATCGCTCAACTACTCACAATTCTAGTGCTACCTTCCCCATTCTTTCCAGGGATCCTTCTTTCTAGAAAACCTGAGGAAACCCAGGGAAACGGATCCGGTTTTCGAAAAGAACGATGGTTGGAAAGAATGGACAAGGAATCAACCCTTAGAACAGCGTGTTTTGTTGGAACCGGGGAGTCTGGGCCATCCTCTTTTAGATGAACACACAAACGGAAACCTGGTCTTTGGTTGTGCGAGTGAGGAACAATATGGCTGTGGGTCAAAACCAATGGTACCATTTTGGGGTGGGTGCCACACTCCTTTTAGTCTATTTTAGTGGGGATTGGGATGTTCAGTGGGGGGGGGGGGGGCGGGTTTTTTACCCATGGCCATATGAGGTGTTGAAGTGTGAATGTCCTCTCCTATCAGCACTTTTGGTTTTAAATCACCCGAACTCCCCATTTCAATCAGCCCTAAGTGCCGAGCCCTTAAGCATCCACCTGGATTTTGTGAAGCTACGGAACCCTTTTGCCCTTTCATTATGATGCCCTCATTACGATACCCTTGCTGGTGACTAGAATCGAACCAAGCCCATGCTTTTTCGTGTGTTTGAAGCAGAGGCCTAGGGGTCTGACTCGTTTCGAGGCATGTAGGCACGTTTTCCAATTTTTGTTGACCAAACCAACACTTCATGTTCTTTTTGGGTATCCCATTGACATTCCAACAGAGGCACCTTGTGCAATTTGGGGTTCGCACCATATCTCTCCCACGTCGCCATGGCACCTAGGGTCCCAAGAGGAAACTTCCAGGTACCCTCCCACTGCCATGTGGGAGGAAGGGTGCAGGATATGGCTAGGTGTCAAGCCCAATGTCCGTGTCCTTCAGGTTTTACTTAGCATAACGAGCTCATCGGGGTCCGGGCGAAGGTTTTATTAGCGTGACTTTCCTAAGGAGACGTTTGACTCGAAGCCGAGAGAAAAACGGATACCCCTCAATATTGACTTTGCTTAAAGCGACTTACAACCACATTGTTGACGGACGGAATCCTGCAGCGCTTTCGCCATGGTTTAGAACAACCCTCGCGCTCCCCATTTAACATTAAAAGTTTGAGGGCCCTTGGTTGCAACCGTGTTGGAATGCTCCAAGTTCTGCACCACCTTTGTGTGAATGCCAACAACATTGAGAAGGGTGAACGGGGTGAGTTGGGAGAGGCTTTCATTAATTGTCCGGTTCACCATGAGCAGTGGTCAGGCCGAAAAAGGGATTCCCGTTTTCACAACGCACATTCTTCCCGAGAATCAGCTCCCCTTTTTTATGTTTTTCTTTTTTGGGGTTCCCTTTGTTTTCCACTAACCAGGCAATTTTTTTTGCTGGGGTCCGATTTTTCCAGCCTAGCATTGTGGGACCTCTTTTGGAATGATTGGCCTCAGGTTCATTTTTTCTGCAACACGTCCTGGGCATCAGCAGAGGTACATGCCCTCCCACCAAATAACACGGCACCTGTCCAAACAAAAACCGTCCTGCTTTGGACCATGTTCCTTTTGAATGGACCGGTCCCGTACGTCAGGTTCCATGCTAATTGGGAGGGCATGTGCATGGCTGTTGTTGGGAAACATTTTACATTTTCGCTTATTGCGGTTTAGAGGGAAATCCCACTGAACTGCCAACATTCAAATTTGTGCTCCCCAAACCCATCGTCAACCAAGTGTGCATTTCATACCTTTATCGCCTCGTCGCGATGCTCGGCAGGCATGGTGGCCGTGTGCTGCGTCTTCATGCTCAATGCGGACACCATGAAAGCGTCCAAGGTGCGCGAGGCGCCGTTTTTTTCTTTGGATGTCTCAGGTGAGTTTTGTTTTGGACTCCATGTTTCACCCTCCCCCCAACAGTGGAACCAGTCTTCTGGACCCTCTTTAGGGCGGATCCTGGGGGGTCAGGGAGGGACAGAAAGTGCTTTGCTATTGCCAATTCTACTGCCATTAAAGCCCGTCTCTGGACTTCCTTGGACATCATGCTTGGATTTCTCAGCGGCGAAATAGGCTGAAATATTATACCCGTAGAATGATATGGACTGAGATGAAGGTTTGATCTGGTGATGTTAGCAAAAACCAATGGCCCACGAAGAAGCAACTGCATAGCTGTTGGGTAGTACGAAACTAAAGGCAGGACAACCGTATGAACAGCGTGTCTTCGGTTGGTTTTATGGGAGCGTTCTTTTGAAACAATAGGCTTGTAGTAGTAAGAAAGATCGCATATGCTTCATTTGCTTTATGGCATCGAAGTGTGGCACATGCATTAATAGGGTGTCCCTGGGTGTAGTGGTTGGAATCAGACCACATTTGGAGGGGCCCCCACCCCTGTTAATAAACTGGTTGGTTGATGGATCAAAACCAATGGTACCACGTTAGGGTAGGTGCACCACCCATTTTGGTCTATTAGTGGTTGGATTGGTTGATGCTCACTGGGGGTACGATTTGGCTTTTGGTCAACCTCAAGCGTCGCCTCAGGGCTCCCTGTCTGCGGCGGAAGTGCAGGCAGCACGCGGGCTTCAGGCGGGCGCGCCCCAACCCAGAAAGGTTCTAGGAGCCCTAAGAACCAAGCAGGTTCGAAACTTTCCTTGGGGGGATCCGGTTTCCTCCGTCACGGTGCAAAAGAGGGCAACCAATTCCTTGAAGTAACGAGGACTGTCCGCACAACAAATCCCATGTAAAATCAATTGGACACCATACGCGTTCTTCAAGTTCCGCTAGGTGTGGGACCCTAAAAGTGCGTTCACGTTTGGTCACATCTTGCATCCTTGCCCTTTACACAAGTGATGATGGCGCGAACGAAATCCATGGGCTTGACCATTGACCTAGTTTTTTGGGACGGCTTATCTTTCCAAGACCCCCCCAACCCCCATTCGCGGAGCCCCACTTGGGATTTGGGATTGGGCCATCGCCTGAGTATCTTTCAGAGAGAGCCATCTCTTTGGGTTCAATCGGGTTGTTCTTATGCATACAAGGGTACTTAGTAACTGGCTCGTAGGGATACAACCAAGGTTACACTTTCTTTTGCAAGTAGCCTGCCTCTTTAATCAAGAGGGAAATCCTGCTTTCTGTGCCCAAGGTGATGACCATCAACGATGTATTTGTACATCTTATTAGATTTCCCCTAGAGGAAATTTATCCGCCTGAACAAAACAATCATGGGGCCATATGGGGCCCGTCTTGTTGTTTCTGCCTTCGCCGCGTGCCCGAGAATCTCGCCCTCGGATTGCCTATGCCATGGTTGTTGTTGCAGCCAGTGACGTGTTTCGCCGCCGTAGAACTGTCACGCGATTTCTGTTCCGGTGTTTCACATCATCCACGTGCATCATCGCGCACCATCGTTCACGTGTACACAAGTCTGGCCAAATGTTAACGTTCCCGTCCACGCGCATCATCGTTCACGTGTACACAAATCTGGCCAAATGTTAACGTTCCCGTCCACGCGCATCATCGTTCACGTGTATACAAGTCTGGCCAAATCTTAACGTTCCCGTCCACGCGCATCATCGTTCACGTGTACACAAGTCTGGCCAAATGTTAACGTTCCCGTCCACGCGCATCATCGTTCACGTGTACACAAGTCTGGCCAAATGTTAACGTTCCCGTCCACGCGCATCATCGTTCACGTGTATACAAGTCTGGCCAAATGTTAACGTTCCCGTCCACGCGCATCATCGTTCACGTGTACACAAGTCTGGCCAAATGTTAACGTTCCCGTCCACGCGCATCATCGTTCACGTGTACACAAGTCTGGCCAAATGTTAACGTTCCCGTCCACGCGCATCATCGTTCACGTGTATACAAGTCTGGCCAATGTTAATGTTCCCGTCCACGCGCATCATCGTTCACGTGTATACAAGTCTGGCCAAATGTTAACGTTCCCGTCCACGCGCATCATCGTTCACGTGTATACAAGTCTGGCCAAATGTTAACGTTCCCGTCCACGCGCATCATCGTTCACGTGTCAAGTCTGGCCAAATGTTAACGTCCGGTCCACATCATCGTTCACGTGTACACACATTCCCGTTCATACATCATCGTTCACGTGTACACAAGTCTGGCCAAATGTTAACGTTCCCGTCCACGCGCATCATCGTCACGTGTCAAGTCTGGCCAAATGTTAACGTTCCCGTCCACGCGCATCATCGTTCACGTGTACACAAGTCTGGCCAAATGTTAACGTTCCCGTCCACGCGCATCATCGTTCACGTGTATACAAGTCTGGCCAAATGTTAACGTTCCCGTCCACGCGCATCATCGTTCACGTGTACACAAGTCTGGCCAAATGTTAACGTTCCCGTCCACGCGCATCATCGTTCACGTGTATACAAGTCTGGCCAAATGTTAACGTTCCCGTCCACGCGCATCATCGTTCACGTGTATACAAGTCTGGCCAAATGTTTTCGTTCCCGTCCACGCGCATCATCGTTCACGTGTATACAAGTCTGGCCAGCATGCACAAAGATCTCGAAAGCGAGCTCATTGGAGCCATGTGGGCCGAGGATTAGAAAAAAAGTGCTCAAGAGTCGAAGTTTTTCAAACAAGAGGCGGAGAAACTGCCTTTTGTGAGCAAGTGCAGAATGTGCCACGAATACCATTGTTTTGAAGGGTTTGCATGCTTCTTGCTGTGTTGAAAATGCATTTTTAGCCACGCAGGCCATGGTTTTCAGAGCTGCATTGACATGATTGGTTGAAGCAATTGCTAGTTTTCCTTGCGCCTGCCAGTGATTTGGGAACGTTGTACTTTGATGACTGGTTTGAGCCCTTTCGCAAAATCGCCGACCTTTCACGGCGGCGAAACACGCGGATACCTTGTTGCACATGCACCGATTCTTTCTCAGACTCCTCCCCCCAAAAGCAAAACGTCCATTGGACGACTCCTTTTCGGCGGCCAAGGGCAAAATCATGGTTGTTGTTGGGAAACACTTTGCGGATTTGCTTGTTGTGGTTTAGTGGGTAATTTAAACACTTAACTGCTCAAATCTAGTTTGTTTTGTTCCCCTTTCAACGTCAACCAAGATGGCTGGGCTTGGTGTCCTTGCGGCGAAGTGGAAACGTACACATGACACGCTGACAAGTCACGATCTGAAATCAGGACATCCCAAGTGGGGAACCTTTGAACCTTCACAGAGGCTGCAAACGGTTTCAAGAGCTCCCAACCCAAGGGGAAGGGGGTCGCTTTCAGTTTTACGAATGTGCTCAAGTTTTCCCGGGTGCCGAAGGAAACCTAAACACATTGCATTAGTTTGTTGCACAAGGAACGAAAGTAAAGATCAATGCGTGTGTGTCAGTTCAGAAAAAGGAACTATACTGGTTTTGTGCCAGTTCATCCCTGTTTTTGTGCCAAAACGCCGACGCTAGATGTATGTCCCCTGGTTGATTTGCATGAGGAAGCTTGGTGGCTCCCAGCCATAGTGGTAGTTTCCATTTCACCCAGGAAAAGTTAGTCACTTGTAGCGGGGGATCAGAAATCGGGCAGAGGAAGGCGTTCCCTTCACAGCGAACCAACTTTTCACAGCCTCTTTTTGGTTCCAGGGCATTCTGCGGCGCATGTTCCTGGTCTTGGCCGTGGCGGCCGCGCTGGCCTACGGAGCCTCCGCTTCGAAGAAAGCCCCTGGAGTTCTGGTGGCTTTGCTCTAGGTCTACCATGGGTTCTACGCCTGTGTCCTACAACTTCTTGCATTTCCCCTAAAACCATGGGTTCTGCGCCTGGTTCCTAGTTTACCCTTGGCTTTTTTTGTTTTTTTTGTTTGGTCTGCCATGGTTTCGCGCAGATTTGTTTTCTAGTTGACTGGCTTTGTAACGTTTCTTGGGTGCGTTTCCTCTCGCAATATGGCTGGGGCAGGTTCGAGAGCTCACTGGTTCCCATCTACAAACTGCCTACTTTTGTTTGTTTGCTTCTTCCGGGAGTTTTTCAGATGAGGGAAGAGACAGGTAAAAGAAATCAAGCAAACATCATATGGCTGTGGGTCAAAACCAATGGTACCATTTTGGGGTAGATCCACCACCCATTTTAGTCTATTTTAGTGGGGATTGCGATGTTTACTGGGGGTACGATTTGGCTTTTGATCCATGGCCATACTGTACTGTTCTCCAAGCAGTGAATATGCTGCTGTCTGACGCACGGCTGCGCCTTGCTTGGCAGGTCCAAGCCTCACAGCCTCGTGAATAGCTCCGATTCGAGTTCGGGGGGGGGGTTCAAGGTCATGTAACGGCAAGAAGTCTGTAAGGAAAGAGAGCCATTTGCTGTCCGTGCCTTCTAGAGTTAGCAAGGGAAGTGGACATAAGATCAACTCGACCTGATTGCTTTGCAATTCAGACATAGGAGTGGTCCTGACCCCTCGGTGTCGGTCCACCACTGCGGTAGAGAGCAAGTCTTTTCAGAAAAAGGAGGATGTCATCAGATGCAGAAGCTTTCTTCGAAGTTTGCCGCAACCGGCAGGCAAATGGGACATGCTGACACCGCAGTCAGCCTGCCAATGGCCGCCAATTTGCCTGTGCGACGGACGTGTCAGCTGGCTCAGATATGAGGAACTCTTCCTGAAGGGGACTACGCATGCGTATCTTTTGCGTGTCTTTACCACCTCCTCAATGCTTAACCATGGGAGAACCAACAACGAGTTCCTCATCTAAGTTTGAGACGTTGCTTTGGAGACTGAGGGCCGCGTAGAGCCCATGCGAATCTGAATTATCCTGAGTGACACGCTTCGGCAGTATGTGAAAACGCGTTGTTCTTTCAGAGGTCACCTGGTAGCCCAAGTCTTCATCATCCAGAGCGAGCGCACTGACCAACAACGAGAGAGATTGGTCAGCGCAATGCCATGGAAAAAACATTCCGCCCGAAAGCTTTGGATATGAAATGTTGAAGGCGCAGTGTCACAGGCTCTTCATCATCACGAGCACAACAGTATAAGACCCTAACCTTCGAGAAGGTGGAGGAACAAGTCTTGGGCGTGGAGAATCCGCTGGTTTTGGGTTGAAGATGAAGAAGGCAACAAGGGCTTTGTCGGGAACGAGGACAAAGAAGCAGTTTGGGTCCTTGAAGATCACGATGTTCTCGCAGTCAGAAGAGTGTCCGGGCGAAGTTCGACAACAGGAAGAAGAAGCAGTTGCCCACCTTCCAGGTGAGCAGGCAGGCGGAAAGCGCACAGCAGCGACAAAAGCAACCGTTCCGAGACTTGCGCAGTGTCATCAGAGCGCTCAGGCCTTTCCAGAAATGGAGACCTTCTCACGCAGTGTAAGGAGCGGAAGATCGTTGACGCGTTGAAAGCATCAACTAGGGAGAAAGTTGCTGAAGAAAGTAAAGCAGAGAATCGCAAGAGACGACAAGACGACCACCCACCGGTGAAGATTCAGATAACAGCTATGTCTCAGCAGCGTCATCCATCAAGTCAGAGACGTACCAGAAGCTTCCAGACAAGCAATACATATGATCCGCGCAAGAAGGAGGACACCAAGAATGTCACGGAAACTTTTGTTGGCAATCCATGCTTCATCAGCAGAGGCAAGAAGGACTGCGATGAAGAGCGCGAGCGTTCCCGCAGGATGTGCTCTGGAATTTGAAACAACATTCGGAAGATCCAAGTTCACTGCGGGACACGCGTACGATGGCCGAGAATGATTCACTGGAGCGCTTGGCCTTTTTTCAGGGCGATTCTCAAGAACCTTCGGTGAAAACATTCAGAAAGAACCAGCCTGATTCAGGATGTCCGACCAGGCTACCGAGCGGTTCTCAAAGCATGACAATCTCGACAAGATCATGTTCTATGTTCAGACCTGCGATTCTCCCTTCCAGTCCTCGAACAGGAACTGGAACTTCACGTGAGACATCAGCCGACACGCAAAGATACGTTGCAAGGCAATTTGCATGGGATCATGTCTTTGAATACTGAATACTGCGCGCGTGGCAAGAAAGGAGCGGCGGAAGATGACGCACGCCGTTTCGTTCCAGCAAGAATAGTTGTTAGACAGCGAGGTGCTCAAGCAACCGGATGCGCTGCGAAAAGAGGTCAGACAACACAAGTGGAGCTTGTGAGGCACTACCACTGTCACGCCTGGAGCCGAACATGCAAAGCTGCAAAGCTGTAATAGTAGTAAGGCACGGTGTCCAGATCGTGGTGCCGCGGGGCGGGTCGCTCATTCCGACTGCGCAGGCTCGCACGAAACGGTCTGCTGGGCGACCCCTGTTTCCGAGCAACGTTCTCGCTGCGGCGCTTCCGGAAATGGACGCTTGCCGCGCCTCTGCGGACATTGGACGAGTTGGACCGCTCACGCTTGTGGCGCGATTCGCTTTCGCTGTGGCACAGCGCGCAGTCTGAACCTTTGAGAGTGGCCCTCTGCAGGCATTGGGTGGGTCGGGTCGCTCTGGTTGTGGCGCGGTGCGAATTTTCCTTTATAAGCAAGCGCGCGAACCACTGAGCTTCTTCTAGGGCGACCTTTTGCGTTCTTAGGGATCCTTTCTTCCAACAAAAAGGGGCAACAAAGAGAAACAACAAAAACACAGTATGTTTGAAAGAGAACCATGTGGGAAACAAAACGGCCAAGAATCAAGCCCACTCATGAAAACATCCCGTCCGAGGAATGAGCTACTTCTCGAGCCACGGGTCGCATGTCACGCGAGCCTTGGTCTTTGCTGCTGCTTTGTTGTTTTTGCTGCTCACTTTCTTGCCTTTCTAGCTTTCCAATGTGTGTTGACTTTGTTTTGTAACACAAGCATTGCCTTTAGAAAGGGTTGCACATCCCCGCTGTGGACCCAGTAACTTTTCACGTCATTGCCCAAACAAATCAGAGCCTGCCCTTGCTTTTGGTGGGTGATTGGCCCAATTCTTGTGGCTGGGTTCTATGAACCTTGAGGCATGATGTTCACTTACGCCCTTGGGTGTGGCCTCACGATTTGTGGCATTGTCCTGTTGGAGACGGACAAGGCAGGGATTCGGGATCAAATCGGGTGCCCAAATCCCACGCAGTTCGCCAGTCTTGTCACTACCAAAACGCACGGGGAAACTACCAAAATGCGAATCTTGAACGATGGTTGAAAGAGTGGGGAAAATTTGCAACGTGCCGCGCCGATAGACCCTTTACCCTCAAGCTTTTTGAGCGGCAAAAACCCGATGGCCTTTTGCAAGTCAATCAGAAATTACCCATGTCGTAGCGAACAAAGTGTCCACTAAAGAGTTTGTGTTTTAGTTGACCTGGCTCAGCTTGCCTTGAGTGTTGCAAGGGTCTTGCATGAGCGAGTCGATCTAAACTCACCTCTTCATGAAGATGCCAAAAGGTCTTTCCAAGTGCTTCTGGCGTTTTTCGGGAAGTGACACCATGAATTAAACATCACACATGAATGCAGAAGGGTCAAAAGACGGTTGGCTTTTCCAATCTCACGGTAATCTTTGGTCGAATTTGACAAGTGTCGACCCGGCGGATGTTTCACGCAGCCAGATGAATGCGAATTTCCTCGAGAAAGTGATCCGGATCTTTCTTAAAATGTGACACCCCCTGCGATTGATCAACCGGTTGAGCCTGGAGGAACGAAATCCTGTGCCGCCAACTCCCCTTGAAAATGTCAACAAACGACTGGTTGTGACACGTGCAGTGGTTGTCATGTAGAGAGCCGACCCCCCATAGGCGTTGAGGCCCCAAGGAGCTCGTAGGGGTGGAGCATGGACTGCCTGGGCAGGCTCCGTGGAGGTGGGCCGAGGTTGCTGGCTGCGCTATTGGCGGAAAAAAGGGTGGAGGAAGGACGCAGTGGAGCAGATGCGAAGCAGTGCGGCCAACTGGCCATAGCAGTTCGCCGAGTACATAGAGGTCAGGTTGGCCGTTTTCAAGAGCGAGGTACGCGAGGACGAGCAGATGCACAGGACGGCGGTGATCCAGAATGTCTTGGAGAAGACCAAGTTGACATTGGGAAGCACGGAGATCAGGCATACTCGGAAGGCCAACTTCATTCCTGTTACAATGGTAGTCGCGTGCGAATGATTGGTGTGACCTGGCGGGGGATGACTATGTGAGGTGCTACGCCATGGTTCTGGTTGGTCAAGTTGTGGACGGGCGTGCGCTTCAATGACATTAAGGGAGTGCCAGACCAGACCGGACGCTGGAGTCAAGGCCGACTTGAAGGACAGGGACTTCACGCTGCCATACCCGTCGTGAGAAAGTAAGATGGTGGACTATGCAGCGGCGGCGGCCATGTCCCAGGCTGTACTATGTGACGGCTCGGGGTAAGCATGCGCTTTTGATTGATGGGGTCGGCACATTTTGGACAGCACGCGACCAGGACAACATGAGCGCGGGTGGCCAGGAGCCGTAGCGCCATTCGCAAGCAAAGGCAGCTGTTTTGCAGACGAGGGCTATGGTAGGGTCAAGGTGAACGTGATGAAGAGCGATGTCAGCTCTTTGGAGGAAATCAGCTCCGGAGAGGAGGTACAGCTTGGCCGAGAGGGGCAAGGGGGAATCACTTGTGAATGCTGTTCGAAGCACGCAGAGAAATTTGGCGGCCACACTTGAAAGGCTCCACGTGTTTCATTTCGGTTTGGAAAGGCCTGAAGGTGTGGTGTGGGCCTAGCGACGTCTCAGCTAGCCATGGCTGTACCGACAGAGCGGAGCCCGCGGTAACGAGGTGACAGGCAAAGTTGGCACTGGCGAGGATCAAAGGGGTCAGCGCATGGAAGCATGATGAACGTAGTGGAGAACGCCTAGGAAGCGCTGCAACAAGGGGCTTTGGCAGCAGGTGATGGAGGATGTGGAGAGACGCAGTGGTGGTCCTTGGGGCCGTCGGACAAGGTCAGGATCATCCATGACGGCGCATTCTTTGTTGACGTGAACAGGACGTATCCCGCACACGCAGGTTGGTGCCGTGAGGGATGAGGATTGGGGCCTTCAAGCCTTCAGAATGCCATTGGCGGATGTGGAGATGGCGCTCTACCACCTCCTGTACTGGGACGATGGTTGAGTGGATTGGGTACTACCGGGATGCGCAGAAGTATGTGAGGGGCGTCGGCGCCAAGAAGAAGAAGTGGGTGGTTGAATGGATCGACAGGAAGTTGGGCAGGTTGTCGATTGTGGCGGGCGCCCTCGCTCATGTCAGAACCCTTTGTGTCTCCGATGTTTGCGTGGTCGGCAGCATCGGCTGGCGGCACATGTGCCCAGTTCCCGCATGATGCGCAGGTGTTGATGAAGCGTGTGGGACGCCAAACGGTGAAGGATGACGTGGTCATAGGCGGCTGGGAAAGCTTTGCCGGTCAGTACTGGAGAAGCGAGGTGGTTCTCGGCTCGGCTTATCAGGAGGGGCGCGCCTTGGGTCTTCTTGAAGGGCGGACGGCGGTGCAAGTGGCGGTGGTGGTGTTTGCCAGGAACCCGAGGTGGAGGGGTGGAAACGGAGAGGTCGTGTTCAACGCCTGCGCCGACAATCTCGGAAACTCCCACGTGCGAAGGCACTCCTCGCCAAGATGGCGCTGCGGGCCAGCCGCCGACAAAGAAGCTGCAGATGCGCCGTGGTGAGACTCCCCCCCTTGTGGTTGGCTGCCTTCTGACTTGTGTTTCGGTCTAAAGGCTGGGGTTGGCTTGTCACGAGCTAAAGTGGGGGCTTGTTCTCAAAGCCAAGCGGTTACATCTGGCTAACAGCCAGATGATGGGGTTTCCACGCAGCCGGAAAACTCGGCAGGACCTGGTGCGCAACCCTGACAAAAAGAGCGCGAGCGCAATGACAATGGTTGTTCACGGTTGCAAAGTAGTGCGAACGGGTTTCGTCCATCCACAGTATGATGGATGTTTAAGTTTTGGGGTAAACTTCGGATGGATGCCCAGGGCTTCTCTCTGTCGGTCATCCCAAGCAGGGTCAAGTTGATTGGGTCTTTGGCTCAGACGCCAAACTGAGTACCGATCCATAAGCGACGAATCATGGGTCTGTCCTTGTTGAGGGGTTTCCTTTGTGGTTTTACAAGGGAAGCCCAAATTTGCACCGTTTCGCCCAAACCGGGTTCCGAGTTTTCGGAAAAATCAAGGGCCGCGGGGTGGAACTGCCAGGCGTTGGTGCAGCGACTGCTTTTACAGACTCGGCTGGGCAAGATGCTGCGCATGGTGATCGCCAACGACTGGGTGAGGGCCTTCGCCTGTGGCCTCTTCAACGGTGCCGGCGAGAATATTTTTTATTTTCGGGTGGCAATCGGTGCGAAGTCGGTAATGAGGGAATGAACCGAATAAAAGAAACCACCCGTTGCATGGTTTATTGGGGGGAAATACCATTTCTCATTCCCTGACCATTGCATCAGAAAGTTTTTGGCTTGGTTTTGTTTGCCCTTTTGCATCTTTGTTTGACTTGGTCCTGTGTTTTAAGAAAACGGCAAGGTTTTGTTTTCTGGAGTATGTCTTTTACACATCACCCGGTTGAATTGTTTCTTCCTGGTCCAGTTTGTTCTTGCTTCTTGTGCTGCTCTGTTTCCCTGTTCAAAGCACGAGAAGACAGCGCCTTTGGGCGGCGGGGCGTGTTTCCGTTCCAAAGCCGACGGGAAAGAGGGCCATTCGTTGGTTGTTTCCCGGCGACAAAGTAAGAAAAATCAACCCTCTCAATCAAAATGGAGCCTGGCCCGGTTGGGAGCTGATGTTCAGGATGGCTCGGATATTTTCTCAAAAACAATCCACTGGCTGCAAGTAGGGGCAACCGTGTTTTTTGCTCTTCAATTTCCCTTTCCCAGTTGCCCAGTGGGTTGTTTTTCCTTTTTTCATTTTTGGGGGCAGGGCTCCTTTAAACTCCACCAACGTTTTTTTCTGGAAACCCACTGGGCATCGGACCCAAGGCTGGAACCTGCGAAATTCGATTCGTCGTTTCGAGGCGTGGCGCCGGCGTTTTTCCTGCTGGATGCCCTCCGGCAGCTGGTGAGAGTCAAGTTCCGGAAAGATCTCCCGGAGGGATATGACCGTGGCTTGACTTATGCGGCCTTTGGATCGGCTTTTGCGTCCGATGTGTTGTGTAAAACTGTAATTTACTCCCAAGCAGTGGGGAATTTCTCGCAAATTTCACGCTGGAATTATTATACATTTGAGCGGCGGCTTTTTTACCCGCAAGCTAATTTAGTGGGGAGAGGGACATTATTATTGAAAATGTGCGCCGCGCCACACGCGCGGAAGCATGCGGAAGGCTCGCGGAAGGGATTTGTACGCGGAAGGTTCGCGGAAGCTTGGTGGCTGATATACAACTAAATGTTTCAGTGCGTGCATGGAAAAGCTCGGAGAAACAATTCCAATAGAAGAAAAGGTGTTGCCGCGTGCAAGAACCGTAACGCTTACTCGAAGAGCAGATGCCAACAGCAAGCCAAGAAGGCCAAAACAGCCGGCGTACTTCGCGGAAGGTTTGCGGAAGCTTCGCGGAAGCTCCGCGGAAGGGTGGCCCCGTGTTTGCAAGCAAGCGGCCTCGTAGCATGCCCAATGGAGCCCAAGCCTACGCAAGCTGCGGAACACTACCTCACTTAAAATGACATTTGTTTCTGCGCCAATGCTCGTGGAAGCAAAACTTGTAAACCATGCCCCGCGGAAGGTTTGCGGAAGCAAACAATGAAACACATGTGCCCCGGAAGTTCGCGGAAGGGACCGCTTGGCCCGCGGGAAGGATGCGGAAGGGTCCGCGGAAGCTTGAATAATGTCCAAGCAAGTTTGTATGGAATAAAAACCAACGCTCATTTGGGAAGGTTTGGATGTGTGTTTTGTCAAATCCAAACAAAGCAAGCATGTCTTCAGTGTTCTTGCATTGTGTGTGTGCGCGTTTAGTTTCTTAGCTCGTTGATCGCTTTCGGCTGCGGTCAGTTCTGACTGGGGTCTGTCAAAACAACAACCTTCAAAAGCTGACGCAACTTGCTTACCAGTTCGGGAAGTCACCCCTTGTTGGATCCAGTCCCTATTGCGGACAGCCCCAGACGGTTCTTCAACGCTCCTTGTATGTTCCCTTTTTGTGTAACTCAGACGCCATGTTGTTTTTGGCAATTAGTGCGACGGTGTAAGGGCACATCTCTGGGATCTCTTCAAGGTTGATCTCTTTTGCAAGGTTTTTACAGGTGGACAAATGCTTCGATGCAAGGAAGCCCGAGTTTTTTATGCCACGGCTTCCGAAGGTGAAGACCGATTTACGCCCGCGGGGCGGTCTCTCGCGAATTGGTTGAAGCAATGGAACTGGACCGGGATCCTACGGAAGCTCGATCTCTTCTGCTTCCTCTGGCAACTCCTCTTCATAGGCCCATGGTTGCGGAACATCGGGGTTTAGAGCCACTTTCTGTGTACCAAGGGGCGCCCCCAAAGCTCACTTTGGCATCGCATGGCTGAATCCCCACAGTCATGCATAGGCCGTTCTGTAGAGTTTGAAAGAAATTGAGGCCTTATACTTATATTTAACGCCCCGTGTATTGAAGTTGATTCGGAGGGCGCTTGGATCCAAACGATAGATCGATGGAAATGTTCAGCTGGGAAGACAGCTTGCTGTGTGGCAAACAGGCCAGACTTGTTCGCTGAACCGATGACAAAGCGGCAGCGAAAACAACACTTCGATGGTCTGGGACTTAGCTAAATGGTTAGTAACCCTAGTTACAGTGGACTTACAACCATTGTAAGTGGGTTACAACCAGGGTTACTAGCCATTTAGCTAACTCCCAGACCATCCAAGTAACGTGTTTCGAAGAAGTTGCCCTTCGCACGCCTTTCCTCACATGCGCACGTCTTCTGAGTACAACGGCTGGCAAACTTCCATTTTTGAGCTGGAGCTGCCAAGATATAATTACTTTGTGTACTGCGCTGTTGAACAAACACGACAACCCACAAAGGAGCTTGAAACCACAACGAGAATTGTATGTCGCAATTGGATCCCTCAAAGGCTTCCCCAACTTTCCTGAATGAGCCACCGAAAGGGCAGCTCGGATTCGAGCGATTCCAGTCCCCACTGGCCAGGTCCCGAATGCATATCTGGACGTAGCCGCAAAAATCGGTGCGGCCGCCCATGTTCATTTGGACAAACCCCTCCACTATCAGGTTTTTGATGAGTCAGTTCGCGGGATGGGCGGGAAATACATGTTGGGCCGCTTTACGAGACAAGGGAAACCTGTCCTTGTTCTAAGGTTTGATTCCCCAGTCTCTTCACCCATCGTTCTCCCACCTGTTTTCCACGGGTTTGGCCATTTTGAAGAGAAAGATCCCTGAAAAGAGTGGGGACGTCTAGACTTGTTGGAGGTTCCTCTAGAAGAAAGCAGACCCACATAAGAACATGTGCACTTTACGAGACCCCAAGGGAAACCAGTCCTGGTTGGAGGTTCCCCTTCGAGACAAACCCACAAAACACAACACGTTGCTTCTTTTCAAGAGAAGGATCCCTGAGAGTGGGGAGGGGAGCCCTAGACAGACGTGCAGGAGCCAAGGCCACCTATGTGTCCCTCTCTTGGCTGAACTACTGGCTCATTGATGCTGATTTGAAGCTGCCGGCCTTGACGGGTATGGTCTTCCTGGTGGGTCTGGCCATGTTCATGCTGCCCATCGTTCCAGGGACTGCGGTGTACCTGTTTTCGGGCCTCCTGGTTGCCAGTGGCACTGCTTTTGAACTTGGAAGGGCTTGCTGTCACTCTCAAAGCTCAAAGGAAATTGCTTTATTTCTAGTCGGTTGTCTCTTCGAAATGAATCTGCTAGTGGTTTCCGGTTATTGGCTGTTTTGCCAAGAACTCATGGGGTTGCTCAATCTTTGGGCAGACAATTGGAAGAACGTTTTGTGTTTTTCTTGGGCCAGATTGCCCCTGTGACAATCAGGTCATTCCGGAAGCAACATATTTTTGCGAATGAGCCCTTTGAGTTTGTTTACGAAACCACCAATGCTTCATTTCGGGGTCATTGCTCCACCACCAGACTACTGAACCACCTTAAAGCTGTGCAGACCAAAAACAACAAAACTGGCTAAGCAAACAACACAGCATACAAAACCCAGCGGAAGTGAACCCCTGAAGGCGTCGTCCTGGGGTTTCAGACCACGGTCAAAGGGCATGGCTTGGCACTGGGCATTGGCCTGGCGGTAGCAGTGAGCTCGGTGGCCAAGCACCTGGCCTGCGTAGGCCGATCAAACGGAAAGCCGCAAACCCATGCCATGGTGAAGTACTGCCCTTTCTCACCCCGTTTTTTGGTTGGGAGGGTCCAGGGTGCCCCTACTAGAATAGACTACAGAAAAGGGGTACCCTTATTCTAACCTCTTTACTAGTTGGGGTTAACAGGGATGGTCATCTACCTGGTAGTCAGGATCCTTAGCCAGCGCAATGATTCCTATTCAGAGAGCCGTGGCCATAGGCCATATAAGGAGTTTTGACCAGCCATCGGCTCGAGGCCCCCCCGATCAATCGGAGGGGGCGGGCAAACGCTCGGGCGGTTGCCATCTTTGTGGTGGTGAATACGGTCATCGCCCGTGGACGGGCTCGTCAAGGTGGGAGGTGGGATTGAGTAGCACAGCGCAAGTGGTCATACTGCGCAGCCCGCAACGGATCAAGAAGGTGGGGGAATGTTGCGCGGGCTTGGGAGCGATGAGCTGTGGCGCTGAACTGGCAGGAGGGAAGGTGGTTGTCCTGGCCGACTGGATGCAGCCATTTGCGAACCTCCTGACGCGGAATCAGCTTTCTGCAGTGCCGGCATTCAAGCAGTCTTGGTGACCCTTGAGTTCTGGGCTGGCGCTCGGCGCGATGCTGTCTCATGTGTCCAGTATACTTGCAAGTATCCTCAACCTTGGGCAACCCTGTCTGGCCCGCTGTGATGATCCTGACAGCTGCCGGTCAATGTGCCTTTCATGAAGCCTTGGGCCTTGAGATGCGGACAATTGTCACCCAGCCATATATCAACCCTTTAGCTTGCCTCGAGTTTCACGGTCTCCAGGTGGGAAGTCCGGTGACAGCGCCGCCACTGACTCAGGCAGACGTTGAAAAGGAGAAATGGAGTTGTGATCATGGCTCACATGGCAGGGTCCGTTTTGACGGCCCCCCAAACACGCGATTTATGCCACCCAAAAGAAGCTTTCGTGGCGTTGGTTTGGTTTGTTGCACACCCAATCACGCCCGTAGATATGTCTAGTTCTCATTGACTTGAGTGCGTTTTGTGACCAAGAAACGTGCTGGCTTTGGGATCTTCCAAGTTGGGATGTTTTCATTTTCATCCCATGGCTCCAACCCCCCTACGAAAGGCCCAGCCGAGAATCGCAGAACTTTCCTTCTTGGAGGGACATGCGTGAAACCCTCACCAGGCCAGTACCTCATCGGATACTTCGCTGGGAAATCCGTGCGCGTTCAGCGCTTCGTGGCCGTGGACAAAGTCCCCACGCGTGCCATGGAAATGATCCTCAGCCGACGCGGCCTTTCCCTCGGGAAGGCGAGAGGAATTGCTCGAAAGGCCTACCTGTTGAGGTTCGCAAGTTTCGATGGGCGATTTCGCCACCCAAAATGAAGGGGGCCTTTTCTAGAGGGAACGTTCATCTCATTCATATTCTCATGGCTGAGTTTGCAAAACAAAACCTCTCTGAAGACACGCCCTGACATTGGCCCTTTGTGTCAACCAGGGTGGCAGAGCCAGTTTCAAATCTTGCTTGGACCTTGATGTCATGTAGCGACGCCTTTTGAGCAGCTATGTGGGTAAGCATGCTCACCAAAATCTTTGGGGAACACATTGACATGTTTATTTGATTATGGCTCATGTCATCTTGCCTGGAAGTGGCAAACAAATTTGCACATTCAAAAGCAAACGGAACACATGCATGTTTCCGGTACTCATTCAGAGCCGTGGCAGGGCAAACATGGGAATGGAATGGTCATGATGCAGAATGATCCTCATGTTCCTAGTGGCCACTATTCGGCGGCACTGGCTCCTGTTGCCATGGCTCTTTCAGCATATGGCTAGTGCGGAGGCGAGTTGCCAGGAAAGGAAACAACAAGATGCCATTGCGCACCAACATTGCATGACATGGAATACTCCTATCAGGGTGGAAACTGGTTTTTCGGGCACTGCAAGGCAGAAAGATTTGAGCAGTGCAAGGAAGTAAGGGCACAGTGGCCAGCACTGGTTGTCGAATAGCAAGAGACCCAACAAAAACATGGATTTGGGGTTAACCCCTCTGATACCATGTTGAGAATACATGGGTCATCCCCTAGCGGAGCTATGAAAAAAGGGGCTATCGCTTATTGAACTCAGCAGGCAATTCTGACGGGCGTATCCAAGGATAGGCCCTGCATTGGAACCCCCGGATTTGCGGGGGATGCGATGCTCCAGGCTGTTTGCCACACTGCGAGTGGGGCTTGGGAAGCAGACGCGCTGGCCAGGTCTGCATTTTGGTGGCTGGGCCGGACTTCCCCACCAGCGTGGTTTGCGGCATTTTGAAGCTGAATATCCCGCTCCCCGCCTCGTTGGTTGTTCTTCAGCCTCCTTCCCTTCAAACTATCATGCCCAGAACAGGGTCCTCACAAAGGAGGTTCCTCCAAGAAATGTTTTGTTTAATGGTTGTTTTTGAATCTGTCGGGGAGAAAGTTTTTCTTTTGGGGAAATCCCTTGGGCAGATCAATCATTGTGCCATTTTTGTTGGGTTCGCCTTGTGTTGCATTTGAGGGTATACCCAAGTGAGCGAGGCGTTTGCTTCGTTTCAAGGGCTCCTTTGTTTCCGTTTGGAGGGGGTGATTTTAAACGAAGCATGCTCCCTGTTTTGGAGGGTTTCCATTTGTTGACGGAAACTTTGCCTGCCAGATAAATTGCTCTTTTGTGGGATAGTTTTGTTTCCTGTGGAGCGCTCACCTCTAAAGAGCAATCATACGTTCCTTTTTCGGTGGCTTTTTGTTGCCTCTATCTATTCCAGAATTGCTGCTTAGGGCGGATGCCTCTTTAAAGCCCGCCAACCACAAAGGGCAAGGGGGGCAAAACGAGCGGGTAGTCCATGAAGGTCCTTTGGAGGATTGTCTTATTTCAGGTCTTGGATCATTCAAGGGCTGTCTTTTTAGGCCTAATTCTCCAGCAATTGTACGAGTTTCGAACTTAGCGGTCGCCTTATTCTTCCTGTCTACATGGCCAGATGGGAACCGGATGAGCTACTTGGATGGTCTGGGAGTTAGCTAAATGACACCCTGGTTGTAACCCACTTACAATGGTTGTAAGTCCCCTATGACCAGGGTTACTAACCATTTAGCTAAGTCCCAGACCATCTAAGTACGATCCAACTTTAGACAACCGCTGGGCCCCTACTGTGTTGCGACCGGTAGTTTGCCGAGATCACTTAAGCTGCAGGTTGCCTCCCTCGAATTAAGCGAGACACTGCGAGGCAGATGCTGCTGGGAACCTCGCCAGTGATCCTTATAAGCATCATCCCGCAGGCAATGGTCGGAATTTCCCAACCGAGTTGATGGAGAAAATCGCCTGGTTGAGGAATTGTTTGGGGGGTGTCCCTTGCAAGAGGACCACTGTTTTTGGGAACCTTATTAACCAACCAGGTCCAGGTTGATTAATCTAGGGCCGACTCGACATGTCGAGCCTCTCCAACCACGGCCCTTATGAGAGGCGTGCGAAAGGGGCTGTGGGAGAATGCACACACAAGCTCATTGGACGCGCAGGGATGGAGTTTTCGCGCACTAAAACCAGAATCTTTTGGGGCAACACTCAGGGTACTGAACCTCAAACACGACCCAAACAAAGATGGGGGTAAAATGAGCTACCTCTAGGTCCCCCAGCCAGGTGCCCTTTTCGCGTTTCTTTTTGGTTGGGAGGATTCCGCTACTAAAATTGACTACAGCAAAAAGGGTACCCGTATTCTAACCTCTCTGCTGGAGGACCTAGATGAGCTACCTTGTTTGTTCCTTTGCTTTGCAACCAACCGACTTTCCCAACTCACGCCCCGTCAACCCGAATTTTCTATTTGGTGAAGAATATGTGTTATTTCTCCCTGTTGGTTTTAAAGGGAATCGATTTCACTACTGGAGAAGTTGTTTTTTCATTTTTTCCAGGGGTCTTAAGCAAATGAAAGGAATGGATCCCATGTTCGCCATGTTCCCATCCCGTCCGAGTGCGAGCGGGTACGAGCGGCCAGGTAGCGGTCGGAGCGCTACTCGCTCTGCCCAACGACGCGGAGTTCTCTGGCGCGGTGACCTTCGTGGCAGCGGTACTACAGGTGAGCCCCGGGAGGTGGTTAGGTTAGGACTTGGATGGTCTCGGAGGAATCGCTACATGGCTAGTAACCCTGGTTGTAACCCACTTGCAATGGTAGTAAGTCCACTGTAACTAGGGTTAACCATCTAGCGATTCGTCCCAGACCATCTAAGGAAGGGGCAGCTTGAACCATAAATGGGTGTGGCTCAAAATTCAACAGCTGGGGTTACGCAGGTTCAGCCTTGTCTCCATATGCCAAGGTGCCATTTTAGGTACATTTTTTTGAGCCACGGCCAAATGGCTGCAGATATCCGCCTTTCTAACTCTTTACAAGTTTCTGGGTAGACCATTTTCGAACCAGGTTTTGATTATGACTCAGGTGGGTCTGGAGTCATTGTCTTAAGGTTCGAAGTCAGCACCGGTGGTAGAAGCAGGTACAGCCAAACTGAGTCACCCTGAGTAAAACAGAAGTCGGCACCTGGGTTGTTTCCCACAAACGTGGTGTGACTTTGACGGAATGCAAGATGGGAATGGTCACCAGGCAACCTGCTTGGCAAGGGCTGCGCAAGGATGACAGGGATCCTTTTAAGGGAACCACCCACATAAAGCCTTACACTACTTGGTTTGGAGGGGCTCGGACACTTAAATACGAAATCCCTTGAAGTCGCCAGAACAGAGGGTAAGTTTGAGGATGTCACTTGGGCGGAACCAGTTGTATACGGGAGTCAAGGTCACAATGTCGACAAGAACTTAAGGGCTCAGGGAACCAGGGCCATAACCCGAATGCGGAGTTTCAATGCCGCAAATGAGCAATTGACAAATCTAACGATGTAGCAGTTTTGGGGGCTGCCTTGGGTTGGCCAAATACTGCATTGCATTGGTTTGGCTCCTATTGCGATGGGATCCACGTGATAAAGTCGTCAGGAAGTAATTGTTTCCCCCTCCCCTCCCCCCTCCCCTCCGCAAAAGAAACAGCTACCCCCTCCCCAACATTGCTTGGAACAATAGCTGCCCAAAACCAGCTCGAACGAGCTTATTCTGGGCAGAGACCCCATCCATAGCTTTCACCTGGTAGGGGGAGGGGGAGGAAATCCGCACGCAGCAAAGCGCTTGCTTGGATGGTCTGGGAGGAATCACTACATGGCTAAAAACCCTGGTTGTAACCCAGTTACAATGGTTGTAAGTCCACTGTAGCTTGGGTTACTCACCATTTAGCGATTCGTCCCAGACCATTTAAGTGGGTGGTTAAGTTAGTACCGAAATGTGTATATATATATATATATATATATATATGGTACCCCCCCGGGCCCCCCCTGGAATACTCAGGTTTTTGGCCAGAAATTGACATTTTGGCTGTAAAAATGCATGCAAAACACACGTTCCAGCTTCTAAAATCAGGCTCTAAAAAATGCACTCCTTTTTAGACTTAAATTCTAGCATCGCTACTTAGTGCAATCCAGGATGTGCTAGCACGTGCTAGCACATACCAGTTTGTCCTCAGGATGGATTGAGGATTTCCAGAACAAGTGGTCTGAGAATCTTCAATCTTCAATCTTCAATCTTCAATCCAGGATGTGCTAGCACGTGCTAGCACATCCTGGATTACTCTAAGCACATATTTGGAGAATTTCAGAAAGAGTTGTCAGAGAATCTTGAATCTCCCATCCAGATCCTGGATTGCCTTAAGTGCGGATTTGAAGAATCCAAAAGGCAGACCGGGAGTGCACGTTGTCAGAATCAACATGTGGATGTGCACTTGCACTGCCTGCAATTGGCCAGGGGGAAAACTGTTGCTGACACCTTTACATTTTTTTGTGGACTTGAGGGCTGGCCAGGATGGAAGATTCTCAAATAGAAAATCTGGTAGACCATCAATCTTCAATGCAGGGCGAAACCTTGATGAGTCTAGAACAAGCTGTCAAGTTTTTTGGGGACCAGGATTGAGTACATTCTAAACATATGTTTGTGGAATCTTGTATAATCGATGTTCGATGCAGGGCAACACGATCTGAGCAAATGCTGAAAACACTGCGTTTTGCAGCATTTATGCAAAGAATAGGATCTATGATTGAAAACACGTTCCTGTCATTGGCTTGGCTCAGTTCTTGCTTGGTTCAAACCACATGGAGTTCGAAGGACAATAACCCTTTCAAATTTGAGTTCGATTCCAAATTCATTTGGCTATGACAATAGCTATCTTCTCCAGTTGATTTTTGAAATGCACAAGAAACTGCAAACGAGTAAACTTGAATTTGGTTTGAACTCGGACGCTTTTTTTAACTGGATATTCTTCCCTTACTTGAATTTCAATAGTTGTTAGTGGCGATGATGGAACCAACTTAGACAAGCAACACACACACACACACGTGGGATAGTTGCTTTGCAACATATGATTCAATTAGACTGAACTAGCATGTCAGGAATTATTCACAACACTCGAGTTAACATGTAAATGTAACTGCGCAAGGACATGAATTAGGAATGAGTTCCTTTTCCCCGAGTTGATGTTTTGCTGAATTTCGCTGCCAAACAAAAATAATAAAGACCAAATAACAGGGCTGCTACAGGCGCGTTGAAGCTGCCAAAACATACTTTGCGCACTACTCCTGTACTGAACAGTTGTGTTTTTTGAGCTGGAGCTGCCAAATTGCACTTTGCATACTCCAATGTGACTTTAAGTGCACTTCGCACACGCCAATGTGACGGTCACACAACTCGCAACTCCTAATCAACGTTGAGCTTAACTTCTGCTTGGTTAGAATTTGCATGGAGTTGAGTGTCCAGTTAATTTCAGAGTCTCAAGGCATTTGTTTCCCCCAGTCTGGCCAAAAACCTCAGTTCTGTCCAAAAACCTGAGAATTTCAAGGGGGGTAGCATATATATGTATATATACATATATAGATATATATATATATATGTTTTAATTCTCCCTTGGGTTTAAAAGGAATTCCGTTCCGCGCCCAAAGCGCCCAAAGCGCCCAACGCGGAGGTGGGCGCCAGCGTCTACGTCTCCTACAGCCTGCTGAAGACGGCGGAGGAGAACTTCGCCGAGCTCTGCAAGGTGCGGGAGGAGCACCAGCACGTGGCCGAGCTCACGCAGCAGGAGGCGGATGTCGGTTTTTGTTTTTGTTTCTCCTTTTTTTCCGGTGTTCAAGGCGCTCGGTTTGTTTGTTCATTTAATTTTTGTTCAAGGCGCTCGGTTTTCGGTGTGCAAGTTGTTGTCATAGGTGTCCTTTTTTGGTTGGTGCTTACAAAAGTAGAGGGCGACTCCTGGTTTAGATGGGGCTTATGCCCCATTTACCAGGGCCATCTACTTTTTAAAAAGGCCACCTATGGTATTTTTAAATGGCGGCTTCGGAAAAGAGACATGATCTGGGGTTTCTGGGGTTTCTGTGTTCGAGGGTGGGGTGCGCGAGTTTTTTTTGCTTCCTTTTGCTGTATTGTTTTTCCCCCCTGTTGGTTTTAGAGGGAATCGATTTCACTGCTGGACATATTTTCTCTTGTTTCCGGTGGACTTAAGCAAATGGAAGTATTTCTTTGGGCGGCTCAGGACAACAAGAGAACGAGTCACCTGTTTTCGCGTTGGTGGCTAAAGTCTTTGGGGCTGGCTTTACAAGGAAAACAGGAGAGAGAAGATCGCTCATTGTTGTGCTGATCCCCCCAGTTTGACACATACCCTGGATGTTCAAGCTACGTAGGCTGTATCTAAGGCTAGAAGTCGGACGAGAGGGGTTGACTGACTTGTAACCAAGGGCTCCTTCGCTCGGTGTTTGCAGAAGCAAGTCAAGCACTTGGATGTTCCGCTGCTGACATTTTGCACAAGCTCTGAATTGGGACAGGGAGTGGTTGACTTGTAGCACTTCCGGGTTCTTCTTCAAAACAATTTCGTATTTTCGACATTGACTGAATATGAAGCAGAAACTGAGCATACGATTGTTTGACGTACTCACGTTTGGGCCACGACTTGGATGTTCGATAATTAAGGTCAGAAGTGGGTCAACAGAGGTAGTTGACTTATGACCATGGTTTTGGCCTACTGACTAGGTAGGTTGAATATCCAAGCAGACCTTCAGTGTTTTTGCCCCATTTGTTAAGACACCCATTTGTGTCCATCGATTTTTGCATCGCCCCAGGAAGAGCCACTGCTTAAGATTTGGCATGGGACAGTCAGCCTTCGAGTCATTACATTGCGTTGTTCTTGTTGCTTTCTTCCCCCCCCCCCCTTTTTTTTTGGGGGGGGGAGGGGGGGGGGGTTGCATTGCAGTGTTCTTGTTTCTTTCCATTTTTTTTTTTTCGGGGGGGGGGGGGGGGTACCTTGCGTTGTTCTTGTTTCGTTCTTTCTTTCTTTTTTTCTTGGGGGGGGGGGTTGCAGTGCGGTTTTCTTGTTTCCTTTATTCTTTGTTTGTTATTCTTCTTTTTTTTTGGGGGGGGGGGTTCGGGTTGGGTAGGGTCCACGCTGGATTTATTCTGCCCAACGCCTTCAACCCCAAAGCCCAGCTCAGCTGAAGCCTGCCAAAAGCCTAGCCGCACTGCTGAGGTACCCTTCTCTTTTTTTTTCTCGAATGTCTTCTAGGTCCCCCAGTATTGCCCTGTCTCACCAACTTGTTTGGTTGGGAGGGTTCTTTTTCTAAAATCGACTACAGAAAAAAAGTTGGTACCCTGATTCTAACCTCTCTGGAGGACCTAGTCTTTCATGGCGAAGCCCCAGGTTTCCACTGACCTCCGAATCAAAGTGAGCTTTGTGTGATTACTCAAAGTCAAGATGTCCAGAGCCTTTGGCGGAAGCGCAACGCAGCGAAGACTTCGGCCACAAGCAGAGATACAGCCATGGGTCAAAATCCAAAGCTCGTACCCCCAGTGAACATCCGATTCAATCCCCACCAAAATAGGTTCTAAAATGGGTGGTGAATTCGCCTACCCAAAAATGGGAGCCCATTGGTTTTGACAACCACAGCCACATGGAAGCCTTTGGAACATGTGTCTTGAAATCAAACGCAGCTGGCATCTGGCATATGCTCCACTGGTTCTGTGCCGCTGGGCTCTGTGGGCATTAACCACGGACCAGTAACACCCTGCAAACCCCTGCAACCATGGTTCTCCGCTGTTCCTTGCATGTGTTTGTGTTGTCGTTGCTTGTTGGTTCCGATTGCTGAGCTACCAGGAGTTGCCAACCACTTACCTAGTTGTCTGACTAGGGGGAGGCCAACAGTTGAACAGTTGAGTCCGTTTACTCGTAGAGTGGGGAACGGGTTGGACATGGGGGGCGTGTCAAGCTGATACGCTCACCTGGGCAATACATATATATATATATATTCTACATGTATATGTGGGGTATCCGAACAACAGACACTTCCCCATGTTCCCTTTGCATTAGGGTAGCATGTCAAAAATCCCCCACGACGGGGATTTGCCACCTCGCCCGCACTTGGCAGACAGCGTGGGGCGATTCGCAGGCTAGCTGCCGCTATTTTTTTCTGTGACAGGTTCAACGGGAGGTGTTGGATCACTGTCCTTTCTCCTTGCCCTTCTGCCGGGGAGGAATGCGCTGCCCAGCTCCATGCTTCTCCTTGCGGCGTGTGGAACTCCCCAGTCGCCCAGTGGGTTGCTCCCGGTTTTTCCCCCCTTTTTTGGGGGGAAGGGCTCCCTGTAAACTCAACCAACCCAAAAACAATGATGCCTTTTTTTTTCGCCGGTGGAAATCCACTGGGCATCTGAGACTCCAACCGGAGTTGCCCGGATGACGCTTCCGAAGGGGTGACTGCGATGGAGGGACCATGCTGTAGCGACCACCAAAGGCCGCTCCATCCATCCATGTTTCGACAGGAGTCCTATACCCGGCGATACCTGGAGACTTGCTGCTGGAGCAAGCTGCCTCTGTATTTGAGAATCTGTATTCTGCTGCTCGGCGAAGCGGATCGGCCATAAGTTGCCTTGACGAGCTTGAACATAGTGTCAGCTTAGCAATCACGGAAACACGGTGGGGGCATGTAATGTTGCAGGTTCATGCGACTAGGTTGTTTCCAATGGCTGGTTCCCCAACAACCAGTTTGTTTGTCAGCTCTCAGGCGAAACCCAACCAGAGATATGTGTGGAAAACCTGGTTGATCCTTTTTGCAAATCCCAATGTTGGCGCGGTTTTGCATATATTATGTTATGGGAACCCCCCTTCAAAGTGAGTGTGGAAGCGGAATGTTTCTGGCTTTTAGGGCTCTTGCAAGGCATTCTGCAGATCCTTCCTATGGAAATCGGATTGGCCAACCCATGATACAGCCCGGTCATCAAACCCAAAATGGTCTCTTGTCGCACGTGGGTCCTTGAATTGAACAAGAATGCCTGAAGAGTCACAAGATTTTAGCGCCTTCAGTGTTCAAGCTGTTTTACACTTGCTTGGCTCTGTCTGTTGTGTTTGGGTGTGTCGGGTGTGATACTTGTGACGTCCCAAAGGCTTTTTGTTTGCCGAGGTGGCAAAAGGGTTCAGCATTGGACAGATTTCGTCGAACACTCAATGTCTACCCTTCTAGGTCCCCCAGCTAGGTGCAACCTTTCTCACCAACTTTTTTTTAGGTGGGACGGGGTTCCCCTACTGAAATAGACTGCTGAAAAAAGGAACGGTGCCCTTATTCTATTCTGTGGAGGACCCAGATTCATTCGAGCAACGAGTGCCACTCTCTCCTTTCAGCGGCCTCCGATGTTCGAAGGAGGATGGGAAGCGGGTTGCGTCCTCTGTGTTGAAAATGAGCAAACCATCACTCGGACGGGTTTGGGTCAAAATTAAAACCATCAGGAGACCTCAGGTTTTGCTCCATGTTTCCACTTACTAGGTTCCATTTGGGGTACCTATTTTTTCACAGCCACTCGGCACCACTCACGTGCGTTGCCTGCATTCGTTGCCGTGAAGCGGAAAGCCAGCCCTCAGTCAAAGTGCAGCGCTCTAACCTGAGGGGTTCTCGAAGTGGCTGTGGGTCAAAACCAATGGTACCATTTTGGGGTATGTGCACCGCCCATTTTAGTCTATTGGGATGTTCACTGGGGGTACGGGATTTTGACCCATGGCCAAGTTGCTGTCCCCTTGAACCAGCTTTGGAGGGTTTCAAGGATGCCCTTGTCGCAAGGCCTTAGATAGGAGAAAGCCGAGGAGGGACCCTACATCCCCTTTAACCCCCCGAACCTTGAATTGCGGGCCCAGAGGCTTACTTCTTTTGGTTGCTTCCTTGTCTCCATCATCTTGGCCGTCGATTTCCTGGCTTTGGCGCGCAGCTTCCGCAGCTTTTCCATGACCGATCGCATCGAGGCGCATGGCGCATGCATGGCATGCGGTCGTTGGCGAATTTGTCGCTGGATCACGAGGGCCTTGTGTGTGTGGGCTCCCCGGGTTCCCCTGATAGCTTTCAATTGGATCATTGCGTTAAACCCCAGTTTCTTTTGAAACCAAATGGAGAAGGTATCCCTCTAGAACTTTAGGATGTGGAGGTTGGAGGTGGAGGTGGAGGCGGAGGCGGAGGCGGAGGCGGACGCGGAGGCGGAGGCGGAGGCGGAGGTGGAGGTGGTGCTGGTGCTGGTGCTGGCGCTGGCGCTGGCGCTGGCGCTGGCGCCGGCGTTGGCGCTGGCGCTGGCGGTGATGGTGGTGGTGGTGGTGGTGGTAGTGGCGGTGGTGATACTTGAATTCCCCGCAAACCAGCACCAAGTTTAACTTGTTGCTGCATGTGAAGTAGCGAGCCGGTCTAGTTGTACCTCTCCCGCTTGGGTACGAGCTCGAAAAGGCCAGGTTTCTGTAGGACTCGAGCCATTTGTAATCGTTTCCGAAGGCTCAACACCCTGTTCGGCCGCAGTAGGACAGAGAAGTCACTTCCTCCTCATATATTAAAGGTCCCCCTAAGACTAAACATATCTTTGAAAATCTCAAATCCGAGAATACTACTTTAGAATAGGCCAATACTAAGCCAATTCTAAAGTAGACATGTTCCTGCCCCTCCAATCCAGCCCTATTGGCGGACCCTTACCTTCTCTCTCGCCCCCATGAAGTGTATCATATTGATTCCACTTGCGACCACTTGCCGCCAGTTGTCTTCTCTCTCCACGCAAAGAGTATAGGACTTAAGGATTTGCCTCCCAGGGTTTTCCGAAAACGAACAGGGGACCCCCGTAAGACAAATGGTGTTTCATCTTGTTTTTTATTGGGACCAGCTTAGTAACAGGGGGGACCGCTGTAATATGAGGGGGACCGGATTAAATACTTATCTAATAACCTATTTGCACCTGCTATAAGTCCCTGCTCTGTGGGTTGTTTGCTGATAGCTTCCCTTCACCGAATCGATGGCCTTCTGGGAAATGGGTCAACTCCTCATTTCCCCCGTCAGGCGCCAGTGGAACACGGGGGCTTAGACGGGAACGTTCTCAATGTGATCGTGCAGCCCTGGGGCTATGCGACCCTGGCCCTGGCCTTTGCGGCTGCATTGCTCCATGTGCCGCCCACTTGCAAGCGTAATATGAAGACAAAAACGGGTTTCTGCGTCGGGTCGAAGTGGTTTGGTTTCCCCAAAGAATTAAGAGCCGCAGGAAAGACGTCTCTAAAAAAGAAATGCAACCGGAACACGGAAAAAGAACAAAGCCCATGTGAGCAGCTGATAGGATTTCCGGAAAACTGCAGTACCCGAAGGGGGACCGCCAACAAGCAATATGGCAATATCCATCAAACTGTACTATTGATAGGTTGCCATCCAAAGCTGATACCCAGAAAATACTGTGTGGAAAATCATGTGTTTGTTCCACACCAATGTCTCCCGGATTCTCGCAGAGAACCCCCGAAACCGAAAAACCGCGACGGGGGGGGGGGCGGGGCAGACCTCAGCTCCCGGAGAGTGGCCGACCGCCTTCCCGCTTCGGTTTTTTCTCTCCCAAGCCAAAGAAGTCCTGCCAAGTCGTTTTGGGTGTGAGCCCTAAGTCAACAGCAAAAGTCACATAGATCGTTGGGAAGCATTTCACATGTTTGCTTATTGTGGTTTGGTGGGAAATACCCACTTTGCTAAGATTTGAATTTTCGCTCTTCCAACGTCAACCAAGATGCGATCAAAATGTCCTAGGCTGGCTGGCTGCTTGTTGCATCGCGCAACCCGTCGAAGCCTCGATCTCCGAGTGGGCTCCATAGACTTCGAAGAAGTGAGCCGCTCTGAGGGCCTTGCCAAGCAAGCGCCCAAGCAAGTTTCTGTGGTGGTGAGGTACCAGGAGTGAAGGGCTCCGAGTTGCTTGAAACTTGAGATTCCTCCAACTTGGCACCTCCGAGATGTGTTGTGGGTCCGAACGGAGAAAACACCTTCTTCAGCGAGCGCCTATTTTTGGGCGGAAAAAAAGAGAAAAAGAGGCAGATCCGGTACTTCGCAGATGCGGCTGACCCAACAACTCCCCAACGTGGGGTTGTTCTCCCGCTCCGCTTTTCTTTGCCAGATCCAAACTGAGGCATTGGATCCGCCGCTATTTCCTGTGCAGACGCAAACGAACGGGCCATGGCCAAATGGGACCAAAGGAACAGCAAGCAAGAAATACTGTCCGCTGTTCTGAGCTGATTGTTACGGGTTCCCAAGCTGGGCGCAAATCCAGAGCGAGTTTCTTTGCGCAAAGCGCTGAGCTTTCGAACTTGAGCTAGGACTCGGTATTTCTTCTGGTTGTAGACATTACCCAGTTTTCTCTTGGTGTTTCCAAGAGTTTGCCGGATGTTCGGAAAAGAGCCAACCATTCTCGAGGGATGGCTTGAAGAATACCGGAGAAGCAGTTACGCTTGAGCTTTTCGCTTCTTTGACCTTCGGATAGGTTTGGCCTTCTATGTTTAAGACTCAGGTTATTGACCGTTTAGTTTTCCCTTTGAAGTCTTCTCGGCAACATAAACCCGTTTTTTTGCAAGTGAGCCGTGGCATGTGCCCCAGGGACAATGACGCACTATATTCATGCACACCACATGTATATAGCTACTTTAGCTGGACGACAATTTAGCAGCCTTAATCTGTTCCTCCTAAAAATGAATACGGCCCCCTTAAACAAATATTCGCCTGGAAGCCGAACAATATTTGCGTATATCATATTAGGGTACATTGCTGCCCCAGGGTCCCACTGGTCGAATGGGGTGCCCGCTTGCCCGGCCCGAACATCGTCCAACATGTCAGCTTCCGAGTGACGAAAACTCAAACAGCAGAAATCTGATTGTTGTTTTGCGCTGGTTTCGAATGGTTAGTGCTGTCCTAAGTATGAGTTTAGTATTGGCTGAGTATTGGTCTAGTGGTTCTGACATCTCCCCTGTCAGGTGCCTGGCTGCCGTCCAGCCAAGATCTCCCCATAAAACTGAGAGGCCAGTTGGCGCTGTTGGCCCGCTCTGGGCATAGGTGTCCTTTTTGGTTGTTTTGGAAGACAAATAGATGGCGATTCCTGGGGTACCGGATGTTGAATCATCTACCAGGACCATCTATTTCCTCTAAAAGGACACGTATGGCTCTGGGTTATTCTTTGAAAATTAACGTCGAACTGTTAGCTCCTCGCAAAAAACAAAAACAAAAACAAAGAACACTTTCGGGAGGTTCTGATGCTCGAGCTCGAAGCAGCTTGCAGACACCCACAGGGATTGGGTTAGGAAAGCCCGCCCTTCAATGTTCTCTAGCGCAGTCGCATGTCATCAGCTCAGTGATCTGCTGCGTGTGCGAGAGAAAACGACACTCTCGGCGGTCGCGGCCCGATGCTCTGTTGCTACTGCTCACCTCTGATTGACTGTGGTCCTTTGCCTTCCAAGGTTGACTCGCATTGGGTCAACAAACCGGCGGTTTCCAGAGCCAGTCGCGGGCACGCGAGACAAAGTTTGTTGCAGGTTGCCATTTCCCCTTGTGAAACTCCATGGTCCACGCTCCATGATGGATCATGGTGTCGGCAGACTCGTGAATTTGAAAGCCATCTCCTAGTCTGTCCATGAAAGAAGATTGGGGGCGTTTGAAGCAATGATAGTACGCATCAAACTAGCCATTGCTCATACGAGTGGCAAGCCTCATGGAGCGAACTTGGTTTTAACGTTCCACTCCTTCTTCGAACATACAGCTGACCTGGTCTACGTTAAAATGAAGCCATCAGAAGGGGTCCCTTTGGGGAAAGGTGACGAGACTGTTTCCTGACTCACAACACCGCATCTACATATTTCTCGACACGACCCAACCTGTTTCCTGACTTGGACCCACCCGTTTCCTGACTTCGTCCAACCCCGTTTCCTGACTCTGTTTCCTGACTCGCCCCTTACCCAAAACGAGTGACGTGTTCGGCCCAGTGGTTGGCTGAAATCCGTTTCGCGGCAGCGATCAAACCCTGGAAATGATGCTTCCCCTCTAGGTCCCCCAGCTAGGTGCCCTTTCTCACCCCTTTTTGGTTGGGAGGGTTTCCCTACTAAAATAGACTACAGAAGAAAAAAAAACGGTACCCTTATTCTAAGCTCTCTACTGGAGGATCTAGCTCTTTCCCATGGTTTCAAAGTGGTGCGAGATGAATTTCGATCCACAGTTTCAACCATCATAAGCCCTTTTGCCAGGGAAGGAAGTGACAATGCACGGCCAAACCGGATGAGCTCAGGTGGACCGGATCGCGCGGTGCCTTTGGCGAAACCAAATAGAGTCCTAGGGTGGTGCTTGTGTTCCCTTTACCGACTTCCCGAGTTCCTGGACTCCTGGACTTTAAACTTTTGGGAAGACCATTTTAGTGGTAAATGAAAAGTTGGGACTTTTTTGGGGCATCCACTCGATAAATGGGAGTTGAAGGGTTTCCTTTGATTTTCGACCATGAGGGAAGTAGGTTTCCTTCGGGACCTGTCAGGTTCACCCTGGGGTGAACAGGGAGCCCCTTCTTGTGATGGCCACTGCGGAAAATTAAGGTAGTAAGTATTGACCAGGTGACCCGAGAGTGGCAAAGCCCGCAAAACAAGCATCAAATGTATATAGCCGAAATGTTCATGTTGGGGCGCCTGACAAACAGGCGTCGGCCCTTTTCAACTAGCCCCTTCCAATCCTTTTTGAGAAGCCCCGGTTTGACTCGTCACAAATTGACATCAGGGTCTCTAGAAGGTCACGCTTTTGTTTTCCAGCCCAGCCAACCACAACTTTCAAACAATTGCAGTCGATGTGCCACAGCTTTGACAGAAGCTCCTCCACCGCAGACAGGCGAAAGGAATATATCAGCCACCCGAGCCTTATGCAACGTCAGGACTTGGACATGAAGAGTGCAAAACCTGACCTCGGAGATATGGAACAACATATTTTGCCTCAACACAGCCTGAAGGTCTGCATGTGTCCCCGATTTCTCGCAAGCGTTCGGGGTAGGCTTGTAAAAAAGAAACCACGAGAGTCAGACAATTTGTAGACCAATGTTCTTGCTGATGTCACATGTATAAGGGGTTCGCACGTGATACACTCCAGGATGTCAAGCGCGTTGGACCCATCCTTGGAGATTCCCAGTAATTATGCAGGGCTCCTTGAAACATGGCTTTTTCCACCCAAATCAAGGGAACCCACCATTTACAAGGCAATGCTCAGGTGCAAATGTAAGGATCCCTGTTATGCGTTCCGCTGCTAAATCAACTGCAGCCCTTTCTCCGCATCCGGCGACTCGTCGCTGAACAGGGCCACGCATGACCCGCTGTTCCTTGATTGGGAGAAGGCTTTACGACATACAAGAGGCTAGTTCTAATTCCGATCTGCTTGGGCAACCTTTGTTTCTCGTGACTGCGACCAACGGCACCCCACCCTTAAGAGGAGTGAGCAGGGAGAAATCCCTCCCCGGGGTTTTTGCAATATGCACCGGGACCAGACTCAAACAGGAAACACTGGACAAAAGCCGAATGACCCAAATAGAGGCCCCAGCCAAGGGAACCATTTCGGGGATGCAATCGGGTTCGACTTTCTAGGTCTAAGTTTTGGTCCCTTTGAAATATGGCTGTGGGTCAAAACCAATCAATGGGATCCCATTTTGGGGTAGGTGCACCATCCGTTTTAGTCTATTTTAGAGGGGATGTTCACTTGGGGTACGATTTGGATTTTGACCCAGGGCCTTATTGTCAAACTGAAGTGCCTCCAACTGACCTGGTTCGCGGCACCGTCAATGGGGGCTGCACCCTTTGCATACCCCCTCGGGCACCCCCTGGGATACGTAAGGTCGCAGGATTGAGGGTCTATTGACGGCTCTCACACCAACGCGGGGCCACCTACACTTCTCTCCGAAGCTTCTTCAGGAATGAGCTCCGTGCGCTGACAATTCCGGGAATTCCAGGAACTCACTGACAATTCCCGGAATTCCAGGACAGAGGCTCATTTCACACCCAACATGTCACCCAACATGCACGAGCTCAGGTTGAGCTGCCATGAGGGTGAAAGAGCCCAGCGGAGCACACGCCGAGAGGGCGGTGAGTCGTCCCTGAGAGCCCAAGGTGTTCAAGAGCCTTGCAGTAAGTTGTACGTGCGAAAGGGTTTTTTTTCTGCGGCAAGCTTCGGCTTGTATGGATTTGTTGCGTTTGGTGTGCGTGCATGCCTGCTTGCGTGCGTGTGTGCCTGCGTGTGTGTGTGTGTGTGTGTGCTTTCCTGTGGGTGCGCCTGCGTGCGCGTGCTTGTGCGTGTGCGTGTGCGTGTGTGTGTGTGTGTGTGTGTGTGTGTGTGTGAGTGGGTGTGCGTGTGCGTGTGCGTGTGCGTGTGCGTGTGCGTGTGCGTGTGCGTGTGCGTGTGCGTGTGCGTGTGCGTGTGCGTGTGCGTGTGCGTGTGCGTGTGCGTGTGCGTGTGCGTGTGCGTGTGCGTGTGCGTGTGCGTGTGTGTGTGTGTGTGTGTGTGTGTGTGTGTGTGTGTGTGTGTGTGTGTGTGTGTGTGTGTGTGTGTGTGTGTGTGTGTGTGTGTGTGTGTGTGTGTGTGTGTGTGTGTGTGTGTGTGTGTGTGTGTGTGTGCGTGCGTGCCTGCGAAGGTTCGTGCGTGCGTGTGCGTGCGTGCCTGTGGGTGCGCGTGTGTGTGCGCGTGTGCGTGTGCGTGTGTGTGTGTGTGTGTGTGTGTGTGTGTGTGCGTGTGTGTGTGTGCGTGTGCGTGTGCGTGTGTGTGTGTGTGTGTGTGTGTGTGTGTGTGTGTGCGTGTGTGTGTGTGTGTGTGTGTGTGTGTGTGTGTGTGTGTGTGTGTGTGTGTGTGTGTGTGTGTGTGTGTGTGTGTGTGTGTGTGCGTGTGTGTGTGTGTGTGCGTGTGCGTGCTGTGCGTGTGTGTGTGTGTGTGTGTGTGTGTGTGTGTGTGTGTGTGTGTGTGTGTGTGTGCGTGTGTGCGTGTCTCTTTGTGTGAATGCGTGTGGGTGCGCGTGTGTGCGTGGTGTGTGTTGTGTGTTGTGTGTTGTGTGTTGCGTGTTGCGTGTTGTGTGTTGTGTGTTGTGTGTTGTGTGTTGTGCGTGTGTGTGTGTGTGTATGTTTGTGCGTGTGTGTGTGTGTGTGCGTGCGTTTGTCTGTGCGTTCGCGTGCGTGTGTGTGTGTGTGGGTGTATGTGGGTGTGTGGGTGTGTGCAATGTGTGTGTGTGTGCGCGTGTTTGTGTGTGTGTGTGTTTGTGTCGATGTGTGTCTTTGTGTGTGTGTATGCGTGCGTGTGCGCCTGTGTGTGTGTGACTGTCTTCGTGTGTCCGTGTGTGTTTATGTGTGATTGTATGTGTGTTTATGCGTGTTTGTGTGTGTGTGTTTGTGTGTGTGTGTGTGTCTTTGAGCGTGTGTGTGTGTGTGTCTGTGCGTGCGCGTGCGTGTGTGTGTGTGTGTGTTGTGTGTGTTGTGTGTTGTGTGTTGTGTGTTGTGTGTTGTGTGTTGTGTGTTGTGTGTTGTGTGTTGTGTGTTGTGTGTGTGGTGTGTGTGTGGTGTGTGTGTGTGTGGTGTGTGTGTGGTGTGTGTGTGTGGGGTGTGTGTTTTTTTGTGTCTGTGTTTGTGTGTGTGTTTTTGTTTGTGTGTTGTTTTCTTTTGTGTTTTGTGTTTTGTTTTTTTGTGTGTTGTGTGTGTGTGTGTGCGTGCGTGCGTGCGGGTGTGTGTGTGTGTGTTTGTGTTTGTGTTTGTGTTTGTGTTTGTGTTTGTGTGTGTGTTTGTGTCTGTGTCTGTGTCTGTGTCTGTGTCTGTGTCTGTGTCTGTGTCTGTGTCTGTGTCTGTGTCTGTGTCTGTGTCTGTGTGTGTGCGTGTGTTTGTGTCGATGTGTGTCTTTGTGTGTGTGTTGATGTGTGTTGATGTGTTTGTGTGTTTGTGTGTGTGTGTGTGTTTGTGTGTTGCTGTGTGTTTGCGTGTGCTTATGTTTGCTTTTGTGTTTGCGTGTTTGTGTGTTTGTGTGGGGGTGGCTGTGTGTGTGTGTGGGTGTGCGCGCGTAAGTGTGCACTCAGTGTACACCTGTGCTTGTGTGAAAGCTATATAAATACAGAGATTCACTTTTACATATAGGTATATACATTGTGTGTGTGGGTGTAAGCAGTAAGCCATCACGTTGTGAATGAGAACGACGATGCAGGAGGTGTCCCGAATCTTCAGACACACCGAAGCAGGACAGTGGGGAAATGGGATGTTTCACCCCAGCGCCATGCAGAAAAAAGAGACGGAAGGACTGGAGCTGCGGTGGTTGAAGGTTCAGAAGCCCTCAGATGCGTTACTCACCTCCCCTGGGCTATTCTGGGAACAAAGGCCAGGCCAATCCCCGTGGTTTTTGTCAAGGAGCCCACTTTGAGGCCGCGGTCCGGGAGGCCCACTCAACCCGCCGAAAAAACGTCTCTCCAGATCAGGTGTCTGATCTTTCCAAAGCTCGCTGGGTTTCGTGAATCGGGTTTTTCCAGGTCTTCGTTCCTGATTCACGTGTAACCCAGTGATCTTTGCCAAGAGCTAGCTTGGGAATAGCCAGGCTGGCTTCGGGTATCTCAAAGGCTTGATTGCTTGGGTCCAAAGTGACATCCTCAAAACCCTCTTGTGTTGGGACCGAATCCCCAAACTAATTACTTGCCCAACTGTTCAGGAGCATTGGGAAGCCAAAAGGAAATCATTGGAGCCGCGAATTCCTCATGAGACACCCGTTTGCGTCGCGAATCGCATCGCGTCTCACTCCCTAGGATGCCACGGTATCGAACTCCGACAGCGGGGTTTGAAGATCAGGTTAGATGGGAGATTGATTGCCCCAGGGCACCCATTGTTCTGTCTTTGAAAGGATGCGTTACGCAGTGATTCATTTTGCTGTTGAACATGGGCCTTCTGTTCTGAAGGTGAGCAATGTTTGGTTTTGGGTGTAAAGGTGAGCATTGCTAAGGTGACCTCTAGCTAAGGTTTGCCAAGGCACCCATTCTGAAGGTGAACGAGGGCTACGCCAGGGCAAATATGACTTTGTGGCAAGCTGACGCCAAGGTTCAGTGCTGGCTTTGTGTCAAAGAGAAACGCCACAAGTGCAAAAATCTGAGTCCAACACCTTTTTCTCTGCACATGGAGATAGCCTTGGCAAGGTTCAATCAGGACACTTTGTGTCAAGGGACGACGCACATTCTGTATTTTGCCTCTTGGTTTCCTTTTAAAACTGCCCCAAGGGTGATCTTCACACTCTTGAGGTTGCGAGAGATTTGTGCAGTTGAGTACCTGCGGCGAAAACGGCGCCAGGGTGCTGCAGAGTTCATGGCTGTGTCTGGTTGAGGGCACCCTTGTTTAAGTTGGTTTAAAGGAAAACCCAAAGGGAAGCCAACCGTTTCGGCGGTTCTCCCGTTTGGAGACGTTCCCTAAATCAGCTCACCGCTCCAGGGGTACAAGGAGCAATCCCGGACCCCAAAGTGAAGGTCCTCTACTAGCCTTTTTCTGGCTTGGCCGTGAAAGTGTATTGCCCAGATGCTTCAATTCTCATACATATGAAGTTTCGTAACATATTATGGCTGTGGGTCAAAACTAATGGTCCACCCATTTTAGTCATTTTTAGTGGGGATTGGGATGTTCACGGGGGGTACGGGGTTTTGACCCACAGCCATATCCAGTAGTCCAGGGGCAATGTGGGAGGGACGTGGGAGACTCCAAAGTGTTCCCAGGAGAAAACAGGATGACTCGCGAATTGTCCCTTTCCAACATATTCTGTAGCCACATATTAGGAGGAGGGGCGGTGGCTCACATGCGTGTCACTGCTTTTGGAAAGTAAAACGTGGGCCTTAGCAGTTGCAGTCAACCCATCAAACAACTGGTTACATACCTCTTTCAGACCGTGCAAGATCGGGGTATGAATCTAGGATCCATTGGCAACAGCCCCTTCGACATTTAGAAGCTTATCATCAACTCTTCACAGTCTGCAGGCACCTCCCTTTCTGTACTGGGCACGGAGGTTGCAGTGTTGACATTCAACCTTTGCGTTGCCATTCCCGGGAGTAGCCCCACGTATTAGGTGAAGAGATAAACTGATACCATTATCAAATTTGCCTTTCAGCTAAATTCAGTTGGGTCAAAAACCGGGATCGCGAAGAATCAATGTGAGTTACCCTCGCATGGGAGATTGCCCTAAATATTGCAAACGGGGGATTACCTCCAGTTTCTTCTAGACCACTCAGTTGCTGCCCTTTTGACCTTTTGACCTTTTGGTTTTGGAGCCTTGGTTCATTGTTAGTCATCCCAAAAGTTGACCCAAAAGGTAAACTTGTTTTTTTTTAATATGTTTATGTCTGCTTTTTGCAACTGAGACCGTGAATTCTTTTTTTGCTTGAATCTCTTTGCCCTAAATCTCCGCCAAACGATCCCCGCAAAATCCCATCCGACAGCTCCCAGCGCCTCTCGGGAGCCGGGAGTCGCTGGAGCTCGCTCGCGCCATGGCGGAGGCGCGGGCCCATTCGGTCGGCGGGTGGCCGTGGGTCAAAACCGTTCAACGGGATCCCATTGGTGGGATTTTCGGTGCACCCATTTTAGAGCCGATTTTAGTGGGGAGTGGTTGATGTTGCACCCAATTTAGAACCGACTTTAGTGGCTGGATTGAATCGGATGTTTGCTGGGGGTACGATTTGGGTGTTGACCCATGGCCATGTGTTCTTGGTGGCGCAACCGGCCATCCGGGTCCCTAGCTTTTTGGATCTTTTGAGCGAGCGGTGGGATTTCCCCATTTCACCCGCTAGCTCAACCTTTTCGTGGGGGATCTGAAAACGGCGCGGTTTCAGTTTCGTCTGAAACCTTCAAGAATTGAGTGTGGCTTAATGACTCATTTGTGGCTTCGATTTGTACAAGGGCGATATAGATGCCTGCCGACCTTCTGGTGTTCTCTCAGCTACCCAAAGTGGACATGCGGGTACGTAGAAGCCATATAGTACGGTTTTTTGGTGTGTGTGTATATATATATATACAACCCACGTATTGCGAGCTTTTGTGTTTGTTTGGGGACCTGTTGCGAATGGTCGATTTAGAGCACCCCTCAGGTCGGCTTCCCTTGGCATGTTCAAAAGAAGCATTTGACTTGGATCTGGCCAATTCTGATCGAATCACGGGAATCTAGGTATGAATCCAGGTTGATCCGCCAGGTGTAGAAACTCCAGGGTTACCCTCCAGGAAATCAACCGTGCTTAGGGGGCAAACAGCCAGATCAACCGGGGTCGAGAATGGGTGAGCTCCGCAATCCCGGGAATGCTGAAGAAAGAAGGGTGAACATTGAAGACCAAGTATGGGGAAGAATATCAAGCAAGCGATGCGGGCCCCGAAAAAGGGAACTTTTTTAACACTACTGTGGATGGACAGAATCATGTACCACCTACGAAACCATGGTTGAAGCCATTGTTTGTTGGTATTTGCAGGGGAATCATGAATCATCAGACTCCAGGGTTTCTGAAAGGCGGCGCGAAACGGGTCTCGTCCATCCGTATGAGCAGCTAGAAATCTTCATGGTTTTGAGGGGCCCGCGATCGGGCTGTGCCTCAGGGACGGGGCAAAGCTCGGCCCACCACCCTCATCGAGCCCAAAGCACAGGCTTGCAGATGTCGTGAGTGGGCGTCTGCTTCGGTTCTGTTTCTAGGTCCCCAAGTAGTGCCCTTTTACCCTTTTGTGGGGGAGGGTTCCCCTACTACAATAAACTACCGAGAAAAGGGTACTCTTATTCTAACCTCTCTACTGGAGAACCTAGGTTTCACTACCACATTTTGCCAGAATTGCAAAAACAACTCCCGCTGATTTGGAGGATCCCAGAAGGCGATTTGTGGCATCTTTTGGAGAGCCCCGGTAGATTGAAACTATAACAAGACACCCACCATTCAAATGAGGGTCCTCCGCATTCATAGCCCATGGGAGTCGTCCTTTTCTGCTGTTGCGAGAAGGATCGTGGGACTGCAATGCCAAGAAAGCCTCCTCGGTTTCCTCAAAAACCTGGCGGGAGTCAGTTACTTCCATTTGTTGAAATGAATATTATGTTTATGTTCCCTTGTTGGCGTTTGAAGGGAATCTATCACTACTAGATCTTCTGTTTTTGGTTGAGTTGTTTGCTGTTTGGTTCTGTTCATCTAGTGGGTGCTGCAAAAAGTAAACCTTGGCTATCACCAGGGGTTGGGAAGAAAGGTGTAAATGATGTTGCTAGTTTGGTTGCAGCCATGGTATCAGGGAGACACACAAAGTGGTGGACGAGCAGGGATGGAAAGTTTCAGGCACTGGGGAACATGCGGGAGAACTAGGGGATTCTGACTTCATCCCCTCTCCCAGTCCTTGCTCCTTTGTTTTCAGAGAAATGACATGATGCCATGATAGGTACTGGTCGAAACACACACACACACACATATTCCGAACGCAACAAATCCATAAGCTTGCCCCAGAAAAGTCTTTGAAGCAAAGTCACAAAACAAAGCGGATCATTATTAGATGGATGGAACCAGGTACCCCTAGAATATATTCCAGCGTGTATATATTTCACCCTCACTTCCTGTGTTCATGAACTTTAAGCTTTTGGGAAGACCATTTTCGTTGTAAACAAAAAGTTTGGACTTTTTTTGGGCCATCCACTCAGCCGTGCACAGGGAAACCAAGAGCAAACCAAAAGGACACCGAGGGAGTCGTAAGGTTTCGTCCTGAGAGGAGCCGGAGATGCAGACGCTGCCCGCATCTGACTGGTTCCAGGCGCAGATGGACGAAATGCGCGTTTCGTGGCACCCAAGAAACCCTGGTGTCTGATGCTTCCCCAGAAAATAGCAACAAACGTAGTGGTTGGAAACCATGGCTTCTTAGGTGGTGCGAAATGGATTTCGCTTTTCCATCCACAGCATGTTTTCAGATGCTCAGATCCCGGGTGAAGTGACAGTCCAGTCACGGCCGACCCTTGATTCTCTAAATTTTGAGACCCAAGGTCTAAATTTGGCTCTCATCATTAGGCCAGCGGTTGTCAACCGGGGTGCTTGTGCAGGGGCCAGGGCGAAAACCATTCCAATGTGCATTTGGGGTATGCAAGTTTGACCTTGAGGCTCGGGCTCCTTGTCCCTAATTTGAATGTTGTAATGTTTGGTTTTGAGCTGACAAGATGATGGTCGCCTTGTTTCGTTTGCTCAGAGGGAGGCACGTCCGCCTTCATGGGGCGTGCAGGCGCAACTTTTCCTGGATTCCCGTGATTCTTTCACCAAGAGGGGTCACCTTGCTATTCATTGCAATCTGTCCTAGTTTGTTTGCTTTGCTTTTCTGTCCCCGCTTTCTCGAGGGCTGCTAAGATTCTAGATGTTGTGACAACATACCAAGGGTTGCTCATGCAAGACTTAGGGAGTAGAAGAACCTATGTGGAAAGAAAGATGGTCCAACTCTACTCATTACTTGGAACCCCTTTTGGAGATCCTCCCTGTAAGAGTTTGGAAGGTCAGAAGTTAAGCCCTGACTGCATGATGACGGAGAGTTGGACGCTTTGCATGACGTGTTCGCAGCAGATAGCCACCTATGTGAAAATGCTGCTCTTGCAATGCAACTGTTTCTATCTCCTGCTTGTTCAAGAACGCAAAAGCGTTGGTGCTTCAATCGAAAGGCAAAAACAACAAGCGCACTGTTTAGTAACAACGACAGGATCGGCACATCCTCACTTCAAACAAACTGTGACATGAACACGTGCGATTACCAGACAAACAGGCACACACACACACAAACACACGCAAACAGATGCAACAACAAACACGCACGCACGCACCCAAGCAAGCACGGAAACACCACCGCACATGCACGTGCACACGCACGCGCACACGCACACGCACACGCACACGCACACGCACACGCACACACGCACACGCACACGCACACGCACACGCACACGCACACGCACACGCACACACACACACACACACACACACACACACACACACACACACACACACACACACACACACACACACACACACACACACACACACACACACACACACACACACACACACACACACACACACACACACACACACACACACACACACACACACACACACACACACACACACACACACACACACACACACACACACACACACACAATTGTGCACACACACACACACACACGCACAAATAGAACACCTCCTTTGTTTTTTCCTGGGACGTTCGGATCTGCGGGATCTCCCGACAGGCACAGTTGGTGCAGGTCCTGGAGCTGAGACCCGGGGGCTGGGACACCGTGGATCTCAAGAGCCCGGGATCTCGGAGCAGTAGCCTCCCATCAGCAAAAACCTGCAGCAGCTGTGGGGGTCTGGAAATAAAGGTTTTATTCAAAAGGACCTACCCTGCGATTCCATGGAAGTGCCTTCGGACTGCGATTCCATGGAAGTGCCTTCGGACTGTAGAAAGACTACTCTCCTCTTGGAAAAGGCCTTTTTGCACTTCCATGCTAGTTGGTGGGAGGGTAGCACTTATTGAATCTGCTATGCATAATCAATTGTTGCTTCACGGTGTGAATTCAGTATTTGTGCAGGAGTCGACTCCGAGTCGACGGGGTCGACAAGTCGACGGAATCCGCCCGCCGAATGCGTCGAAGCCGCGGGCGGTCGGAAGAGTCAATCTTGCGGTTGCGAGAGATCGGGGGCCCGGAGAAATGGAATGAATGAGCCGCCATAATGAGCCCCGAGCTTGAACCCATCCCTTGCTGGCGGTGTCCGTTTTTAAGGGGAAAGCCTGGGTTCATTCCCTCATTCCCCACTGAGCAGCAAGAAAATGCAGTGACACATAAGACCCGACAGGTTTTGACGTAATCCGAACGCTTCAAAAACTGGTGGGTGTTAGGCCGCGATTCAAAAATTGCCCAAAGAAACCGTCATGCATCCTATCTTACACAAGCTGCTACAAGTCCCGGTGACCAATGTTGGATGGCTCGGCGTCTTTTGTTTTGGTTGGTTGGTACTTGGTACCCCCCCCTTCTTAGTGGCTTGACAGTTTCAAGGGAAACCACAATTTTGGGGGGTCCGGTCCCCAAATGATGGTTTGTCCCTCAGAAAATGGCACACATGCCAAAGTGGAAAATTACAGAATCGCAACCCTTTCTTTTTGCGAGTCTAAGTTTATCATCCAGAAGCCGTCATACGCGATGTTTCTCGTTGAGCTGCAAAGATTAGCAAGTCGACGGTATCCCTGGGAAAGGACACAGACACGCGAGCCAACATGGGCCTTTCGAGCATGACACACGAGTTCATGGCCCACAAGAGATTCCCATTTAGTGGCCAAATTAACTTGTTTGTCTTGGTGGCTCCCAGCCATCCCCTTAGTTCCCCACCGGACAGGAAGGGGTTGTTAGATTTTATGTTGGAATCCGCGTTTGCGATGCTTCTACACCACGCCCCCACCCACTATCCCGCCAGAGCAGCTCGCCAGTGGATCCCGCCCGCCAGAGCAGCTCGCCAGTGGATCCCGCCCAGTATCCCGCCAGAGCTGCTCGCCAGTGGATCCCGCCCAGTATCCCGCCAGAGCTGCTCGCCAGTGGATCCTGCCGAGTATCCCGCCAGAGCGGCTCGCCAGTGGATCCTGCCGAGTATCCCGCCAGAGCGGCTCGCCAGTGGATCCCGCCGAGTATCCCGTTGAGTATCCCAGAGTAGCTCGCCAGTGGATCCCGCCGAGTATCCCGCCAGAGTAGCTCGCCAGTGGATCCCGCCAAGTTACCCACCAGAGCAGCCCGCCAGTGGATCCCGCCGAGTATCCCGCTGAGTATCCCACCATATCCCACAGTAGCTCGCCAGTGGATCCCGCCGAGTATCGCGCCAGAGCAGCTAGCCAGTCTGGTTTTGCTTAATGTCCCGCCCGGCGCACAGTTAAATTTACATTTCATTCGCCGACGCCTCATTGGATTCTCTTTTTTTCTTCAGCACTCTGTTGTTTGGCAGGCATCCTCATCATCCTCCTCCAGGACGAAACAGGCACGACGCCGCAGGTTTTGCTGACCGCAGAGCAGCTCTTGATGGCGTGACAGGCCACCATCTTACCACGAACGACAGAGCAGGCAGGTGACGCAGGCACCTTCTTTTGCAGATTTTTGCAGCTGACGCAAACTTGTTTTTTGCCTTTGATTTGGTCAGGCAGCGACAATAGCGAGGTTGGAGGCCGAGCTCAAAGCCGAGCGCGACAAGTGCATCGAGCTTGCAGACAAGGTGGAGAGGCGCGAGTGTGGAGCAGCATGATCATCAGCTCATTGGTTTGCTCCATCAGGTATCGTGAGCTGGGCGTGGCGAAGAGCAACCAGATGCTGGAGCAGACCAAACAGATTGCGAAGCTGACAGCTCAGGTTCAGATTCTTGAGGCGATGGACGAGTGTTTTTTGGGTGGTTTTTTCATTCTCCGGGAGGCCACATCGCAGAGCAAAAAGCGCACGAAGCCAGAGGTCTGGCAGGTGCAGGAATCAGGAAATCCGGCATCTTCTGCTGCCCAGCACCACGCAAGCTGTTGGCGTTTCTGCGTTTCTGCTTTTTCTTGGCAAAGAAGCAGATCAAAGCTGTAAACTTGAGAGGCCCCTCACTTCCGTTTTTCGTCGTGCTTGCAACATGTTTCTGACAAGATTCAGCGCGAGTTTGCACGTGCATGCATGAATGATCGCTCCCTGTCAGGCAGAAGGGCTGAGCAGCGACTAGAAGCGTTCGAGCACGGTGCCGGCAAAATCACACTCAGGCCTTTCGGGAGGGGAGGGGGGAGGGGGGAGGGGAGTGCTGAACAAGTTGGTGCCTTCGTGTTTTGAGGGGACTGTGAGGCTCGGAAAGGGTGGTGCTTTTGTGTTGCTTTGGGTTGTGAATAAGCAATTTCGTTTAATCCCCCGTCGGGTTTCTTTTTGGAAGGGGCTTGGGTTTTGTTAACGGAACCGATGTGTGAGTTCTCGAGATCGGCTCGCAGATAAGTGGAGTTTGACACACAGGCAGGTGGATGAGGATCTCAATGCAAAGCTTGTTAAGCAGTCATAGGCCCCAAGCCACTCGAAAACTCACACAACCGTGTTCACGGTCGTAAGCTCGTGAGTGTGGAGGGTGGGGTTGCTCGAAGCGAAGTGTTTTTTGTTTTTTAGCGTTTAGTGGTAGTTTCCATTTAACCCACTCAAAGGTAAATAACTACTTCGATTCGAGCAATCCCCACCCTCCACAGACACGAGCTTATACGACCGTTACAACAAATTCCTCCGCATCCTAGAGACTTCGACTCCAAATTCCCATCGGCCCCTTCCCTTCCCATCGGCCACTTCCACTTGTTTGCGAGGCGATCTCGAGAACTTCCGTTAACAAAACCCAAGCCCCTTCCAAAAAGAAACCCGAGGATCAAACGAAGTTGCTTATTCACAACCCAAAGCAACAGAAAAGCATCACCCTTTCCGAGCCTCATTGTACACTCAAAACACAACGGCACCAACGTGAAATGTAAACCCAACTGGATCCAGCGGCAAAGGATACTCAGCGGGATACTCGGCGGGATCCACTGGCGAGCTACTCTGCGATACTCAGCGGGATTCTTGGCGGGATCCACTCGCGGGGCTGCTCTGGTGGGATACTTGGTGGGATCCACTGGCGAGCAGCTCTGGCGGGATACTGGGCGGGATGCAGCTCTGGCGGGATACTGGGCGGGATCCACTGGCGAGCTGCCCTGGCGGGCGGGATCCACCGGCGAGCTGCTCTGGCGGGATAGTGGGTGGGGGCGTGGTGTAGAAGCATCGCAAACGCGGATTCCAACATAACATCTAACAACCCCTTCCTGTTGGGGAAAAAGAAAAAGCTTTGAGCAGGGGATGAGAAATCGAGCAGCCCAGTTGCGGTTTGTTTCCCATTGGCAAAGGACCTTTTGATCTACCCAAGTGCATGTTTGGATTTGTGACGAAATCCACTGCGCACCCCCAAACAGGGCTTCATCGGATTGTGTCCATCCCTATCATGTTCTCTCAGTTTCTCTCCACATCTTAGGTGCCATCAAGCTGGCGCATGGCGAGAAGGTGGAGCCCGAGAAGGCCGGAGAGAGCTTCAGCCAAGGATCCGATGGCCCGCGCAGGCAAAATGGCTGGTGGAGAGCCCAGGAAAAGGTGCTGAAATGAATTTGTTTGTTCCTTTCCCCTGTTGGTTTTAGAGGGAATCGATTTCACTACTGGAAATATGTCCATTCTTTCCAGGGGTCTTAACCAAATAGAAGGGACTGGGGATTCAACTGGACAGGGACATATGCTGCCACTTGTTTTTTGGTAAGATAGGATACATGGTGTTTTTGCAATTTTTGCCTCGCGGCCTCGAAAGTCGGGGTTGTTTCGGCTTTATCGTTTGGAGTTCGGGGCTTGTTCTTTGTGGGTCAAACGTTCATCTGTGCAAATCAGCATCCTCTCAACTTCTCTGAGTTACTGTTTACTAGGTCCCCCAGTGGCGCCCTTTCTCACCCCTTTTTTGGTTGGGAGGGTTCCCCTACTAAAATAGACTACAGGAAAAAAAGGGTACCCTTATTCTAACCTCTCTACTGGAGGACCTAGGTTTACAGTCTTGGCGTATGATTGTTGATCCAACGCGTTCCTTCCAAATGCAGCACCATGACACGTGCTCAACTTGTCGAGGTGCACTCGTATGTTGTTCAACCAAGTTGCTTGTGGCGAAGACATGGATCACTCTGTGCAAGACTGGCCCGTTTTTGAAACGGAGGCATCTATGCTTCGCAAACTTACGTAACACATGGGCAATCATGGGTACCATGTGCCCATGTTCTTCTTGAATACAACTCAAGGACTTGCTGCGTAGTAAGCATTCCCCGGCATTTCGAGAGCAGACTGACTGCATTCGTGTGAACAATCTGACATATTTATTAGAAGCGAACTCAGCGTTGGAAAGGCCTCTAGCACACCACAAGCGATGTTACTCGGTGACAACTCCACCCAAAGTGGATAGTCAACTAGATCCCCCAGTAGTTCCCCTACTATAATAGACTACAACTGCAGAAAAAAAGTTGGTACCCTTATTCGAACCTCTCTACTGGACCTAGTCAATGGCAGAGAAACCAAGCAGAGTTCGTCCAAAACTCGTAGGCTCTTTTGCAGAGTTTCGGTCTGTGCCCTTGGAAAAGGCGCCCTGTCCGGCCAGGCCGCATTCATGCCTTCGTCGCGCCTGCCGCCTGTTTGCCAGTGGGCGTGGGGGGAAACTGATGTTCTACTTCGGTGCTTGGCCATGCTAAGTCTCAATTCCCAACTTTCTGGCCGTTATACGTTTTGGGAAGACGGTTGTAGTGGCAAACCGCAAGGTCGTGTTTGGCAACCCAGGCAGGAAATGAAGATGCATTAGTCGCCTGGCAAGCCACTACAAACAATATGAAGTGTGTTTTGGGAACGTCTATGTATGTTTACAACCTCTAAGTCCAACAATGAAACCTAATATTTACTGATTATGATCAAGTAGATCCCAATATGAATACAATACACTATTATATAATATTGGTTGCATTTCAAGGGGAAAACAAAAGTCTTGAAAGTGATATTGTTACGAAGGTTAGTAACCTAACGAACACCAAAGTACTGAGAGCAAGCCTTCATCTCCACGGGCCATACCGAGAGTAAGCGGTTCGTCACCCTGGTACAAACGTGCCGCAGTCACCTGTCTGAACTCACCCTTGCGTGGAAACGCATGTTATGAGTCCCGTGGGTTAGAATCAGGTTTCCAATGTCCAGGTCCCCCAGTAGTGCCCTTTTACCCTTTTTGGGAGGAGGGTTCCACTACTAAAATGGACTACAGAAAAAGGGTACCCTTATTCTAGCCTCTCTACTGGAGGACCTAGATGTTTAGTGCCGACTCAATTGCCTCAAGTGCCTGTTTGTATTGGCAACCCACAAGGTGCGCCTTTGATAGCGAGGGTGCTGCTTTTCGTTTCACAGCGGCAAAGATGATCGAGCTTTCCACAGCTCCGTTTGAAGTCAATGGAGATTGGCATCTCGATTGGTTTCTCGGGTGTTTTCATTGAGGTTGTGAAAAGTGGGCGATTTGCGACGAGTTGTGTGATACCCTGGTAAGTCCTCTATGAAGCAACACAGCAGCCACGGGGCATGGTTTCTGACCTCTGACCACTTTGGTAAATCGCCGAACGGAATTGACTCATTTTCCACAGCAATGTGGCCAAGTAAAGTCGCAACCTCTGGAAGGGTGTCGGTTTGTAGCCGAAAATCTATGACGATGGTTTGTTTCTTGGAGGGTCCTTATTTGATGGCTGGCGAATTCTGATTCACGCCAAAATCTTGGCAGACCTTTTTTCATTCGGGTCTGAACAAAAAACAATGGTACTGATATTAATAAGCCCTTTGTTTCTTACCGCCGAACTTATGCAAGTCAGCCAAGGAGCAAGCACAAGGACAAGACCCCCAAGTGAGCAGGCCGAGCCGCGGCCGGAATCGGCATTGGCGAGAGCCGGCTCGGTGAGAGCCGGAACGTCTTGCCGTCAACGAAGTGAGAAAAAGCCAAGTTCCCAAACATGAGCAGTTTCTCTGTTTCCCATTGAAGCGTTGACTCTTCCCAAAAGTTATTTTTGGAGGACACCCCCCAAAACGGGGTGTGCTCGAAACTTCGTGCCTTTCTTCAGGAAACCAGCGGAACAAGCCTAGTGCCAGAGCCTTTCGTGCAACACACTCCCAAAAACCACCGAAAGGAAGGGTCCAACTCATTTTGAGAGACACCAAGTGCAGTCAAAAGGCGGCAGCTGACCTTGTGCGATTGGTCTTTCGCTCAAGACATACTTCAGACAGCCGCATTGTTCCGGCAATGAAGAAGATGCCTTACTGAGTCTGCGAGCTCACAATGAAAGGGTAAAACAAGTTGGAGGCCATCATAGAGGTCTCTCTGGGAGATTGCCGACTTCAAGAAGAATTGCAGTGATTGGGGCAGATGGATTTCGCTTCGTAACTTCCTCCTTTTTCCTTGGGAGGGAAGGCGATTCTCCGGAGACCCGAATCCAGCGCACTTCGCCTGGGTTGGTGTATGTTGGTGTCCTTTAAAGCCAGCCAGCCAAAGGGCGGAAGTCCAGGGTCCCAGGGTGTGTGTGTGTGTGTGTTTCCCATGGCCACTGGGTTTTTGGTGCACCACAAATAAGAATGTACAAGCGACAATGTACAGCACGTCAGCTGCTGATTCCTTTGTCGGCGTTGGACATCTGGGTTGAACCAGTCTTAAAGAAAACAAGGATCATCCACTAAAACGCGCCCACTGATGGCCAAAGAGATGGACTCCTTGCTTGCGAACTGAATATCGGAGGCCAGCCGACCTTGTGACCTTTTGGTTGAAGGGCTGGCAGTACTCTTTGAGCACTCCTTTTGCATATTATGAGGAACGGACAATATTTCCAGGGAAAGGTTGATGATTATTGATTTTGTGTCGTTCCCTATCAGGTTCTGGCTTCTGGTGCCAATTATAACTCATAGTATGCCATGTACTCCAGGAAACTCATTGTGCGCCCCTGGGGCATTTGCCCAAATATAAAGCTTATACACCAACTATGAATAGATAATATGCAAGCATTTGCACACCCCATCCTTTGGTTTCTAGGGTATTTCTTTGGGGGTTGTTTGGCTGGTAGGGGCTGCGGGGTTGGGCCAAATTACGGCAATCTACTGGGGGGTGGCCACGAGACACCCACCAAGGTTCCTGTGTCCGGGGTGCATTTCTCATGTCAGGTTAATGGTAATCCACCATCAACAAGATTCAAACATTAGCACCCTCAACATAGCTGGCATCCTTTTGATTTGTGATGCAGCCTTAAAAGTGGTAGGAAATGCTCCAGATGCCAACGTCGCATGTTGGATCGCGGTCGCCTTTTGCTCGGCGCGAAGCTTCCCCGCCCATAGTGCGGTACAGGCCGGGCAAAGCACACAGCGTGTGGCATAGTCAAAGCACGGTCACCCCTGTGTTCCTGTTGTTTTCTGTTTGTGTGCTTTTCCGGGTTGAGTTCTCGTAGAATACAGAAGGCCAAACAAGGGAGATTTGTTTTTGGCCCGTGGCCAGTGGGCATGAGGCGGAGGTTCGATGCCAGGAAGATTGATGACTTTGGTTTTAAGTTGATTGTCTTAAGAAGGCCGGTGCGCAAATCGCTTAACATGTAACCAAACCATTGCTTTGCAAAATTGCCAATGGTTGATAGTTGCTTTGCAATCCTTGTGGTCTTGACGCAAATCTCCGACATTTGCTGACAATTGTTTTGCACAAATCAAACAAATCCGACACTTTCTCGACACTAAATCCTGCTTTCTTGACGCAAAATGCTGTTTTATGGACACTAGTTTTTAGGGCACTGGCCCAAACAGTCAGTGTTTGCAATTGTTTTCTCGACACATAGTCTAGTCACAATTCCTTCCCCTCCAGAATCGTCAGAAACATCGTCCACTGTTTAATCAATGAATCAATCTTCATTATGGGGAAGCATGTACCAATGAAGCATGAACCAAGGCATGAACCAATGCTCCCATCAAGTTATGCTTGAAGCAAATGTTGAACATGTCTAAACACGTCACTTCCTGAGTTCCTGGGCTTCCAGCTTTCTGGGTTTGGACTCCATCTCAGTGGGGAAAACCCCGCAGTTGGGGACTTGTGTCGGGCCGTCAACTCAGGAAGCGAGAGAATGCTCAAACAATATCTAGGTCCCCCAGCTAGGTGCCCTTCTCTCCCATTTCTTTTTTGGGGCAGGGTTGTTAAGAAGAGCCCTGTGTGTGTGCGACCCCCTAGGTTTTTCAGTAGTGCCCTTTTTTGGGGCAGGGTTCCCCTACTAAAATAGACAAAACCGAAAAAAGTTGGTAGCCCGATTCTAACCTCTCTGGAGGACCTCTCTGGAGGACCTAGATATTCAACCAATTGTCCTGCAGAACGGCCCCGTGTCGCCCGAAACCGACCGTGTGACCCCCTCTCACTCGAAGTTCTGAAAAATCGCAAACGGCCCAGGCCCGGATGGCTTGTGTGAACAGTCGTCCCCGAAGCTTTGCCCTTTAACCTTTTGGGTTTCTGATTGTGGCCCATTTGTCCCCCGACTTGTTTCTGTGAAGGTGCTGTTGCAGTTTGACAAGAGGTAGCTAGTGGCCATTGGTCAAGAGCGACTGCCAAAAGCAAAAAGACTTTGATCAAGCTAATTATAATGTTGACCCCATATTAGTCAGGGTGTCCCTGGGTTTAGTGGGGAATCATGACTTCTGGAGGGAACACCCCCCATTTTAATGAGCTGGGGTTGATTACTATGAGGTCAACATGAGCGTGTCTGTAGGAATCTAGGGCCCCCAGTAGTGCCCTTTTACCCTTTTTTGGGGGAGGGTTCCCCTACTAAAATAGACTACAGAAAAAAGTTGGTACCCCTATTCTAGCCTCTCTACTGGAGGACCTAGGAAGTAATTCCTCTTGGGGATGACATGTTTGTCGTATAATACGCCTGTGGCTCAGAGAGACAGCGGCGCGCGCTTCCAGGTTCACCACCTCTCCCTTAGGCGGGAATTCGCTCGCGGGCTGGAACACGCGGACATTGTTGGCCACCGATGTCGTGGAATGCAACCATCGTTATGTACAGCAGAAAATCGGAATACACCATTTGGGAATTTGATCTGGGCTCTGGTTCCAGTGTTGCTTCAATTCAGGCCAACATGTTTCAAATTGGCCTGGGTTTGCCTCATGGGCTGTCAGGGCTGAAGTAATGCACAGGGCTTATCGGGTGTATCCATTGATTGCCGCGCACGCCAAGGTGACCGGTCGCAACGAATCACTTCGGTTCTGACTTTTAAAAAAGGTGTCCCTTGGTCTATTCCAAGTTGCCCAGTGGCGCCCTTTATTCCTTTTTTTTAGGAAGCGATCCCCTTTAAACTCAATCAACAAAAAAAAAGATGCCCTTTTTTCCCCATGGCCACTTGGCATCGAAGTTTATTTCCTGGTCCTTCACCCCTTTGGTATCAAGTGAGAAGGTCTAGAGCATCTCAAGCATGTGTCAGCAAGAGAATCGAGGGCAACAAGCAAGCTTTTGCGCGTTTGCCTCAAAGTCCACACCCCGGTTTCCCTGAATACTGCCAGGGGCGGAAATGACATCGCCATTTACCGTGCAGTGTGTTGGACGTTGCTACAGCCATTTGTTGAGAGAAGGAATCCTTAGTCGGCCTTGGCAAATGGATCATTGAACTGATCGGCCAAGACCTTCACAGCTCCGGCGGAAGAGCAGAATCAACGCCTCCAGGCACGGGTCTTGCAGGATGCTTAACCTCACGGTTTTGTGAGCAGCATGAAACCCAAGATCCCCAAAAACAAGAACATGTCTGAACAGTTGCAATTGTTTCACGACGGCTACATTTACCGCTTTGGGAATGACATCAAAGTGGTTCCAGTACCGTTCAGGTTGCCAAGCTCAGCCCACAATCTCTCTTCTAGGGTGTCCAAAGGTTCGCTCATAACGTATCAGCTGCAAAGAAGCCTCCCCAACCTGACCTGTTGGTTGTCTATATAGCTTTGGTCATGGGCCCAAAGCGTTTATCCGTGTATTTCCAGGACCTTCGGAAGCGAATCACGATTCTCCTGAGCCAAAGCGAGACTCCGACAGGCAATCTATCATCATGTCGTTGTCGCACATCCAGATGATGCGCACTCAGCCGATCACAGAGCTATGGAGTTGTTGCTCCCAAAGTCACCACCAAACATCCTGAACAGGGCTCCTCCTTAAAGATACGAATTGGGAATTAGAAAATGGCATGTTCCACCACACCACAAGGAAGCAACATGTTTGGGGAGCAATCTTCAGAACAAAATTGCAGAACCCCTGTCAAATGAGTCTCCTTTTCATAGAGCCTTCAAGCCTAATACAGTTTCAGGTGTGTTTGGGAAGTTTGCGGAGAAATCACCATTGCTGATGTTTGATTAGCGGTTTGGGGATGAATTGTGGTTTTGACGAGACTCGCCGAAGATTCGAAGAAACCCAGGCAAAGATGAAGAGATACTGCTATACACCGCTTATACACGTTCCCACGAGCATCTAATGCTCCATCGGAAAAGGTAGCCGCAGCCATTAATTCCATGTTGGGCAACACGCCACAGGCAACATGGCCAAAAAGGCAACTGCGTGCATATGACATGGGATCCAAGGACGAGACATGAGACAGCAGAGCTTTTGTTGTAAGGATTGTTGAGGGTGGGTTTTCGGCCCTCCATTTTACAACTACTCTTTGAATGCCCCAACTAGTTGACATGTTGTCTCTCTTGTTTTGCACGCATGTAGAGTGGATCGGGCAGCCGAGCCGGGAATCGCGCCCGGGCCAAGGCTACCCGAATCGCAGAGGTTTGTTTGTAAACCCTTGGCTGCCCGCTTTGGAACCCTGGCAGATACCCAAGCAATTCCATAGCTTGGACTCGAGAAAAGGTTTGCTGAATGGGTACAAGTTTCAGAGATTCGGCCGAGTGCCTTGCCCATTTTCCGGAGGCGGCGAGCCCCTTTTTGAGGGGTCTGTCGCTTGTGTGAAGACAAATTCCATTTGTAGAGGTAGCAAAGGTACCAGCCAACAGGCCCAAATTCTCGTGCTAGGCATGGATATGCACAGAATGTCAATTCAGCCGGAGGGCCGAGGCACTTTTTCAACAGAGAAAGACCCCCCTGCATGAACCGTTCGATGGAAAAGGGGCAAATGCAAATCGAAAGGGTCTGCGCTGAGTTGACTGAGGTCGTTGATCCACTTGCAGGCGCGGCTCTTACCTTTCCCCTGACCCATCACACCTGGAAGACTGTGAGACATCCTGCGTCGCGGCAAAGCTTTTTAGGGGGGTTAGCAACGTGTTCTGTGTCTTGGCCAGTTGTTTGCCTTGAGCATTGACAAATCATTTGTTGCATGTCTCAGCCAAGGGAACCTTATGGCGCTCATGGCGATGGTTTGCACTTGGTCGGTTGGTTTGGTTGGCTGGTGACACATCTTCACGGTCCCAACATTTGCTGGACCTCGTTGGGATGGTGATTGAAGAGGGAATCGCAAAGGGAACTTTGTCCTTTTTTCTTTCTTTCTTTTGGGGGGGCTCCCCCCATTTTTTCCTATTTTGACACAGACCCAAATCCTCATTCGGACACAGTCCTTGCCCCCAAATTCGCACCTTTTTTCATATCCTGCTGTGCCAATGTCAGCGCTTGACTTTGGGCCCAAAATGCATGCAGCGCGTGCGTATATGATTCTGCGGATGGAAAGGCGAAATCCAGACCTTCCAGAACCCCAGCGGTGTCTGATTCGCTTCAACCAAATGACCTTGCCGTCATGGTTTCAACCATGGCTTCATGTGGTGCGAATCCCATTCCATGACCGGATTCCCCAACGGCGCTCAGCGCTAAGCGGCGGCGGCGTCCGGACGTCCTCGGAGGGCTCCGTGGGTTGCAGCTGCCAGGTGGGACTGACACATTGGCGCTTTGAGAGAGAACCCTCCAAGGGTGCCCAGAAGCACCTCGAGGTGTCCAAGTTGGGCTGGGTGGACATCTTTGGCTTCGCTTACTTGGGCCGTGGAAATTGTTTTGGCACCAGGTTTTAGCCTTTGACTCTCCCAAGTCTTTCGGGCAAGTGAGTCTGGCGATGAGAGTCACGAAGCAACACAGACGCCTTCTGGATGTGTCATATCCTGAGTAGTTCAACCACACTTGTGGGAATCCTCAAACACCCAAAACTCAGAGCATTGGTTTCTAAATTTTGACAACCCTCCACTTGACACTCTGTCAGTTTACGACACAGACAGCGGACACGTTCTCAGAGTGAAAAGTCCTGTGCAGTGCGACCAAGCCCGAAGCCCCTCGTCCATATGTTGCGCAGGCCGGCGAGGAGTGCGTTAAGGACACCGGCTGTTGTTGTCCCTGTTGTCGCGGCCTCGACTCGGATGGCGCGCGACCGGTTTTGGTGACCCTGTGCCCAAACGAATCTTAAAGATGTTGCTTGGTATCCCGTTAGAGCAGCTAAAGGGAGGGAACACCGGCCGAGAGCTGGCGAGGAACAGTTAAGCGGTTGGACATCATGTTTTTCAACCGGATGATAAGCTGCACCTGTGTTGAATGTGTGTGTGTGTGTTTAAAAGGCTCAATAGTTGCAATAGCTTGCTCCCACAAGGATGACTGCCTTTGGTTGAAAAGTACCCCACAACCCAGTCACAACCCCATTCGACCTTTCATTCTTATCTCCTCAAACGCCAGGTGGCTCACGGTTTCTTCTTCACAACTCAGTGAAACAGCGCGGCCTTTCTGCTAAACCCGCGTGCATGGGAGTGCCCAGTGTCGTCCTTTTCCTTTTTTTTGGGTTCCCCACTTAACATGGGAAAGACACTTTTTTCCAGGGAGTAGTGCCCGTTTATCAACTTTTTTTGGGGAGGGTTCCCCTACTAAAATAGACTACATAAACAAGGGTACCCTTTTTCTAACCTCTCTACTGGAGGACCTAGGGAAGGGTCGAAACATTCCCCTTCTTCCACCTCAAGTGAGTCCAAGCATCGGGAACCCTTGCCGCGCGGGGTCCCAGGGTTCGTGGGGCCCACGAATCCACGATCTGCATGCTGTGGGTGAACTCCGCGGTGGGAGGAGTTGAACGCTGCACAGCTCATCGTATCTTCAAAGCATTTGGCATGGGATCAGTTTAGGGGGAATGCAAAAATATGCAAAAATAAGAACGTCGCGGTAAAGACCACTGACAGGATGTCTTTAATTGTTCCCTACGACGCGGCTATGCGTCAGAACCAGGGTTTCTTCAAAATGGTTGGCTCCAGATTTATTTTACATCAAACTTATTGAAATTGTTCATTGTTTGATGCAGACGGACCGCCAATCAGGAATCCAGCGGCTTCGGCTGGGTAACCAGGAAGGACAGTTTGGGGCCAAACAGTTTGGGGAGGGGCTCCCCGGACCGATTGAGCGTCAGGAGAGACATTCGGCCTACCCAGAGCCCTTCTCAGAACCCGTAGGTTTGAAGGAAACCCGAAGCAACTCCGAGATAGCGCATTCCGCACATTCCGCACAAACCCACCCGAGGTTGTTGTTGTCGATGTTGTGCCCCAGCCCCAGTGCCGGGGTGTGGTGGGCTCTGGTGGGCTCTGGTGTTCGGATTGCGCAATTGTACGGGAACCGCTGACAAAGTAGTCATGGGGACGGGAATCAGATGTTGAACAGGCAAAGAGCGTTCCCATCCAACTGAATGTTGAACAGTTTTGCGCAAAGAGCCCGCAAAATTAAGATTGCGCACAACTGTTGTGGATGGCATTTCTCGTCGGGGTGCCTTGTCGATTTCCATTTTGAAACGTCGGGAAGCCGCAGAGCGAAAAACCGCATTTTGCGAGGTGTGCGCGAAAATTTTTCAGGCGCTCTGCATTTGTTGAATTGCAGTTGTCCTGGACATGGGGACACGATGACTTCGTAAGACTCCCTGAAGTGTGCCAAATTAGGCACAGAATCTGTCCTTCTGGTTTCCTCCTGCCAGGGTTCAAAGGCTCCTTTCCTTGACGCTCCCCTAAATGAGTTTGCACCGCTGCTTTTGCGGTTCACTGTCATCTCGTTGCTCCCGTCAAAGGAATCATTTCCCCGTGGATAGCCCATCCTGAATCTCTCCAGTTGAAGGATTCCAGGTTTGAGACAGTCTGAATTCCACAACATGGTGATGGATTCCTTTGCGAGGTAGCCTGACTTGTGATCTGACGGGGCTTGAGGCTGCCGCTTTGGTAAGGTGTCATCTTGTGCTGTTACAAAGGTCCCCCCTTGGGCGGCTCACCTTATTGTCCCCCCCCCCCAAAAGGCCCAGTTTTGGACTCTGTACTGTTTAGGACATCGAGTTTAGGCAAGACATGAAGGTGCCAGGTATAGAAACAGCCCCCGGGTGTTGGTGACAAACTGCATAAAGATTTGCCGGGGCTTAGGCATGTCTCCCGCCTCCAACACAAGATGGGTAATTATCCAATCAGCCATGGCGACCCAACTACAACTGTGCAGGTGATCAGCTACGGTTAGTGGTACCCCAGATGATCTCCATCAAACTCGAGTGGAGTTGTTTAGGTTTGAATTTGTCCCTCAACTTCAACGGCCTTTGTTGCAAGCCCCCGTGTTTTGTTTTTGTCTTTTTCACCGGCGCTACAATGCACTCAGTTAGCCGATCGCCTCCTGACCCAAGCAAGCCAGAAAGAAACTCATCACGAAGCCGAGGAACCATTTCCTTGGGGGTGCCCGGCCGTCCCCTGAAGGTTTTTCGGGCTTAGTCGAGGTTGCCAGTTAACCCACAGGGGATCTGAGGACAGCCCAGTTTTGAGGATTCGGCTCTTCTTTTCCCTTCGGCCAATTCTGTGATGGGAATGTAACTTGCTGGTGCTCAGCAGGGAATGAGGGAATGGCCCCGAGAAACCATCCCTTATTGTTTCCTTGAAAAAATCCATCATTCCCCACTTATCGCACCAGCAAGTCCGTCCCTCTCTCTGATCGCCTGAGGCCTAAAGCGACAGCATGGCTTGCCATGCCCTCGACGCCAGTCGCGCGTCGCGCTGTCGCGCTGTCGTCGGGACTTGATTGGCGACTTGGGATATCTTGCGTTCCAGATCATCCCCTGATCCCCCGCAGCACGTCCATCCTGGAGGCCTTTGAAAGGGCGCAAATCTGGGGTCATGGTGTCATAAAGGTGCAGAGCTCCGCCCTTTTCATGAAACTAGGGATGGTTACAGCAACCTGCATCTGGGATGGATGAAACTCCATGAAAATGGCCTTGAGCTACTGGCGAGGCTATGGGCTAAAAGGGAAGAATATGAAGCCCTGCTGAAATGAGCCATCGCTTGACCTGGCATGGTACAATGCGCTTGCCAACACGGTGAAGTAAAACCAGCTTCCCCATGGTATCTTACTTGGATCCCTTGGGGCTTGAAGGAAAAACATGTCATACTTGCCACGGTTTTGGGTTGATGCCTTTGGTGTTGGATCAATTGACAACCTTGACAGTAAATTGCAAGCTGTTCAAGGGGGCAACTTCGACGCGATAGCTAGATCAAGGGGCGTTTAGTGGGATGCCCGAAGGCAGGTACTTGTCTTATTAATCATTGAACATGCACCGGCTCTTGTCTAAATGCCAAGTTAAAAGAGCAGCGTTCTAAGTTCCTTGCAATTGAGTGAGGAAATATGATATGGTTTTGACCATGTTAGTTTGCCCACGTCGCGGCAGGCTTTTATCATTTGCCCAGTCACAAAAGGTTCGCGAAAGCGAACACACACGGTGGAAAGCGCTGCTTTTGTGGTTTCGCATGTGCAACATGAAAACTAAATCCTCGAATCTCCTCGATCCGCGCAAGCGCGCGGCGCATAGCTGTTTGCTATGTCGACACCACTCGCGCCTCGTCGCGGAACTCTCCTTGTTTTCTGTCTCCATATATTTTATTGTTGTATCTTTTGTTTCCCCGAAAGCATCGCGAAGGGTTCTTCCGTGCGGAGCCCTTGGACAAGTTACACAGAGCCAAGTTGCACAGAGCCAAGTTGCACAGAGCCAAGTTACACAGAGCCAAGTTACATAGAACCAAGTTACATAGAGCCAAGTTACATAGAGCCAAGTTACATAGAGCCAAGTTACATAGAGCCAAGTTACATAGAGCCAAGTTACATAGAGCCAAGTTACATAGAGCCAAGTTACATAGAGCCAAGTTACATAGAGCCAAGTTACATAGAGCCAAGTTACATAGAGCCAAGTTACATAGAGCCAAGTTACATAGAGCCAAGTTACATAGAGCCAAGTTACATAGAGCCAACTTACATAGAGCCAAGTTACATAGTTCCAAGTTACACAGAGCCAAGTGGCACAGAGTCAAGTTACACAGAGCCAAGTCAAGTTGCACAGAGCCAAGTGGCACAGAGCCAAGTGGCACAGAGCCAAGTTACACAGAGCCAAGTGGCACAGAGCCAAGTGGCACAGAGCCAAGTGGCACAGAGCCACGTTGCACAGAGCCAAGTGGCACAGAGCCAAGTGGCACAGAGCCAAGTGGCACAGAGCCAAGTGGCACAGAGCCAAGTGGCACAGAGCCACGTTGCACAGAGCCAAGTGGCACAGAGCCAAGTGGCACAGAGCCAAGGTTAGGTAGAGCTTGCCTAGAGCTTCGGCGTAAGCAGCTATGTGAGTTAGTTTAGGTTTCTAAGGCACCTCGGCGGGAGTTTGATCATCGCTCGGGATTGCGACCCTCTGCGGAGATTCGCGTGGTCGAGGTTCAAAAACTGGACTTTTTACGATTTGTGCAAGCCGCGCGCGACCCTCTGCGAGATTCGCGTGGTCGAGGTTCAAAAGCTGAGGACTTTTTACGATTTCTGCAAGCCGCGCGCGACCCTCTGCGGAGATTCGCGTGGTCGAGGTTCAAAAACTGAGGACTTTTTACGATTTCTGCAAGCCGCGCGCGACCCTCTGCGGAGATTCGCGTGGTCGAGGTTCAAAAACTGAGGACTTTTTACGATTTCTGCAAGCCGCGCGCGACCATCTGCGGACATTCGCGTGGTCGAGGTTCAAAAACTGAGGCTTTTTTACGATTTCTGCAAGCCGCGCGCGACCCTCTGCGGAGATTCGCGTGGTCAAGGTTCAAAAACTGAGGGCTTTTGACGATTTCTGCAAGCCGCGCGCGAAGCGCTCTCGCTGTGGCGCCGTGCGAATTTGTTGCTCGCGAAATGGCCTTTGGAAGTTGTCTCGTGGCTCGCGATTTCGCAATCCCGCGGTCGCGGGTTCGATTCCCCCCTGGTCCGCGGCAGCTCCGGCTTGAAAATCGCAGCTTTTAAGTACAAACGTAGTACGCGGAGCGTGCTCCTGCAGCCCCGGCTGGAAAATGCAACTTTTAAGTACAGACGTAGTATGCGGAGCGTGCTCCCGCAGCTCCGGTTGAAAAATCGCAACTTTTAAGTACAGACGTAGTATGCGGAGCGTGCTCCCGCAGCTCCGGTTGAAAAATCGCAACTTTTAAGTACAGACGTAGTATGCGGAGCGTGCTCCCGCAGCTCCGGCTGGAAAATCGCAACTTTTAAGTACAAAATAGTACGCGAAGTACATTCCCACAGCTCCGGCAGCACTTGCGCAGAGCAACTTGCGCAGAGTCACTTGCGCAGAGCAACTTGCGCTCTGCGAATTGCACAGAGCAGTTGCACAAAGCACTTGCGCAGAGCAACTTGCACAGACCAACTTGCACAGAGCACATGCGCAAAGCGCTTGCACGGAGCAACTGGCGCAGAGCAACTTGCTCAGAGCACTTGCGCAGAGCAACCTGCACAGAGCACATGCGCAAAGCGCTTGCACGGAGCAACTGGCGCAGAGCAACTTGCTCAGAGCACTTGCGCAGAGCAACTTGCACAGAGCACTTGCGTGCAGCAGCTTGCAGAGAGCAACTTGCGCGCAGCAGCCTGGAAGAATGCAGCTTGCGCAGACCACTTTCGTGAGAAATCGCGCGGCGCAGTTCGAGAGGAAACTAGGATGATGAGATGGAGCTCTCATGTGACCATACACATTGCGCATCGCCGCGCGCAGACACGCTCGCCGCAGCAATGTAAAAAGGTGTCTCCGCGGCTGGATGAGCACCTGGGGAAAAATGCTTTCGGGCCAATCGTCCTCTAGTTATTATTTCGTTGTCGTTTGTCTTTTTGTTTTTTTTCTTTCGCTGTCTTTTTTGTGTAATCAAGAGTCTCGCGCCCGCACAAGAATTTAGAACGCTCAAATGGACTCTATGCATGGCAAGAGTGTGCATCGGTGTTTCCCTTGTAAACCAACCAGCGATGCTATCCCCCTCAATGTAATTAGGAGGAGACCTGGCAGTTGCATTGTTTCATTTAAGCTTTCCTTTTGTGGGTAAAACTGGTAAAAGGTGGAAGACTGGACAAATGGAATTGAAGCACCCTCTGTTCATGGCCTTCCTATTTTGGAAGGGGCGTCATGTGGGTAACCGTGGGTATGTGTCAGAAGCCCGCTAGGTTTGTTCTCCTTGTGGACATCGCCTTCCTTGAGATTGTGGAGTGCTTCCGGGCTACTGACCACAACACAAAAACAGTTATCCCGCGAAATAGCGCGTTTACATGTTTTCCGAGCTGTGCGATTTGCAAAACTCGGTGCTTTCTTGGTATAGCCGTTCTACTGCACATGTTCCAAGCAGCACTTGTTTCGGGGCAAACCGCACTCAAAAAGGTTCTTAAGGTGGGACTCCATACCCAGTTCGAAGCCGAGCCATTTCGGTTATGGCTTCAGTGTACCTTCCCAAGAAACATGGGAAGTACATACTCAACCCAAGAATCTGGGGACCCCTGCTGCTTCCTCTGCCTCCAAACGTTTTGGTTTCGACCGTGGTGACTCATGTCGTGGTGCGAAATGGGTGTGGGTCAAAACTAAACCACCAGGGGACAGGTTGTAGTCCAAGTTTCCAGGGTTCCATTTTGGGTACATATTCTTGACCCACAGCCAAATGGCGAACATATTTTTCGGGTTTCCAGCCGCGGTCTGGGGCTCCTTTTCTGGTAACAGCTGAGATCGCTGAGGTCCGAAAGTCAAGAATTGGAGGCCGGGGCGTCCGGTGTTGCCATGTTTTTTGATTCTGTTCGGTGTCTTGGTTCTGTTTGACTTTTTTAGAAGGCTGGAAAAAACAACAAAGGTTTGTGCTGCCTTTGTGGATGGACGAAATCCTGCACCACCTAAGAAACCCCCTGTAAATACCAACAGACGTTTTGGTTTTAACCATGATGGTTTCTGAGGTGGTGCGAAACGGATTTGGATTTCGCAACCATCCACAGTGCCAACGGACAGCACATGACAATTCCGCTGACTGGCCCTGAGGTGCCCTTTGGTCAAACTTATTTCGGCTCCAGCGCCGAGCGAGCGAGCAATCAAGGAGGCAAGCAGGTAAGCAGGCAGTAAGTAACAAACACAAATGAGCAAACAAACGAACGAACGAATGAACAAACGAACAAACAAACAATCACATAAACGAGCAAACAAGCACACAAACAAGCAAACAAACAGACAAACAAACAAAGCCACACAGACACACAAACACAAACAAACACACACCCAAACACACAAACACACAAACAAACAGGCACGCTTGTCTGTTGACCAATCATTCCAGATCAAGGTTTCTGCAGAGGGATCGTAGGAGGTGCAGCCTTGCAACTTTTCTCATTGTTTTTTGTTGGGCGGCTGTGGTTCAATATTAGGAAGAAGGGGTGATGATCCGCCTTGGCATGACTTCAACGTCACATTCTGGCTGCCATTATGAATCGAGCTTCCTTTGGGGTGATGTTCAAATGGGAAATGTGGGAAAGCCTGCAATTGATCAATCTTTTGAGATCAATCTTTTGATGATGCCTGTTCACCTCCCGGAATGGTTGGGGTATCTTCTTCCTTTTTTGGGCGTCTTTACTCCCACTTGTGCAGTGGCACCCTGAGAAATTGTAACTGGGTTCCCCCTGAAAATGGGATCACCCCGCAAAAAGGGTACCTTTCTTTGGTGCATTTGGCTTGGATGTTGGGACCTTAACTTTTTGCCAACTCATGGGTTTTCCATTAAACCACTAAAAGTTAAACAGGGGAGCAAAAAGCAACCAAGTTTTTCTGCCTTGCGGGTCACTGGTTGCAACTGGGCGACTGGATCGACTGGATCCTGGCGCCAGGTACTTAAAGAAGCTGTACCCACTGCTACAAAGGCGACGCCGTGGGTCTTTCGTGTCTCTCCTTCCAGTTGCCCCGTGGCACCTTGTCGTTTCAAGATCAAAGGTACCCTCGTTTCCTTGGGGAGTGCGTGTCCCTTTAAAAAATCGACCAGCAAAAGAGGGCGGCCTCTTTCCCCAAAAGCCACTGGGCTTGTGCGGGGTCCTTCACGACCTTGGCTTAAGAATTTCCATCATGACACATGCAGAAATAACTTGAAGCTTACCGCTTTAGCCAATTCCCATTCGAGGGTAGGTTTGTATCCAATTCCCATTCGAGGTGTCCTTTGTTGGTGTCCCGGGAGCATCTGGTATTATTCATGGCCAGACTCGGCGTTGTCCCTGCTCAATCAGTTGAAAGGGAAGCCATGGATCCATTGTTGAAACCAGTGGTTTCTTTGGTACAGTTTGCTTGGATGTTAGGACTTCAACTTTTTGCCAACTAATGGGTGTTTCATTAAACCACTACAAGTTAAACTTTCAGCAGGGGAGCAGAAAGCAACGTTACACCCTTTCCTAGCTGAGCCCGGATTGATTAAATTACAAAGAAGGGTCCCTAATCTGAACCCCCAGAGGACTCGTGTATGTAAGCGCAGCTTTTCTCCCGGTGTTTTCCGCCTGCCAGGCTCGAGAAAAGCAGGCTGGAGCCTTCGGGAGGTTGAGCCATCTGGGTCCCGAGGAATGTATGTGCTTAGTAACCCTTCCAAATCATCCATTTGCACCAGTCAAAGGGTTGGGTTACAGAAAATCATACAGGAAAACGGCTTATTTAGGCTGTTTTGGGGCCATTTCCTGTAGATTTTCCTGCAACCAAACCCTTTGCACCTGTCCCCGTTCTGTGGGTAACTTTGAGGCTTGCCAACTACCAAATGCCTTGCCACCTGGTGGCTTCCTGTGACCATCTGGGGTCTCAAAACCGGCTGTGTGCATTCAGGCGTTGAATAGTTTATGCAACCACCAACATATCGGAAGACATGGATGCCTCGTGTGCTTATGTCCTCTTGGACGTATGCAAATCTGATTCCCAAACCAGTGCTTTGGTAAGAGTACAACCCTGCACTACTAACATACCGTAGTTAGTTTGACGAATCATCAAATAAGACTTGGCTCTGCGCAATTTAGAGTGAGCTCAGCCGAGCAGCGGGGGGTGAGTATTTCAATTTAACGAGTTGGTTTAACTAAATTCAGAACGACGAGGTGCAGGAAGAAAAAAAACGGTTCAGGGCCTGAAAAGTTTTTTTTCACGGTCACAGGTGATGGTTGGAGAAAAATAATCGGAGCTTGAACAGTTGTTTTTCAGCACGCTGGGCAGCTATCCGGCGTTGCTAGCCCGTCCGATGTTCGAGCTCCGGGAGTGTACTTCGCGCGCTAGACTTGGCTACAACAATGTGACTCTCGAGCCGGAGCTGCGACTTCGCGTACTAGACTTGTACTATACAAACTTGCGAATTTCGAGCTGCGGGAGTGCACTTCACGTACCAGACTTGCACTACGGAATTGCGGCTTGTCAAGCTGGGGCTGCCAAAGTGCATTGCCTTTTGCACACTTGTACTGGCGGGGCTGCCAAAGAAGCGCAAAACAAAAGCTTCTCGAGCTGTTTTTCGCGCTCCGCGCGGCTACCCACTGCTAGCCCCTAGAATGGAAACGGGCCAGCAGGTCGCCAGACCTCTAAACAAGCAAACAAAAAAAACTTCGGAGCTTGAAAAGTGTTTGTTTTTTTCCGCTCCGGGCAGCTCTCCGGCGCTGGCCCTTCTGCGAGGTACCTTTCCGAGGTGACAGGGGATTCAACGAGGCGATGGATGTTAGGACTTTAACTGTTTGCCAACTAATGGGAAACCCCCACTAAGCCACTAAAAGTTAGTTAAACTTTTAGCAGGGGAGCAGAAAGCAACCGAGACGAGGTGACGAGGTAAGGTTAATTCTAAAGTGCACAGATGCTATCCTTGAACACATCACATCTTTCCTAGGTCCCCCAGCTAGGTGCCCTCTCTCCCCTTTTTTGCGGGAGGGTTGGTACCCTTATTCTAGCCTCTCTACTGGAGGACCTAGTTTCAAGTGAAGCCGGCTTCCTTTTCCTGCCGCCAAGAATCGATTGGCCGTTTGTTTGTGCCCTTTGATCCTCCGAAGGCTGTTTGCGACCAGAGAATGTGCCGAGGTCACGATATCCTTCCAATGGGGGGGGGTTCTGATGCCAGTGTGGACTATGGAGCAGCCCAGCTGCTAAAACAAAACCAAGTGACCTTACCAGGTGTCTAACAGGGGTTTGGGAGTTCAAATGGCTAAAGCTTAAGCCGCAATATTGTTAAAAGTGTCAGCCAAACAGCTCTCAAAAATCACACACCTAGGCGCCAGAGCATCCTGCTGGGCCTTTTCAGCGAGGCCAGGCCTTGCCACTGATCAACGCTAGCTCCAGTCCAGCATATCGCCAGCGCTTTATGTTGAATGACAGCAATAACAACGATGGCCTGACACTTCCTTTTCCGATCTCAGAGAGATACCCACATCGGCTCGCTCAGGCAGACATGCCATTTTGATGTCTATGTTTCGTCGCCTTGAGCCTTGAGATCACTGCAAAGTGTTCACCTCAGCCTTGCTCAGGATGAAAGAAGAAAGGCAGCCTTGCCCTTGTCAATCAAAAGCAAACCGGACCCCATGCTCAGATGTTTGCAGACAAGCCTGCTTATTGAGCAGAGCGCAATGAAGAGGCACGAGGGAGGCACAAATTGGGTACGTATCATCCCTGCTCGCCACAGGGTCCAAAGTAAAACGAGCTTTCCCATGAAGGTATCTCACGGGGAGATTCCTTTTATTTTGTTTGGCGACTTGTACTGATCCATGTTGGTTCCTTTTCCCTTGCAAAAGGGGCTGCTTTGTTCAACAGCCACCCTTTTCTTTCTTGTAAGGACGGAATTCTGTGACAGATATTCCCCAGATGAACATGGAACCCCAAAGACCAGCGGACTCTCTTCTTGGGTCCTTTTCTGCGTGTCCACCGTTGCCTTCCAGCGGCCACGCTAGCCAAGCGCCCGATGCGGCCCTTTGGAGGCCCTGGAGTGCCTTGAAAGAGAGGATCTCACTTAGATGCGCTGGGAGGAGTCGCTAAATGGCGATTCACCAGCTGGTTGTAACCCGCCAAAGCAATGGTTGTAAGTCCCCTGCAAGGGTTTCTAGCCATTTAGGAAATTAGGTTCCAGACCATCCAAGCATGCGTTCAGAAATCCTGGTTTCTGATTCGATTGTCCTGTAACCAACAAACGTTGTGGATTCAACCATGGTTTCAAAGTGATTCATATTTTGTCCATCCACGGTATGAAAGCGGTGCCCTGTGTTCTTTTTCTTCTGCTTTGCTGGTGCTCAGTAGGGAATGGAGAAATGAACCTGGGGATTCTCTTAAGGGAAACCAAATCGGGGCTGGTTTTGCTCGGGGTCATTCCATTCCTCATTCCCTGATTATCGCACCAGCAAGTGATTCGTTTGGGCGTCTTCTCGGCTGCAGGTGCAGCGACGCCTCCTGGAGTGCTGGCTCTTGCGGTGCCTCGGAGAGGGAGGTTCAACCCATAAGGGAGTATAGTGAGCAATCAGATAGCATATGGACTGGATTCCGCACCCATCATGGAATATGCCCTCCGTGCCAACTGTACCTATTAACCATGCTATTTGATTGCTCTTCGCTACCCGGCCAAAAGTGGTGACTAGGATTAGGAGCCCTGGGGGGGCCTTGATCAAACCGCAAGGCTAGAAACAAATGTAAAGACGTTCCTTCTGCAATCCTTCTGTTTTTCTTAGGGTGCGCAAAAGACATGCCCAGACGTGCCAATTGTGTTGTTGGAGCAACCGCGTCGGTTAGTCCACTCTGAAGCGGTGTTTAATGAATTATTCCCTCGAAGCATCATGGGACACTCCATTGCAGTCTGGATCTTTGGCAGGGTTTCGGGCCCAAAAAGCGACTTTTTGAGGTGCCACGATTCCTGGGGTGTGCCCGGGGGTTCATAATCGCTAAATGACTAGCTTTGCCCTGGTTGTAACCCACTTACAATAGTGGTGAGTCCCCTGTAACTAGGGTTACTCACCATTTAGCGATTCCTCCCAGACCATCTATAGAACTGAACCTTCTGAGCCCACTGCCACTGGACGACTGCCTTCATCCGAGGCGCCCGTGCGGAATGGCCCCGAGACCCACTAGGCCTTCTTCCCCGGAGGCCGAGTGCACCGTGTGCGCCGGGCTTTGGGAGGGGGGGGGGGGGGCGCAGGAGTGTATCCATGGCGTTTCCATGGTTTCCATGGTGTTTGAAGACCTGGGGCAACCGTCCATTTAGCAAGGTACCATTGTTGTACACTTCCATCTGCTTAAGAATATGTGTTATTGTCCCTTGTTGGGTTTAAAGGGAATTCATCACTACTGGACATATTTGTATTTTTCCTGCGGCCTTAACCAAATGGAAGTATCCGAACACGAGAGAAACCTATGTGGCTTCTTCATTTGGAGATTGCTTACACAAGAATCAATGGTGTTGCCACTTTCCGGCCCCGAAAGGACCATATACCCCTCAAGGGTAAGCCCTAATAGAGTAAGTGAGGGCTATATGAAGGGCGAACGAAGTGTGAATAGTACATACGCCAACGTAAGGCTGACTTGTCATGCTACTGCCTTGAGATCTTGTGGAATCGGTTCTCGCATTTACCCAATGACTCGGAGGTTCCCACATCTACCCTTCTCGGCAGAGACGAGGTTTGAGCCCCATTTAAAAGGGGCGGACAACGATTCCCAGAAAGACACCAAGCAACATCCGACGAAGCGACGAGGCCGGCGTGAAGAGGAAAATGGGGCTCTCTACAGCCCGCAGCCCAGGCAGGGTGGTTGGGTCTGACGATCGGCTGCAAGCAGAGACTTACTCGCACTGAGCTCCAAAAGTGGCAGTTCATTGGAACCCGGTAACTAGCGCAACTTTTCCTTTGACAGTTGGCCATGCGCTCCTCACACCTCACTATTCATACTGTCACACATTCCCGCGGTCGCGGGGTTGCACCGCTTTTTTCGGAGAGTCGCCGGATCGAAGCGCTCGGCTCGATGGCTTTGGCTTTCAGCTCCCGGGATCGCTCCACGAGAGCCCCCGGGGAACTCGGAACTCAACGAAGCGCGATGGCACGGCTGGCCATCCTGGCACTCAGCACCTGCGGCGCGTGGGCGAGCCACTTTGCAGATCTCAGGCAGCCGCCTGTTTTTTTTTGTGTGTGTGAATGGGGGAGGTGGGAATGTGACCCCCTTAACAAGTTAGATGCCTTTGGCAGGAACGCTGGCTTGTTCAAAGGCAATGCAATTTTCTGGACAGGTCCCTTTTCCTTCCAAACAAACCTCTTACATGACCCTTAAGAAATCCACACTACGAGTGATTCTTTTCTGGAAAAGCTCGGATCCGAGGCAAGTTCCAGCACGTCACCCTGCGGGGCTCCATCTCGGACGAGTTCAGCCTCAACAAGTTCGGGGAGCTCGCGAAGCCGGGCGCCGCCAAGGTGGCCACGCTCTGCGCGCCTGAAGCTGATTTTTTTTGGGAAGTGGGTGTGGCTCGAAATCGAACAGCTGGGGTTATGCAGGTGTTAGTCTTTGGTGCCATTTGCCAAGGTGCCATGTTGGTACATTTTTTTGACCCACAGCCAAGTCGAGAGAGAAATTCGGAGTTCACCAGGTCCCTCCCGAGAAAAGCGAAGCCCGGTAGCCCTCGCAAGATGGAAGCACCCTGCAAGTCAATGTCGAACCCATATCAATCAACCCCAGTTTGTGAATATGAAGGTGATTGGGGGTGTTTCCCTAAAAAAAAGCATGTAAAGAATCCCTACTAAAACCAGGAACACCCCCCATATTTCTTAAGTGGGGTTTATTAGTCCGGAGTCAACATCTAACATGGAACCCCCAAGACCAAAATTTCAGAGGACCCTTATGATGCTCACTGGGCCTGCCAAAACATCATGTGATCTCTATTCCCATGGCTGCAATCATCCACATAGTTCTGCACCAATCTGTCATGGCAACCCCAGCTACTCCCAGGGGGCTTCCAGGATTGCTCTAGATTCCGCTGTTTTCCCGAAAGCACCGCGGCAAAATGGGTCCATGCTCTCCTGGCTTGCTGTGGGTCACATTACCGCCTGAACCAAAAGAGCTCGGCAGCACATCGAGAGTGCATCTCACGGCCGAAGTCAGCACCTGATCCTTCTATTGGGCGTAACTCAAAAATATTAAAGACCTGGGGGCAACTTTCCACTTATGAAGGTGCCATTGTTGTACATTTTTGCACACCTCTGCCTGTGCCACGGCTCTTCAGCTCTGAAATGGGTCGATGCGCATGATGGTCACCGACATTGGTTAAGCACCACAGGGCGTGTTGATTGCAGATCTTCCTTGCTGCTGTCCCTGCATGTTACGCACCCTCGCTGTGTAGGCTTATGCAACGTGTTTCAGGTGGCGGAGGTACCTCTTAGCTTGACTGCTATTGGGTGGGATCTTTAGACTTTAACTTTTTGGGAAATAAAGGTGTTTTCCACTAAACCCCCAAAAAGAAAAAAACACTTTTTGCAGGGGGGTCAACAACAACCAAGTTAGTTGGTCACAAGCGGCCGGAAAACAGCAGGTGCTCCCCGGATGTGTCGAAGCCTGTAACTGCTTTGTTTCGTGATTTCACAGCCGCAGGTCAAGGGTATCTAGGTCCCCCAGTAGTGCCCTTCTCTCCTTTTTGTTTTGTTTTTTCCGGGATTAGCTGCTCCATGTCGCTGCGGCCACTGGGACTGCCAATGGTAATCTTCCAACCAATGGTTGGCCTCCTGGCTTTCCTCAGCGGAAGCGGCATCGAAATCACCCTGAGGTTCAACGGAGATCACTAGGACCCAAAGTTTTGCCTGACATGTGAGTTTCCCTTTCCGGGGCCCCACCCCAACTCAACTCAAGCCCCTTTTCCTAGGTCCCCCAGCTAGGTGCCCTTTCTCTCCCCTTTTTTGGGGGAGGGCCTCCCCTACTAAAATAGACTGCAGAAGAAAGGGTACCCTTGTTCTAACCTCTCTACTGGAGGACCTAGTTTTTTGGGCCGCGTTGAGGCGATCCTCGCGGTGTGCGTTACCTTCTGCTTGTACCACTACTACGCGGACGCCATACTCCGGTCCCGACCCCAGAAGGAAGCGGAGGATCCGAAAGAGGTCGAGAAGGCGAGGGCCCCCCGAAAAACTGGGTTCCCCATCCATGAAACACCCGGGACAAAGAGGTAAAAATGAGCTAACATCTGGCGGTTGGTGGCTTCACTTTGACCCATACTCCATTGTTTGTCCGGTTTTTTTTACATCACCTTTTGGAGGCCAATTTGATTTGTGAGTTGCCTTTGAAAGGGAGCCCATTTTGAAGGTTCCCGAATCCATTCCTCAAGTTTCTTTGGGGAAACCGCCCAGATTCCATATGGAGGTGTTGGCAATACACAACGAAAAGAAAGCAGAGGTACCCTGTGAAAACCCTAAAAGGGGTGCAGAAAGCCGAGTATCCCCACAGAATCATATGGGTCGTGCCCGAATGTTCGGCCTTCAAGGGCCTGTTTGAGGTCCAAATTCTTGATCCAGATCCTTCAATGAAACCTTCAAAAACCAACCAAAGGGGGCCGGAAAAAAAAAACCTTGCCTAGACTTTTTGCTTGCAGGGAGCCTCACAGATTGGGCTTGTCGGCCCATACTGGATCCCTTCAATCGGGAGCCCGTCAATTTGAGTGGTGACTTCTAGTTCACCTAGTTCACCTCATGTGTTCGGAGCGGTACCAAGAGGTCAACTGTTTTGTTTTTGTTTTTCTCGGTGGAATCGGCATTACTTTTACCCAGTTCCTGTGACCTCAGACTCAATTGAACCATCCCATCTCAGTTGGATGTGTTATTTTGTTAGACTTCCTCGTCGTAGGGAGTTGCTGGGCTAGAAGCTGCCGTCGGAGAGTCGACGGGGAATCTTTGGTCAGCGGGAGGGCTGGCCAAGCCGATTTTCGACGGAGAACCACCGCAAACCGCATGGCTGTGGCTTAAAAACATGTACTAAAATGGCACCTTGGTAAATAGAGCCAAAGTCTAACACCTGCGTAACCCTAACTCTTAAATCTTGAGCCACACCCACATCCTTTCACAACCCAAGGAAAGCGTAAAGCTTCGCAGGCGCGAGAACCAGATGCGGCGGCGACGCCTGCCTTGGTTCGACCAGAGCGCAAGAAGGCGTCAGAGAAGCCATGCTGCCGCCTGGCTGGTTGGACCAGATAGCCGGGAGTCCGCACCGGCTGTCTGGCCGGGACATTTATAAGCCAAATAGGTAAAGCCTTCAGAAGGCCTCAATGATTAACGGTTGCTTCAGGTGTGTTATGGGCACGCCAGGTTGGGCCAGCATGACTCTGACAAAGAGCCACCTGTCTCACAAGTCCATTGCCGCAAGGGTTCACTTGAGGCAGGGTACTGGTGGTTGGTAACCTTGGTTATATCCCACGACTCATGCGAACTAACCACTTTCCTTCATAGCCCTCCTGAAGTACTCCCTGCGGAAGTCGAGGGAATGGATCCTACAGACCCTGCTACATCCTTGTGGATCTGTTACCCCGTACCCCTTTTTCGTGGTGTGAAAAGGAAACCAACAGGAAAGCCGAAGCCATTTTAGGGGGGATCCCCTGAAAAAGGACACCGCATCAGAGGCCCCCGAGCAAGAGGAAACTGGTCTTGGGCCCAAGTCAACTCATGTTGGGTGTGGTAAGCATCACCTTTCGGGAACTGTTCGTACATTGTTCGTCGAATCGGTATGGCCCGCTTCGGTTGAAGGACTGAAAACACACTGCTGCCTTGGTATGTCTTGGTATGTCTTGGTATGTCTTGTTGTTGTTTGTTTGGTTTTGACGTTTTTGGTCCTGCGCATGTTGTTTTTGTTCCTTTCTTTATTCGGCGCAGAACAAAGCTTTCTGCTGAGGAGCATGCCTGGGGATGGGAAGTATGATTCCGGCATATTCCGGCATGTCCCCAGTCTGCGACTTAGAACCCTTGAGCCAAGGGCTAAGGGTCACATCCACCTTGGGGTAAAGCAACGCATTTGAGAAAGGTTCCTTGGCGATGTCTAGCCACGGTTGGTCAACTACTATTAAATAGTAATATGTTATATATATATATGATATGTACAAATATATATATATATATATATACACATACATACATATATATATATATATACATTGGAGCAGATTCATGTCCCACATTGCTTGTGGGAGCGTGGGTGTAAATATGCCAAGCTCTCGCCTGCTGCCCGACTCTCAACTTTTGGCATGGTGATGCTTTTGTTTGTGTGCCTGGAGAGTGCTCTGTGGAGTGTTATTGCTTTGATTTTGCTTCGGCGATCTGCACAAGTTGCGGGAAACTGGTTTCGGAGCCATCTGCCAGTGTCTTTTCACATTCAGCTTCCACAACCATCCAGCATAAATGCAAGACTAGGTCCCCCAGCAGTGCCCTTCCTCACCCCTTTTTTGGGGGAGATTTTCCCTACTAAAATAGACAAAACCGAAAAAAATAAAATAAACAAAATTCGGCACCCTACTTATTCTAACCCTCTCAAATCTGGAGGACCTAGTCAATGGAACCTCTCAAATCTGAACCAAAGACTATCAAAGACTGGCCGCAAAACGTTGCCTTGACTGGCCCATGGCAACCCTCCAGCTCACGAGCCCCACCCATGACTCCCAGGCTGCGGCGGCTTGAAGCTGCTGCAGGAGAGGCTGCTCAGCTGCAACCTGTTGGCTTCCCCGGAAGTAGTTCCCCTTCCTTTTCTCCTTTTTTGGGGTCCCCTTTGTTTTCCACCAGGCAAAACATATATTATGTTGCTGGGAGTTCCTCCTTTTTTTTTTGGGGGGGGGGGGGGGTTTTGGGGTCCCCTTTGTTTTCCACTCACCAGGCAAGACATATGTGTTTCTTTTGCTGGGGGGCCCAGTTCCAGCCAAGTTTGTTGGAGTTGGAAGGCTATATCTATAGACTATGCGCGGGCTCGCTATTCAAGACTGCTTTGTATATATACGTACATGAGTATGCAGATGGTTCTATGGCATGCATGTTATACACATGGCACGTAGTGTTGTATTCATTCACATAGAGACGAGAGAGTCATCTTACGTGTAGTGTACTGGTGCAGGTATACATACACGCATGTGTGTGTGTGTGTGTGCGTGAATGCGTGCGTGCGTGGGTGCGTGGGTGCCTTTGTGCGTGGGTGCGTGGGTGCGTGGGTGCATGGGTGCGTGGGTGCGTGGCTGGCTGGCTGGCTGGCTGGCTGGCTGGGTGGGTGGGTGGGTGGTTGGGTGGGTGGGTGGGTGGGTGGGTGGGTGGGTGGGTGGGTGTGTGTTTGCGTGTGTGTTTGTTAGTACATAAAATGCGGAGGGGCACACATGTGTATCTGCATGTTTCTCTTTAGGGAATGCCTCTTTGTTAACCAACTCGGGTTGGTACTAGTTTGAATCATAGAGATGCGTTGCGCAGCCTAACAAAAGGTTCAGGCCAGACTGAAGTCAGTTTGTTGAAGGCTTTTGGGTTTAGCTCTGAACTTCTGTTCCTCTTTGTCATGTTTCTTTGCCTCGTGGTTGCATTTTGGCACGCTTTCGCGAAGGGGTAGTGGAGTTCTTTGGGGCAAACTGGTTGACATCCCTTTGTGTCATCGCGTCACTTTGGCGACTCTGTGGAGCTTGCTACTTGCTACTAGACCACATCTGCGCGCCTGGGTCCATTTGTGCCCGCTTGCCACTGGCGCGGGAGGCTCTATGAGCCTACATTCCTTTGAAGCTTACTTTCAAGCTCATGCAAAAGGCCGTGTCCAGTGAGGAAACGCATATGAAAGAAACGCTGTTGCGAAATGTTCCACGTGGAAATCCCGAGCCACAGCCCAGCCTTTTGCTGGCACCATTGGGCTGTCAGGCTGGCAGGCCGCACAGACCGCACGCCCAAAGCACGGCCCAACTTCAGCGGGTCCTGGCCGCTCGGCGAACCGAAGGGGTACTTGAGTTCGGTGATTGTCTGTTTGTGGGCTCCCACATCACTGAAGAGCAACCAAAAGGGAAAGTTTTTTTTTGTGGTTTCAGCATCAAGCTTTCTGGTTTAGGTGAATCGCCCAAGGAATTGCCCTTCAGGTTAACCCACCTCAAAAAGGTTCCACTGGACTTTAAGCAGGGTACACCTAGAGCACGTGAAAGATTTTGATTTCAAGAACCACCCGTTTCAAAAGGGTTCAACTGGTGTTCACTTAGCCCAAGAAAGTGCCTTCATGGCCAATGCACCCCAAAAGGGGAGAAACAAGCACCCCGCCAACACACTTCCCAACTCTCCAGTTCTGGGTTCTGCTTTCGGTTTGACTCTTTTTCCGGTTTCCAGTATCTCTTGTTTTTGGGTGTTGTGCTTTTCACTTGGGCAGACTGAACCTTCACTATCGCGGAGAAGTTTCAGTATCGCGCAACCTTTAACCTTTCACTTGGGCAGAACTTCACAAAGTGGGCCTGGCAACTTTCGACATGGCCTCCCCGCTGGGGATACGGGATCTCCCTCAGACCGGCTCCCAGAAGGCCTCTGCAAATGGCAAGCGCCAAGTCTGCCATTTCGGGGTCTGTTCGGGAGTTCCGTGGAATCGCCGCGGGAGATAATATGTATTTGGCCACCTCTTCGTTCTTCTGGAAAAGCAATCCTGTTTTTTGTTGTTGAATGTATTTCGCCACTTCTTCGTCCTCCTCGAAAAGCAATCCTGTTTTTTTTCTCTGAGGAAGTGCGTGGGTGCAGACGGGGACCTCGACGGCTTGTACGCCTCCATGGGTCTGGGCTACTTCGCCCGCTGCGCCATGGAGCGTCTGCAGTGGGGCAAGGGGCAGCTCACGCGGACCTATGAGCACCAGGGCCCTTCGGCCGCAGGGCTCCCGAAAGGGGTGGGTGGGTGGGTGGGTGGGTGGGTGGGTGGGTGGGTGGGTGGGTGGGTGGGTGGGTGGGTGGGTGGGTGGGTGGGTGGGTGGGTGGGTGGGTGGGTGGGTGGGTGGGTGGGTGGGTGGGTGGGTGGGTGGGCGGGGGTATGCGTATGCGTATGCGTATGCGTATGTGTATGTGTATGTGTGTGTGTGTGCGTATGCGCATGTGTATGTGTCTGTGTATGTGTATGTATGTATGTGTGTGTGTGTATGTGTATGCGTATGTGTATGTGTATGTGTATGTTCATGCGTTTGCGTATGCCTATGCCTATGCGTATGCGTATGTGTATGTGTATGTGCATGTGTATGTGTATGCTTATGTGTATCTTATGTGTATGTGTATGTGTGTGTATGCGTATGTGTATGCGTATGCGTATGTGTATGTGTACGTGTGTGTATGTGTATGTAGATATATATATATATATACATATGTATATATGTGTGTGTATGTGTACGTGTATGTGTATGTGTACGTGTATGTGTATGTGCAGGTGTACGTGTATGTGTATGTGTATGTGTGTGCGTATGTGTATGTGTACTTGTACGTGTATGTGTATGTGTATGTGTATGCATATGGGTATGTGTATGTGTATGTGTGTTTGTATGTGTATGTGTATGTGTGTGTGTGTGCTTATGCGTATGTGTATGTGTCTGTGTATGTGTATGTAAGTGTGTGTGTATGTGTATGCGTATGTGTATGTGTATGTGTATGTTCATGCGTTTGCGTATGCCTATGCGTATGCGTATGTGTATGTGTATGTGCATGCGTATGTGTATGCTTATGTGTATCTTATGTGTATGTGTATGTGTGTGTATGCGTATGTGTACGCGTATGCGTATGTGTATGTGTACGTGTGTGTGTATGTGTATGTAGATATATATATATACATATGTATATATGTGTGTATGTGTACGTGTATGTGTATGTGTACGTGTATGTGTATGTGCAGGTGTACGTGTATGTGTATGTGTATGTGTATGTGTATGCGTATGTGTATGTGTACGTGTACGTGTATGTGTATGTGTATGTGTATGCATATGGGTATGTGTATGTGTATGTGTGTTTGTATGTGTATGTGTATGTGTATGTGTATGTGTATGTGTATTTGTGCTGTGCGTTTCTGTCAGGACTTTTGCTTTCAGGATACCTCTTTTAAAGCCTTGGATTAAAGAGAAACAAGGAACAATTAATTAACAATTGTTACACAAAAGACAAATCCAAACCACAGTGTTTCTCATTCTTGCTCCTGCGAACTTGCCGTTCTGGCTCTCTCTCACCTGCCCTGAAAGATTGGTTGGCCTCTTGGGCGCACGATGGCGCATGCGCATGGAAGAGAAGAACAAGACCTGCTGATAGACACCCCAGATTGAAAGGACACATGTCAGACGGGAACACCTCGTGCCGTGTGCACCAGGGACCACAGAGTATGGCTCAAACTTAACACTGGTCCACTCAAGGCGAGTTCACATTAAAAGTGCCAACATGGTGCTGTTTAATACCAAATGCAACAATTGATCTTGCCGGTGGGATTTGGCCTGCGAGCGTTGGCGGGCGGTGGCCGTGCCGGTGGGGGTTTGCTTCTGGGACCGGTGCGGAGTGGCCCGTGCCGATAGGATTTGGAGTCTGGGGCGTTGGCAGACAGTGGCCCGGGATTTGGCTTCTGTGGCGGGCGCGTTCATTTCGAGACCGTGACTCCGAGTGTTGACAGACCGGCTTCTGCGAGAGGGGAGGGAAAGGGAGAGAGAGAGGGAAGAACGGAGATCGAGATCCAATTGTTACGCGCGACTGATGGCATGGTGTAGAGACTCGTAGCAAATCCGCGGCACGGCTGGAGGTCACACAGCTCTCCAATTGTCTCGCGCTGCTCCCTTGAGTCCACAACCCCAAACCAAAAGGCCGAAAAGGCTGGCCTTCGCAGCGAGAAAGGTGCCGGGCTTACCTCTTTTCAGGCTTACATGCCTTTCAAGCACAGCATGTGACATGCTTTGACGGGGGGGACTCTGTGGATATGCATTTGGGTTATCAGGCCCACCTTGTTGAGTTTATTTGCTTCATTTATTTTTAATTACGGGGGGGTCCAGTCTGAAAACGCAAACCATGACACTGGTCCGAAGGCGAACACGTGAAGCTCACGCAGAGGGCAGCGGATGAAACCACGCAGGACAGGGAGGTTGTGACCGGCGATCTAAGCGCAAACCGCCTACTCACATTCAACAAGTGTCTGGACATGCAGTTTCCGGGGTCTCCTCTTTTGTTATCTTTTTGGGTTGGCATATGAAACGGAATCTTGCCTTTGTCTGTGTGCCTTTGGGCCATGGGAAGGATGCCCTCCTTGCGCGTGGGTCAAAAGGGACTCCCCGAGGAATGGAAGTGTCTCCAAACACTACTTCCGATCCATTCCACCCCTCACCAGAAAAAAACCAAAAAAACCTTCAAAAAGGGGTGTTTCAAAGACCAGCCCATAGGCGCAGGGATTTTTGGGCAAGCCTCTTCCACCTTTCCCCCCAGGAGCACATCCTAGCGGTCCCAGCGGCCGGTAGCGGGTTGCAAGTCGTTTTGCCTGTGGAAACGTGGGCAATGCCCAGCGGGGTTGCAGGGTGGCCAAGGGGCCATCCCGGTGATTTAGAAAGCGGCGCAACCAGATTTTGTGTATTTTTTGCAAAGGCAGCCATGTGGCTTGGTGAAGCCAAAATGTCAGAAAGACAAAGTGCTCGCACAAAACCCAGAAGGGGTGTTCTCCAAAGGCGACTCCTTAGTTGGACAGTGTGCCTTGTGCCCCTTGAAGGGTTGAACCTGAAATGGCCATGGGTCAAAATCCCATACCCCCAGTGAACATCCCAATCCCCACTAAAATAAACTAAATGGGTGGTGCACCTACCCCAAACTGGTAGCATTGGTTTTGACCCGCAGCCAAATGGCAGGAGTTTGACATCAATGGCCAGCCGCAGAAGGCAGCTTGCGGGTCGATGTTCGTAGGCGGAAAGTTGATTCTGACGCGTTCTGGACAGATTTGGCTCATGAGATGAGGTAAAATCAGCTCAAGAAGGTTTCCTTATTTTTTATTTTTTTTGTGGGGATGTGTTTATCTGTTCTTGGGGGCCGCTCTTAGGTCTGATCACCCGCCCAATGGGATCCATTTCCAAAGCCAACAGCAGGCATCCGGCTTCGTGCTGTGCGCACCAGGCTTCTTGTCACTCCCCTGCAAGTTAGCATTGCACTTATGTTTCAGGTCATCTCTAGGAGCAAATCTATGCACACTACGACCACATCCCCTACAGAAAAAAAAGAAGGAAAAACAACAAAGCTGGGAATATTTGGATGTCAAGAGTTTTTTTTTTTTTTTTTCTGGGGGAGGGGGTGGTTGTTGAGTGTATTGCTTCAACCTTGGATTCCTCAATGCAGCAACTTTGGGCACGTACCTCATGTTGGTCTACCACCCGCGAGCGCTCGTTTGCGTGTTGTTTGGGGAGACCTGTTGCCTATTGCGATGATCCGGCATCCTTGCTCTTTTTTTTTTTTGAGTCAAGGCTTGATCAGAGGAGTATGAGAAAACATACTCAGTCCCCCCCATTTTTTTTGGGGGGGTGGGTTCCCCTACTAAAATAGACTGCAGAAAAAAGGGTACCCTTGTTCTAACCTCTCTGCTGGAGGACCTAGAATAATTAGGAGGGGGGTTCTTTGTTTGGTTTCTCTTTGACCCAGCCTGAAAATGGCGCCCTCCCAACATCACACACCCAGATGCGGAGGCAATGAGGCAATGCCCCGTGCAAGCCGAGGCAAAACCGAACCCAAGGCTCGAGGCGTCCCCTTGGCCAAAGCGAAAAAGACGGGTCAAGGCTCCCTTTTTACCCCCTAAGAATACTCAATGGAGCCATGGGATTTGAAATGTTCTAAGTTTTGCCACCAGGTACAAGCGTACTATGGTTGTGTTGACTCTTGGGACAATAGATGGTTGACCTGAAGCATGCCAATCTATGCCGAATCATGCAAGTACACCCCGCACATCCCTTGGCACAAAGCCTGAACGGCAGGCTTCGCATCGTGTTGCCCAACTTGCTTTCTGTAGGTGTGTCCAAAATAAGAGCCCCCTCTGAGCCATCCCGACAGGATTCCCATTCCCGTGTTTGGAGACACCCACACTGAGTTGGTATCCACCGTACCTAAAAGCCCCAACCATGGTTTCCAAGTGGTGCGAAATGGATTTCGTCCATCGACAGTACCACATTTGAAAAATGCAACCTCCAGTTAGGTGCAGCAGGGCGACGGAGTGGTGATTCAAACCACCTGTTGGGACGAGAAGGAGGAGGGGGTTCTCATCATGGAGACAAAAGACCTCCTGGGCTTCTTGGAAACGAATCTCGCTCTTGGTTTGCGAGTTTCCGCAAAGGCGAAAATTGACCTGACAGCATCTTGTGGTTTTTCTGGTTTGGTGAATATTGACGTTATTGTCCCCCAACCTAACCTGGAGTTTCCGATTGGGCAAGAGGCATGTGTCCCCTAGATGCATATTCTTGTTTGTTCGGGGATCCTTTGCGAAATAGGGGGAACCCGGTTTGTGTTGCAAACAATGGCCGGATGTATGTGTGTGTGCAGGTGTGTTTGTGTGTGTGTAGGTGTGTGCGTGTCAGAGTTTCAGCCCTCATCAAAGCCGTTTTAGTAGTGGAAGTCTACCTGGCCTGGTGTCATGGAGCCTTGAAGTGAGGCTATCCAAGCCTTAGAGCCGCTTCAATTGTCGTGTCCAAATTGAAGTCGTGCCTATGTGTGTATATCCACGCTGACCCGCTGAACAACACACACGCAGAAATGGCCAGCGCACCCACTCAAGCGTCTCTGCTCAGCACTGTTTTGTCCGCTTACAGTTTCTACCGGGCCTTGAGCTCCGGTCGACAACAAGCAAAACACCAGGAGGTCGTCCATGAGCCGTGTACCGTGTAGGTATATGAACAACTACATGTAAATATGTATATATATATATATGCTCACCCCCCCCTGCATGACCTACCTTTTTAGCTAAAAAAAGCAGGATCTCATCTATCATTTGCCCCTCCCTTCATCGCTATTGGTGGGGCACAGCACTTGGTTTTCATTGCACACGCGAGCAAAACACAAAACTAGTTATCTTCAATGCTTATTGATTGAAGCAATGGAAAACCTGTTCCATTATGTTATTCACCGCCACTCATAACATAATGATGTTCCATTTAATATTAATGACAAGTTAATTTTTACATATAATTGTCTATATTTCTTTAATATCAACTATGACAGATGTCCCAATAATAAAACCAATAAACATAACTGAATATGAATTCAAACAATCCAAATATGAGCACGTGCTAAAATTTAGAAGTATTATAGTTGCTTCATCGACGGGAGGCAAAACAGTTTTAGTCCAAAACCGTATCTTGAATGTTTATAGAAATTCATTTGCAAGAATATTTATATTTTCCCCCAGCGTTCATAATGACCCAACTTTTACAGAAGTTAAAAAATACATCAGGGATGAATTGCACGTGGATGATGAAAAAGAACAAATTTATTTTGATAATTATAATCCAAGTGATTTAGAAAATGTAATTGAAAGACAGAAGAAAATGATTAATTATATGAAGTCTAAAAAGATAAAGAAACTACATTCAATATTAATCGTTATAGATGACCACGCATTCAAGATTCATCGTTGTAGATGACCACGCAGACGATCCTAAATTTGTTAGATATAGTAAATTATTACACAGACTTTTTACAAGAGGCAGGCACGATGCAGTAAGTGTAATTTGTTCAACACAAAAATATAATGTTTTAGTGCCTATCATTCGTTTAAATGCCAGTTCATTAGGTTGAAAAATGCAAGTGAGTTAATGAGTTTTATTGAAGAAAATAGCGCCATTGTTGACAAACAGCAATTATTAGATATGTATCATCAAGCCGTTAATGACGCACCTTATAGTTTCTTCTACGTGAATATGAATGCTAAAGACATTAACAAAATGTTTCATATCAGATTTGAACAGGCATTTTAAATTACGAATGATGAATAAAGATATTCTAATTTAATATAATATAGTAATATGCCAATGAAACTATGTAGATGTGGTGGATTTTATCGTAGAGGTAATTGTAATTTTCATACGAATTCTTGGATACATAAACTTTATAAAGTATTGAAAAGAAGGGCAACAGACGAGGAATTATTATGATTTCAAAATAATTTTGTTGATGAAGAAGATTTAATAGATGATATAAGTAGTACTACTTCAACAACAATACCAGAGGATAAAATGACAGATTATGATAGCAATCAATAATATTATTATATGTTAATATTATTAATTTAAATTAACGAAGCATTGCAAAATTGTAAGGCAGGAAGTTTATATATTAATTTGTCAGATTTTTCTTTCTCTAGTTTCTCAATTCGTGTCACACATTCTTGAAGAGATTTAATAATTAAAGTGGTTGCTCGTGTTTTTTCATCTATACTTAAATTCTTAATGTCTTCCAAACTATTATTTTCATTATTTTTTACTTTTACCAATACCCATTATATATGATATTATTAAGAATTTAATTTTTCAAAATTATCTTTTTGTGGTTCTTCTTCTTCGTCTTCAGTTGGTGCTGGTATTTCTGTTGTTTTAGATGTCTGGCCCACGACAAAATCTTGGATTCTTGGTTTTCTCGAGGTTTTCTTGGTTTTCCTTGTTTTACTTGGGAATTCTTGGTTTTTTGCTGGAAAACAAAAAACAACTAGTAAATCTTGGTTTTTTGCTGGAAATCCAAAAACACCCTAGTAATTCTTTGTTTTTTGCTGGAAATCCAAGAATTCCCAAGTAAAATCAAGAAAACCAAGAAAACCTCGAGAAAACCAAGAATCCAAGAATCCAAGATTTTCAGGTAGATGTTTGGTCCACTACAAAATCTTGGATTCTTGGTTTTCTCGAGGTGTTCTTGGTTTTCTTGGTTTTACTTGGGAATTCTTGGTTTTTTGCTGGAAATCCAAAAAAACCCTAGTAAATCTTGGTTTTTTTGCTGGAAATCCAAAAAAACCCTAGTAATTCTTGGTTTTTTGCTGGAAATCCAAACAAACCCTAGTAAATCTTGGTTTTTTGCTGGAAATCCAAAAAACCCCTAGTAATTCTTGGTTTTTTGCTGGAAATCCAAGAATTCCCAAGTAAAACCAAGAAAACCAAGAACACCTCGAGAAAACCAAGAATCCAAGATTTTGTAGTGGACCAAACATCTACCTGAAAATCTTGGATTCTTGGATTCTTGGTTTTCTCGAGGTTTTCTTGGTTTTATGTGAAAAATGCTAAAAACCCAAGGAATTCTGAAGGTTTTACTGCAAAACCATCAAAAACCCAGGGAATTCTTAGTTTTTGACTTAGGGATCTATCTGAAAAACATATCAGTTTTTACACTTGTTGTTTTGAATGCTTTCCTGTTTTTTCTAAAAAAAATCATGGGTTTTTGCACATTTTTTGCTAAAACCATCAAAACACACTGGTTTTTCTTAATTTTTCAATGGTTGACGGTGTTGTTTTTTAGTCGAAAACCATAAAAAAACAGATGTTTTTTTCACTTTTTTATTGTCTGCTAATGGTCCCCAACGACTTTTTGAAAGACAACGGTAGGTCATGCAGGGGGGGGTGACCATATATATATATATGACATATTTTATATATGCACATATGTGCACATGTACCTGTACCTGTATATAAACACACGCACACACGCACACACGCTTTAAGCCTGCCCGGAGGTGAGGAACACCCCGTCTGGGGTTTGGAGCAAGCAGTCCTCGGGTGTTGTGGGGAGTCCGCGTTCGGATTGAAGTGTCCAAGGGAGGTATTTCAAGAAAATACAAGGCTGTGGCTTACAAAATGGTACCCATAACTGCAGCTTGGTATATTTGGAAAAGACTAAAACCTTCGTAACCACAGCTGTTCAAGTTTGAGCCACACACAAACACAAACATGTTTTTTCCTCTTCAGATCCTCTCTCACATGCAGTTTGATTCTCGGGCTACAACAAATCCCAACCTGGAACGCATCCCCGCGACCCAGGAAATAGGGCTGGCCAACGGGTCCACGCATTTCAACAAACAAACCATGCCCCTTTAAGGGTAAAGAAGTCTGAATGTGTTTGTTGTTTCCGATGGAAAGAGGCAGGGAATGGTGAAAGAGATGGCATCCCTTCTACCCATCTTAATCACATGCCAAGAGATAGCGGGCCTGTAGGCAGATGTTGCAACCACTCGGGTGAGGTTGCAAGCCAAAGACCTGGACGACTACGCGGCAGTACCTCCAAGACAACCAGCTGGTGGTGGACGCTCGCTTGGATTTCAGTCCGTGGTTTGCTCGGTCGGGTACACCATGGTATTGTTAACCCCGGAGTAATAAACCCCTGGTTGATTAATAGGGGTGTGTCCCCTTTGAGTGAGGATTCACTTTTGGAGGGAACACCCCCCTAATAATGGGACGGGTTATTAATCCTGGATCAACATGACACTTGACCTGAAAGCAGATGTCAGAATTTCCCTTGGGCAAGGAAAGGCCAAACCAATCGGTTACACCGCAACCCTCTGTAACCTTTCGGAGTTCGGTTTTGCCTAAGAAGTGTCTTATGCCGAAGTTTGAGGCTTGACCGCTCATGTGGGTGCCTGCTTGTGGCGAACCTGAAAATTTGTTTGAAACGATCAAGGAGGCACAGGGCTCCTTAAAAGATACATTTTGCCCAGTTGCGACATGGCTTTTTTCACCAAAATAAAGGGAAACCACCATTTACAAGGCAATGTTCAGGTGTATAATGTAAGGATCTCTGAGGCAGAAAAAAATGGCAACTGGTTACAACTCACTTCAGGGACAAAAAAAGCAGCTGTAAGTGGGTTCTTCGCCCAGGTTTACTCCGTGCGAGTGTGACTAGGTCCCCCAGTAGTGCCCGTGTACCCTTTTTCGGGGGAAGGTTCCCCTGCTAAAGTAGGCTACAGAAGAATGTTGGTACCCTTGCTCCAATCTCTCTACTGGAAGGACTAAGTGATCCACTTGCCACTTTCACCGAATCGATCGCCGAAAGTTCTCGAGGAAGTGCTGGGCGCAGATGGCCACAGAGCCACCTGGACCTACCAGCGCGAAGACTGACGCCGCGGCTTTTCGCGCGCCTTTTCGCGCGCGGTCAAGTTGCCGAGTGTGGCCGCGGGGGTTCTCCGTCAAGGGGTGATTGCTCTGTGCAAGTGGCTTCCTCTTCTCAAACTACTGCGAATGGTGTCCCCGCAAAAGGACGGACCAAGAATATATGTTTCGTTTGGAACATCAACTTTGGGATGTGTTGGATTTTCTGGCTAGGTTTAGATGTTTGCATGACTGGCGAATGGCGAATGCATGTCCTGTTGGGCAGCTTGATTAACAACGTGGAGATATTGAGTGAGGCGCTTTGCTTTCTGATTCTGATGCCCAAGATTCTAAGATAAAGTGCCTCACCTTGATATGGGGTGAAATCGCCCGCGCGCATGTGACGGGACCAAAAGACGTGCGGGTTGATTGGCATTGCAGCAATTGCAACTCTCAAAAGGCACCAGACATATTACCTGGGACACGAACACAGTCTTGGAAGCAGCATTGGGACATCCTACTGGCCGGTTTGGTGGCTCTACCGCCAGGCGGTTTTGGGAAGGACATGCAAGGATACATAAAGCTTTCCGACCATGTGAAATAGTAGAACTACACGTCTACGGATTTTGGAGCAGACTCAAGCCACATGGATCGCCCTTCGATTCAAACTGTCCACAAGCTCAAGTCCACTGTGGAAAAGAAGAGGGGTGTGAGTCATGCAAGAGAGCCTTGATCTTCAACCAAACAGCCAAACATGGTTGGAGGAAATGTTGTTTCTTAGGTCGTCGCTTGATACCCTTGACTCCCATTGAATCCAATTAGTCGTGGTACACTTCCGCAAACCGGCCATGTTGGATTGACCCCCTTTTTGGTGTTCCTACCGTGGACGGACAAAATCCTGCACCACTTGGACACGGGAAACCATTATTTGCTGGTATTTGCAGGGGAATGCTCATTCCAGGGTCTCCTAGGTGGTGCGAAATGGATTTTCTCCATCCACAGTATGAATTTACCGGGGAGCAACCTGTGCTTCCATTTGGTTAAGTTTTCTTTTTTTAATTTCCCCCTGTTGGTTTTCAAGGGAAACTATCACTACTGGACAGATTTTTTTTTTTTCCAGGGGACGTATTCGCAAAAGGAGGTGTGGGAACCCACATAAGCCCAGCCTCAGCCAGGCGCTCGATCTCAGAGCCGCGGCGTGATCTCGCGCACGCCAGGGCCTCAGTTCGCGCAGCGGGCCGAAGGAACGCCAGGCATCGAGGGACTTAGACTACCCTCCCCAGACTAACATGGAAGCTCCCAAGACCCCTTTGGAAGACTTGGTTCCGTTTCTTACCCTTTCTGTTGGGTTAGACTACCCTCCCTCAGACGATTCCATAAAAGCTCCCGAACTGACCCCAAAATGGAAGACTTGGCAAGCCATTTACAGACGCCTTCTGGGAGCTTCAATGTCAGTCTGAGGGAGTGTAGGTCCCCCGGCTAGGTGCCCTTTCTGTCCCTTTTTTGGGGCGGGGAGGGATCCCCTACTAAAATAGAATGCAGAAGAAGGGTACCTTTTTATTCTAACCTCTCTACTGGAGGACCTAGTAGAGCTACTTTAGGCGCAAAAAGACAAGCATGCAGTCACACACTTTGAGTGAGGCACTGTGTTCCAAGTGATTGTCCAGTAATTCAATCTTGGTAGCGATGCGGTGTTAAGTGGTCGTCAAAGCTGTCCAACTTACCAGCAACACGGGAGTGACATTGATGTTGAAGGAATGGCCCCTGAGCAACTGGCAATGTATTGCTTATGAATGGAGGTCCTGGGCCCCAAATCCTTTGGCCCCCACCCCGGTGTCCAACATGTCTGCGTGAGCTGAAAATCATCCATGACTCTCATTTGTGATCTGGAGTGCCAATGTGGCCCAGCGCAACGATATGGGCCAAATGCAAGCGGTTCTACTTTCTGGGGAAGACAAGTCGAAGTAAGAGAAGCAGAGCGAGGGCTGCGTCTTTCCGCATCCCCAAGCCAAACCAGGTCCCCCAGTAGTGCCCTTTTTAACCCCTTTTTTGGGGGGAGGGCTGCCCTACTAAATCGACTACAGAAAAAGTTGGTACCAACTTATTCTAACCTCTCTACTGGAGGACCTAGCCCTTGCTTTGGGTGACTTCGAAGGGAAGCAAAGGAACCCCCACCATTTGGGAAGTTCCCCCCAAAAAAAGGATTACACCCGTCTGGAATTTATGGATGGAGGACCTGGTAAATGCGCCCAGTTGGTTCTCCAGCTCCTTGGCATTTGGCATCTCCAGTTCAATGGGCCGAGGGTTTTGGTTTCACCAGGGCCTATGGAAGACGAGCGGGCGAAGAGGTTCTGTTTTGGCCAAACGCAAGCGGGCCGCCCCTGTTTTCCCCTTTCTTGGGAAGGGTCTTCCCTTCAATCAAGCCAACAACGCTGCTTCCCAGTTTCTGGAAGGGTTGCCCAGGCGAAACGGGCGCACTCACTTCTTCTCTGTGGTGGTGGTGCAACGATTGGAGCTTCGCACCAAGGAGGCGGGAGAGACTTGAAAGCGGTGTCGGGAGGTTTGCTTTGCTTGGTGGATGTTGGGGTGTTGGGGGTTCTTTCTTTGTTTGCTTGCTTGCTTGTTTCTTTGTTTCTTTGTTTCTTTGTTTCCTTGTGTCCTTGTGTGTGTGCGCGCGTGTTTTTCCTTAGTTGTCTAATTATCGATGTATTGATGTATTGATTTCTTTATCTGTGCCCTCTTTCTTGATTTAACTCTTTCTTTGGTTCCTTATTTATTTATTTCTTGATCATTATTTATTGTTTATTTGTTTGTATGTTTGGTTGTTTCTTTGCGTGTCTCTATGTGTGTGTGTGTGTCGATGTTGTTGTTTGTTATGTTATTTTGTGGTTTGTTTGTTTGTTTGTTTGTGTGATTGTTTGGTTGGTTGGTTGGTTGGTTGGTTGGTTGGTTGGTTGGTTGGTTGGTTGGTTGGTTGGTTGGTTGGTTGGTTGGTTGGTTGGTTGGTTGGTTGGTTGGTTGGTTGGTTGGTTGGTTGGTTGGTTGGTTGTTGGTGGGTGGGGGTGGGTGGGTGGGTGGGTGGTTGGCTTCTTGGTTGGTTGTTTGCTTGCTTGCTTGTTTGTTTGTTTGTTTGTGTGTGCGTGTGTGTGCGTGTGTGTGTGTGTGTGTGTGTGTGTGTGTGTGTGTGTGTGTGTGTGTGTGTGTGTGTGTGTGTGTGTGTGTGTGTGTGTGTGTGTGTGTGTGTGTGTGTGTGTGTGTGTGTGTGTGTGTGTGTGTGTGTGTGTGTGTGTGTGTGTGTGTGTGTGTGTGTGTGTGTGTGTGTGTGTGTGTGTGTGTGTGTGTGTGTGTGTGTGTGTGTGTGTGTGTGGTGTGGGTGTGGGTGTGGGTGTGGGTGTGGGTGTGGGTGTGGGTGTGGGTGTGGGTGTGGGTGTGGGTGTGGGTGTGGTGTGGGTGTGGGTGTGGGTGTGGGTGTGGGTGTGGGTGTGGGTGTGGGTGTGGGTGTGGGTGTGGGTGTGGGTGTGGGTGTGGGTGTGGGTGTGGGTGTGGGTGTGTGTGCGTTTGTGTGTTTGTGTGTTTGTGTGTTTGTGTGTTTGTGTGTTTGTGTTTGTGTGTGTGTGTTTGTTTGTGTGCTTATGTTTGCTTCTGTGTTTGCGTGTTTGTGTGTGCTCGTGTTTGTGTGTTTGAGTGTTTGTTTGTTTGTTTGTTTGCTTGTTTGTTGTTGTTTCTGTTTCTTTGCTTCTTTGTGTCGTTCTTTTATTTGCTGGTTTGCTTAGAGCCTTGTTTGGGCGACACGCCTCTTTGGAGTTCGCTTTTTGCTGGTGGCTTGACGTCATTCCATGGTCTGCCCACCCCTGTAGCCAGTGCGAAGCAAAGGAAGCCACGGCTGGCTCGGGAAACTCCTCGGGTCGCAGGGTGGTCCTTTTAAGACTGCCTGGTTGGCAAAATGTGTATTCCTGCTTAAGAGTGTAGGTGTCCCTAGGCATGCCAATCTTGTCCCAAAACAGGCACTCTGCATGGATCAGTTTTTGCTGGCCCCTCTTTTGGGACAAGTAAGTCGTTCGGATGAATGTGGGTGTGTTGCTTCAGTTTTCCTGGCTTTCCATTGACACGCGAGACACCACAAAAGTCGAGGAATGGCAAGGGGTGCCTGCTTACTCGGTTTGGGTTGGGGTTGGGGCCCCAATAAGTACAAGAAACTCGAAGGGCAAACGTGCACAGAGCAAGTGGCATTCGGGATTAATCCACCACAGCCGGTAGCGTCAGGTTGCATCCCCACTGATTTGACCAGTCTGTTAACTGCCCCCCTAAAAGCCGCCCCGTCATGGACTGCAACCCATGGCTTAAGGTCAAAGAATCGAGGAGAACAGCTTTGTTTGCGTGAGGCTACGTGTTTTTCTCTTGTTTTCCGCTGGTTTGAAAAAGAGGGATGACACCCCCTGCAAATGTGCATGCCCAGCAAGAGATTCCGATCCTATCAATGGATTGTTTGTTCCGCTAACCCACAAGAGATTAATTATGCGGCAGCTGCGAGGATGTCCGAAAATCGCGACAGGAGAAACATGGGGTCTGTCTCCCAAATGAGGAACATTCAAAATGGGATTTGCTGCTGTCCTTGGTTTTTCCCGCTTGCCAGCCCCCAAACGGGTACCCTCCAAGACAACACGCTCATATCCAATATCCATTTGCTTGCTACTCTTCTTGCGACCTTTTCCCAGCTGAGTGGCGCGGTATGTTCTTCCCTAGGTCCCCCAGTAGTGCCCCTTTACCCTTTTGGGGGTTCCCCTACCAAATTGTCTACAGAAACAGGGTATAAGCTCTCTACTGGAGGAAGTTTCGGTGCACTTCCATCCGGCAACGTCCGATTGTCCGTTCCTTCGGTCCTGCGGGCCTTCGGTTCAGTTGAGCTGCCCGAGCTTGGCGGCGAAGTATCAGTCGCTGCTGCTGGACATCAAGCACCAGGAGCCGTTGAGCCGCCTTTCTTCTTTGGGTCCTGAAGCCCTCAGCCAGCCGCTGGTGGGCAGGAAAGTATGTATGTATGTATATATGTATATATATATATGGGGTGTGTATATATATATATATATGAGGTGTATCTTGCGCGGCAGTTGCAGGGTTGCTCCGAGACTCTACCAGATGAGTAGTGCTCCAAGGATGGAGCATGGGCTTCTTGCAGTGGTTTTGCATCATACCGAGTTGTGTTTCTAACCTTCTTCCAGGGTTTCTGAAGCCTCTGATATGTAAGACGTAAATATATACATCATATATATATATATATAGACACACATGCAAAGTTGAATCATCGGGAACGAGTCGCCACTTCCCCCAGCAACTGGGCTATCCCCGTCAGCTGCGGACACAGCTCCTGTTTTTGGTTGGTGTCTTGCAAAACAAAGTTCTCTTGGGATAACCCCTCCTGATTCATCAGAAGTGGTCTCCATTTGGCTGATTTGGTTCCTTTTGAAAGAAGGCCTTTGATTGGTACTTCTGATTGTCAAAGTTGTGCCATGGTTGGCCCAAGCTTGGAGCTTTCAGAGCAGATGCACCTTTCCACTTCCTGAAGCCGAGGCCGGGTAGGCAATGGGAGACCTCAGATACTGCGAAGAGGTTCTCACCCAAAGGAAGAGCCCACACAAACAAGGTTGTCGGAGTCTTCTTCGTTTTCCTCGAAGTAAAAAAAGCAACAAATGGGTGATGACTAGCCTTACAAGGCGCATTCTTTTCCTTTTTTTTCGGGCTTGTCACAGGCAGGTACCAACCCCGAAAACCGCCGCCGGACAGATTCATGTCCCACATTGCTTGTGGGAGCGTGGGTGTAAATATGCCAAGCTCTCGCCTGCTGCCCGACTCTCAACTTTTGGCATGGTGATGCTTTTGTTTGTGTGCCTGGAGAGTGCTCTGTGGAGTGTTATTGCTTTGATTTTGCTTCGGCGATCTGCACAAGTTGCGGGAAACTGGTTTCGGAGCCATCTGCCAGTGTCTTTTCACATTCAGCTTCCACAACCATCCAGCATAAATGCAAGACTAGGTCCCCCAGCAGTGCCCTTCCTCACCCCTTTTTTGGGGGAGATTTTCCCTACTAAAATAGACAAAACCGAAAAAAATAAAATAAACAAAATTCGGCACCCTACTTATTCTAACCCTCTCAAATCTGGAGGACCTAGTCAATGGAACCTCTCAAATCTGAACCAAAGACTATCAAAGACTGGCCGCAAAACGTTGCCTTGACTGGCCCATGGCAACCCTCCAGCTCACGAGCCCCACCCATGACTCCCAGGCTGCGGCGGCTTGAAGCTGCTGCAGGAGAGGCTGCTCAGCTGCAACCTGTTGGCTTCCCCGGAAGTAGTTCCCCTTCCTTTTCTCCTTTTTTGGGGTCCCCTTTGTTTTCCACCAGGCAAAACATATATTATGTTGCTGGGAGTTCCTCCTTTTTTTTTTGGGGGGGGGGGGGGGTTTTGGGGTCCCCTTTGTTTTCCACTCACCAGGCAAGACATATGTGTTTCTTTTGCTGGGGGGCCCAGTTCCAGCCAAGTTTGTTGGAGTTGGAAGGCTATATCTATAGACTATGCGCGGGCTCGCTATTCAAGACTGCTTTGTATATATACGTACATGAGTATGCAGATGGTTCTATGGCATGCATGTTATACACATGGCACGTAGTGTTGTATTCATTCACATAGAGACGAGAGAGTCATCTTACGTGTAGTGTACTGGTGCAGGTATACATACACGCATGTGTGTGTGTGTGTGTGCGTGAATGCGTGCGTGCGTGGGTGCGTGGGTGCCTTTGTGCGTGGGTGCGTGGGTGCGTGGGTGCATGGGTGCGTGGGTGCGTGGCTGGCTGGCTGGCTGGCTGGCTGGCTGGGTGGGTGGGTGGGTGGTTGGGTGGGTGGGTGGGTGGGTGGGTGGGTGGGTGGGTGGGTGTGTGTTTGCGTGTGTGTTTGTTAGTACATAAAATGCGGAGGGGCACACATGTGTATCTGCATGTTTCTCTTTAGGGAATGCCTCTTTGTTAACCAACTCGGGTTGGTACTAGTTTGAATCATAGAGATGCGTTGCGCAGCCTAACAAAAGGTTCAGGCCAGACTGAAGTCAGTTTGTTGAAGGCTTTTGGGTTTAGCTCTGAACTTCTGTTCCTCTTTGTCATGTTTCTTTGCCTCGTGGTTGCATTTTGGCACGCTTTCGCGAAGGGGTAGTGGAGTTCTTTGGGGCAAACTGGTTGACATCCCTTTGTGTCATCGCGTCACTTTGGCGACTCTGTGGAGCTTGCTACTTGCTACTAGACCACATCTGCGCGCCTGGGTCCATTTGTGCCCGCTTGCCACTGGCGCGGGAGGCTCTATGAGCCTACATTCCTTTGAAGCTTACTTTCAAGCTCATGCAAAAGGCCGTGTCCAGTGAGGAAACGCATATGAAAGAAACGCTGTTGCGAAATGTTCCACGTGGAAATCCCGAGCCACAGCCCAGCCTTTTGCTGGCACCATTGGGCTGTCAGGCTGGCAGGCCGCACAGACCGCACGCCCAAAGCACGGCCCAACTTCAGCGGGTCCTGGCCGCTCGGCGAACCGAAGGGGTACTTGAGTTCGGTGATTGTCTGTTTGTGGGCTCCCACATCACTGAAGAGCAACCAAAAGGGAAAGTTTTTTTTTGTGGTTTCAGCATCAAGCTTTCTGGTTTAGGTGAATCGCCCAAGGAATTGCCCTTCAGGTTAACCCACCTCAAAAAGGTTCCACTGGACTTTAAGCAGGGTACACCTAGAGCACGTGAAAGATTTTGATTTCAAGAACCACCCGTTTCAAAAGGGTTCAACTGGTGTTCACTTAGCCCAAGAAAGTGCCTTCATGGCCAATGCACCCCAAAAGGGGAGAAACAAGCACCCCGCCAACACACTTCCCAACTCTCCAGTTCTGGGTTCTGCTTTCGGTTTGACTCTTTTTCCGGTTTCCAGTATCTCTTGTTTTTGGGTGTTGTGCTTTTCACTTGGGCAGACTGAACCTTCACTATCGCGGAGAAGTTTCAGTATCGCGCAACCTTTAACCTTTCACTTGGGCAGAACTTCACAAAGTGGGCCTGGCAACTTTCGACATGGCCTCCCCGCTGGGGATACGGGATCTCCCTCAGACCGGCTCCCAGAAGGCCTCTGCAAATGGCAAGCGCCAAGTCTGCCATTTCGGGGTCTGTTCGGGAGTTCCGTGGAATCGCCGCGGGAGATAATATGTATTTGGCCACCTCTTCGTTCTTCTGGAAAAGCAATCCTGTTTTTTGTTGTTGAATGTATTTCGCCACTTCTTCGTCCTCCTCGAAAAGCAATCCTGTTTTTTTTCTCTGAGGAAGTGCGTGGGTGCAGACGGGGACCTCGACGGCTTGTACGCCTCCATGGGTCTGGGCTACTTCGCCCGCTGCGCCATGGAGCGTCTGCAGTGGGGCAAGGGGCAGCTCACGCGGACCTATGAGCACCAGGGCCCTTCGGCCGCAGGGCTCCCGAAAGGGGTGGGTGGGTGGGTGGGTGGGTGGGTGGGTGGGTGGGTGGGTGGGTGGGTGGGTGGGTGGGTGGGTGGGTGGGTGGGTGGGTGGGTGGGTGGGTGGGTGGGTGGGTGGGTGGGTGGGTGGGTGGGTGGGTGGGCGGGGGTATGCGTATGCGTATGCGTATGCGTATGTGTATGTGTATGTGTGTGTGTGTGCGTATGCGCATGTGTATGTGTCTGTGTATGTGTATGTATGTATGTGTGTGTGTGTATGTGTATGCGTATGTGTATGTGTATGTGTATGTTCATGCGTTTGCGTATGCCTATGCCTATGCGTATGCGTATGTGTATGTGTATGTGCATGTGTATGTGTATGCTTATGTGTATCTTATGTGTATGTGTATGTGTGTGTATGCGTATGTGTATGCGTATGCGTATGTGTATGTGTACGTGTGTGTATGTGTATGTAGATATATATATATATATACATATGTATATATGTGTGTGTATGTGTACGTGTATGTGTATGTGTACGTGTATGTGTATGTGCAGGTGTACGTGTATGTGTATGTGTATGTGTGTGCGTATGTGTATGTGTACTTGTACGTGTATGTGTATGTGTATGTGTATGCATATGGGTATGTGTATGTGTATGTGTGTTTGTATGTGTATGTGTATGTGTGTGTGTGTGCTTATGCGTATGTGTATGTGTCTGTGTATGTGTATGTAAGTGTGTGTGTATGTGTATGCGTATGTGTATGTGTATGTGTATGTTCATGCGTTTGCGTATGCCTATGCGTATGCGTATGTGTATGTGTATGTGCATGCGTATGTGTATGCTTATGTGTATCTTATGTGTATGTGTATGTGTGTGTATGCGTATGTGTACGCGTATGCGTATGTGTATGTGTACGTGTGTGTGTATGTGTATGTAGATATATATATATACATATGTATATATGTGTGTATGTGTACGTGTATGTGTATGTGTACGTGTATGTGTATGTGCAGGTGTACGTGTATGTGTATGTGTATGTGTATGTGTATGCGTATGTGTATGTGTACGTGTACGTGTATGTGTATGTGTATGTGTATGCATATGGGTATGTGTATGTGTATGTGTGTTTGTATGTGTATGTGTATGTGTATGTGTATGTGTATGTGTATTTGTGCTGTGCGTTTCTGTCAGGACTTTTGCTTTCAGGATACCTCTTTTAAAGCCTTGGATTAAAGAGAAACAAGGAACAATTAATTAACAATTGTTACACAAAAGACAAATCCAAACCACAGTGTTTCTCATTCTTGCTCCTGCGAACTTGCCGTTCTGGCTCTCTCTCACCTGCCCTGAAAGATTGGTTGGCCTCTTGGGCGCACGATGGCGCATGCGCATGGAAGAGAAGAACAAGACCTGCTGATAGACACCCCAGATTGAAAGGACACATGTCAGACGGGAACACCTCGTGCCGTGTGCACCAGGGACCACAGAGTATGGCTCAAACTTAACACTGGTCCACTCAAGGCGAGTTCACATTAAAAGTGCCAACATGGTGCTGTTTAATACCAAATGCAACAATTGATCTTGCCGGTGGGATTTGGCCTGCGAGCGTTGGCGGGCGGTGGCCGTGCCGGTGGGGGTTTGCTTCTGGGACCGGTGCGGAGTGGCCCGTGCCGATAGGATTTGGAGTCTGGGGCGTTGGCAGACAGTGGCCCGGGATTTGGCTTCTGTGGCGGGCGCGTTCATTTCGAGACCGTGACTCCGAGTGTTGACAGACCGGCTTCTGCGAGAGGGGAGGGAAAGGGAGAGAGAGAGGGAAGAACGGAGATCGAGATCCAATTGTTACGCGCGACTGATGGCATGGTGTAGAGACTCGTAGCAAATCCGCGGCACGGCTGGAGGTCACACAGCTCTCCAATTGTCTCGCGCTGCTCCCTTGAGTCCACAACCCCAAACCAAAAGGCCGAAAAGGCTGGCCTTCGCAGCGAGAAAGGTGCCGGGCTTACCTCTTTTCAGGCTTACATGCCTTTCAAGCACAGCATGTGACATGCTTTGACGGGGGGGACTCTGTGGATATGCATTTGGGTTATCAGGCCCACCTTGTTGAGTTTATTTGCTTCATTTATTTTTAATTACGGGGGGGTCCAGTCTGAAAACGCAAACCATGACACTGGTCCGAAGGCGAACACGTGAAGCTCACGCAGAGGGCAGCGGATGAAACCACGCAGGACAGGGAGGTTGTGACCGGCGATCTAAGCGCAAACCGCCTACTCACATTCAACAAGTGTCTGGACATGCAGTTTCCGGGGTCTCCTCTTTTGTTATCTTTTTGGGTTGGCATATGAAACGGAATCTTGCCTTTGTCTGTGTGCCTTTGGGCCATGGGAAGGATGCCCTCCTTGCGCGTGGGTCAAAAGGGACTCCCCGAGGAATGGAAGTGTCTCCAAACACTACTTCCGATCCATTCCACCCCTCACCAGAAAAAAACCAAAAAAACCTTCAAAAAGGGGTGTTTCAAAGACCAGCCCATAGGCGCAGGGATTTTTGGGCAAGCCTCTTCCACCTTTCCCCCCAGGAGCACATCCTAGCGGTCCCAGCGGCCGGTAGCGGGTTGCAAGTCGTTTTGCCTGTGGAAACGTGGGCAATGCCCAGCGGGGTTGCAGGGTGGCCAAGGGGCCATCCCGGTGATTTAGAAAGCGGCGCAACCAGATTTTGTGTATTTTTTGCAAAGGCAGCCATGTGGCTTGGTGAAGCCAAAATGTCAGAAAGACAAAGTGCTCGCACAAAACCCAGAAGGGGTGTTCTCCAAAGGCGACTCCTTAGTTGGACAGTGTGCCTTGTGCCCCTTGAAGGGTTGAACCTGAAATGGCCATGGGTCAAAATCCCATACCCCCAGTGAACATCCCAATCCCCACTAAAATAAACTAAATGGGTGGTGCACCTACCCCAAACTGGTAGCATTGGTTTTGACCCGCAGCCAAATGGCAGGAGTTTGACATCAATGGCCAGCCGCAGAAGGCAGCTTGCGGGTCGATGTTCGTAGGCGGAAAGTTGATTCTGACGCGTTCTGGACAGATTTGGCTCATGAGATGAGGTAAAATCAGCTCAAGAAGGTTTCCTTATTTTTTATTTTTTTTGTGGGGATGTGTTTATCTGTTCTTGGGGGCCGCTCTTAGGTCTGATCACCCGCCCAATGGGATCCATTTCCAAAGCCAACAGCAGGCATCCGGCTTCGTGCTGTGCGCACCAGGCTTCTTGTCACTCCCCTGCAAGTTAGCATTGCACTTATGTTTCAGGTCATCTCTAGGAGCAAATCTATGCACACTACGACCACATCCCCTACAGAAAAAAAAGAAGGAAAAACAACAAAGCTGGGAATATTTGGATGTCAAGAGTTTTTTTTTTTTTTTTTCTGGGGGAGGGGGTGGTTGTTGAGTGTATTGCTTCAACCTTGGATTCCTCAATGCAGCAACTTTGGGCACGTACCTCATGTTGGTCTACCACCCGCGAGCGCTCGTTTGCGTGTTGTTTGGGGAGACCTGTTGCCTATTGCGATGATCCGGCATCCTTGCTCTTTTTTTTTTTTGAGTCAAGGCTTGATCAGAGGAGTATGAGAAAACATACTCAGTCCCCCCCATTTTTTTTGGGGGGGTGGGTTCCCCTACTAAAATAGACTGCAGAAAAAAGGGTACCCTTGTTCTAACCTCTCTGCTGGAGGACCTAGAATAATTAGGAGGGGGGTTCTTTGTTTGGTTTCTCTTTGACCCAGCCTGAAAATGGCGCCCTCCCAACATCACACACCCAGATGCGGAGGCAATGAGGCAATGCCCCGTGCAAGCCGAGGCAAAACCGAACCCAAGGCTCGAGGCGTCCCCTTGGCCAAAGCGAAAAAGACGGGTCAAGGCTCCCTTTTTACCCCCTAAGAATACTCAATGGAGCCATGGGATTTGAAATGTTCTAAGTTTTGCCACCAGGTACAAGCGTACTATGGTTGTGTTGACTCTTGGGACAATAGATGGTTGACCTGAAGCATGCCAATCTATGCCGAATCATGCAAGTACACCCCGCACATCCCTTGGCACAAAGCCTGAACGGCAGGCTTCGCATCGTGTTGCCCAACTTGCTTTCTGTAGGTGTGTCCAAAATAAGAGCCCCCTCTGAGCCATCCCGACAGGATTCCCATTCCCGTGTTTGGAGACACCCACACTGAGTTGGTATCCACCGTACCTAAAAGCCCCAACCATGGTTTCCAAGTGGTGCGAAATGGATTTCGTCCATCGACAGTACCACATTTGAAAAATGCAACCTCCAGTTAGGTGCAGCAGGGCGACGGAGTGGTGATTCAAACCACCTGTTGGGACGAGAAGGAGGAGGGGGTTCTCATCATGGAGACAAAAGACCTCCTGGGCTTCTTGGAAACGAATCTCGCTCTTGGTTTGCGAGTTTCCGCAAAGGCGAAAATTGACCTGACAGCATCTTGTGGTTTTTCTGGTTTGGTGAATATTGACGTTATTGTCCCCCAACCTAACCTGGAGTTTCCGATTGGGCAAGAGGCATGTGTCCCCTAGATGCATATTCTTGTTTGTTCGGGGATCCTTTGCGAAATAGGGGGAACCCGGTTTGTGTTGCAAACAATGGCCGGATGTATGTGTGTGTGCAGGTGTGTTTGTGTGTGTGTAGGTGTGTGCGTGTCAGAGTTTCAGCCCTCATCAAAGCCGTTTTAGTAGTGGAAGTCTACCTGGCCTGGTGTCATGGAGCCTTGAAGTGAGGCTATCCAAGCCTTAGAGCCGCTTCAATTGTCGTGTCCAAATTGAAGTCGTGCCTATGTGTGTATATCCACGCTGACCCGCTGAACAACACACACGCAGAAATGGCCAGCGCACCCACTCAAGCGTCTCTGCTCAGCACTGTTTTGTCCGCTTACAGTTTCTACCGGGCCTTGAGCTCCGGTCGACAACAAGCAAAACACCAGGAGGTCGTCCATGAGCCGTGTACCGTGTAGGTATATGAACAACTACATGTAAATATGTATATATATATATATGCTCACCCCCCCCTGCATGACCTACCTTTTTAGCTAAAAAAAGCAGGATCTCATCTATCATTTGCCCCTCCCTTCATCGCTATTGGTGGGGCACAGCACTTGGTTTTCATTGCACACGCGAGCAAAACACAAAACTAGTTATCTTCAATGCTTATTGATTGAAGCAATGGAAAACCTGTTCCATTATGTTATTCACCGCCACTCATAACATAATGATGTTCCATTTAATATTAATGACAAGTTAATTTTTACATATAATTGTCTATATTTCTTTAATATCAACTATGACAGATGTCCCAATAATAAAACCAATAAACATAACTGAATATGAATTCAAACAATCCAAATATGAGCACGTGCTAAAATTTAGAAGTATTATAGTTGCTTCATCGACGGGAGGCAAAACAGTTTTAGTCCAAAACCGTATCTTGAATGTTTATAGAAATTCATTTGCAAGAATATTTATATTTTCCCCCAGCGTTCATAATGACCCAACTTTTACAGAAGTTAAAAAATACATCAGGGATGAATTGCACGTGGATGATGAAAAAGAACAAATTTATTTTGATAATTATAATCCAAGTGATTTAGAAAATGTAATTGAAAGACAGAAGAAAATGATTAATTATATGAAGTCTAAAAAGATAAAGAAACTACATTCAATATTAATCGTTATAGATGACCACGCATTCAAGATTCATCGTTGTAGATGACCACGCAGACGATCCTAAATTTGTTAGATATAGTAAATTATTACACAGACTTTTTACAAGAGGCAGGCACGATGCAGTAAGTGTAATTTGTTCAACACAAAAATATAATGTTTTAGTGCCTATCATTCGTTTAAATGCCAGTTCATTAGGTTGAAAAATGCAAGTGAGTTAATGAGTTTTATTGAAGAAAATAGCGCCATTGTTGACAAACAGCAATTATTAGATATGTATCATCAAGCCGTTAATGACGCACCTTATAGTTTCTTCTACGTGAATATGAATGCTAAAGACATTAACAAAATGTTTCATATCAGATTTGAACAGGCATTTTAAATTACGAATGATGAATAAAGATATTCTAATTTAATATAATATAGTAATATGCCAATGAAACTATGTAGATGTGGTGGATTTTATCGTAGAGGTAATTGTAATTTTCATACGAATTCTTGGATACATAAACTTTATAAAGTATTGAAAAGAAGGGCAACAGACGAGGAATTATTATGATTTCAAAATAATTTTGTTGATGAAGAAGATTTAATAGATGATATAAGTAGTACTACTTCAACAACAATACCAGAGGATAAAATGACAGATTATGATAGCAATTAATAATATTATTATATGTTAATATTATTAATTTAAATTAACGAAGCATTGCAAAATTGTAAGGCAGGAAGTTTATATATTAATTTGTCAGATTTTTCTTTCTCTAGTTTCTCAATTCGTGTCACACATTCTTGAAGAGATTTAATAATTAAAGTGTCTGCTCGTGTTTTTTCATCTATACTTAAATTCTTAATGTCTTCCAAACTATTATTTTCATTATTTTTTACTTTTACCAATACCCATTATATATGATATTATTAAGAATTTAATTTTTCAAAATTATCTTTTTGTGGTTCTTCTTCTTCGTCTTCAGTTGGTGCTGGTATTTCTGTTGTTTTAGATGTCTGGCCCACGACAAAATCTTGGATTCTTGGTTTTCTCGAGGTTTTCTTGGTTTTCCTTGTTTTACTTGGGAATTCTTGGTTTTTTGCTGGAAAACAAAAAACAACTAGTAAATCTTGGTTTTTTGCTGGAAATCCAAAAAACCCTAGTAATTCTTTGTTTTTTGCTGGAAATCCAAGAATTCCCAAGTAAAATCAAGAAAACCAAGAAAACCTCGAGAAAACCAAGAATCCAAGAATCCAAGATTTTCAGGTAGATGTTTGGTCCACTACAAAATCTTGGATTCTTGGTTTTCTCGAGGTGTTCTTGGTTTTCTTGGTTTTACTTGGGAATTCTTGGTTTTTTGCTGGAAATCCAAAAAAACCCTAGTAAATCTTGGTTTTTTTGCTGGAAATCCAAAAAAACCCTAGTAATTCTTGGTTTTTTGCTGGAAATCCAAACAAACCCTAGTAAATCTTGGTTTTTTGCTGGAAATCCAAAAAACCCCTAGTAATTCTTGGTTTTTTGCTGGAAATCCAAGAATTCCCAAGTAAAACCAAGAAAACCAAGAACACCTCGAGAAAACCAAGAATCCAAGATTTTGTAGTGGACCAAACATCTACCTGAAAATCTTGGATTCTTGGATTCTTGGTTTTCTCGAGGTTTTCTTGGTTTTATGTGAAAAATGCTAAAAACCCAAGGAATTCTGAAGGTTTTACTGCAAAACCATCAAAAACCCAGGGAATTCTTAGTTTTTGACTTAGGGATCTATCTGAAAAACATATCAGTTTTTACACTTGTTGTTTTGAATGCTTTCCTGTTTTTTCTAAAAAAAATCATGGGTTTTTGCACATTTTTTGCTAAAACCATCAAAACACACTGGTTTTTCTTAATTTTTCAATGGTTGACGGTGTTGTTTTTTAGTCGAAAACCATAAAAAAACAGATGTTTTTTTCACTTTTTTATTGTCTGCTAATGGTCCCCAACGACTTTTTGAAAGACAACGGTAGGTCATGCAGGGGGGGGTGACCATATATATATATATGACATATTTTATATATGCACATATGTGCACATGTACCTGTACCTGTATATAAACACACGCACACACGCACACACGCTTTAAGCCTGCCCGGAGGTGAGGAACACCCCGTCTGGGGTTTGGAGCAAGCAGTCCTCGGGTGTTGTGGGGAGTCCGCGTTCGGATTGAAGTGTCCAAGGGAGGTATTTCAAGAAAATACAAGGCTGTGGCTTACAAAATGGTACCCATAACTGCAGCTTGGTATATTTGGAAAAGACTAAAACCTTCGTAACCACAGCTGTTCAAGTTTGAGCCACACACAAACACAAACATGTTTTTTCCTCTTCAGATCCTCTCTCACATGCAGTTTGATTCTCGGGCTACAACAAATCCCAACCTGGAACGCATCCCCGCGACCCAGGAAATAGGGCTGGCCAACGGGTCCACGCATTTCAACAAACAAACCATGCCCCTTTAAGGGTAAAGAAGTCTGAATGTGTTTGTTGTTTCCGATGGAAAGAGGCAGGGAATGGTGAAAGAGATGGCATCCCTTCTACCCATCTTAATCACATGCCAAGAGATAGCGGGCCTGTAGGCAGATGTTGCAACCACTCGGGTGAGGTTGCAAGCCAAAGACCTGGACGACTACGCGGCAGTACCTCCAAGACAACCAGCTGGTGGTGGACGCTCGCTTGGATTTCAGTCCGTGGTTTGCTCGGTCGGGTACACCATGGTATTGTTAACCCCGGAGTAATAAACCCCTGGTTGATTAATAGGGGTGTGTCCCCTTTGAGTGAGGATTCACTTTTGGAGGGAACACCCCCCTAATAATGGGACGGGTTATTAATCCTGGATCAACATGACACTTGACCTGAAAGCAGATGTCAGAATTTCCCTTGGGCAAGGAAAGGCCAAACCAATCGGTTACACCGCAACCCTCTGTAACCTTTCGGAGTTCGGTTTTGCCTAAGAAGTGTCTTATGCCGAAGTTTGAGGCTTGACCGCTCATGTGGGTGCCTGCTTGTGGCGAACCTGAAAATTTGTTTGAAACGATCAAGGAGGCACAGGGCTCCTTAAAAGATACATTTTGCCCAGTTGCGACATGGCTTTTTTCACCAAAATAAAGGGAAACCACCATTTACAAGGCAATGTTCAGGTGTATAATGTAAGGATCTCTGAGGCAGAAAAAAATGGCAACTGGTTACAACTCACTTCAGGGACAAAAAAAGCAGCTGTAAGTGGGTTCTTCGCCCAGGTTTACTCCGTGCGAGTGTGACTAGGTCCCCCAGTAGTGCCCGTGTACCCTTTTTCGGGGGAAGGTTCCCCTGCTAAAGTAGGCTACAGAAGAATGTTGGTACCCTTGCTCCAATCTCTCTACTGGAAGGACTAAGTGATCCACTTGCCACTTTCACCGAATCGATCGCCGAAAGTTCTCGAGGAAGTGCTGGGCGCAGATGGCCACAGAGCCACCTGGACCTACCAGCGCGAAGACTGACGCCGCGGCTTTTCGCGCGCCTTTTCGCGCGCGGTCAAGTTGCCGAGTGTGGCCGCGGGGGTTCTCCGTCAAGGGGTGATTGCTCTGTGCAAGTGGCTTCCTCTTCTCAAACTACTGCGAATGGTGTCCCCGCAAAAGGACGGACCAAGAATATATGTTTCGTTTGGAACATCAACTTTGGGATGTGTTGGATTTTCTGGCTAGGTTTAGATGTTTGCATGACTGGCGAATGGCGAATGCATGTCCTGTTGGGCAGCTTGATTAACAACGTGGAGATATTGAGTGAGGCGCTTTGCTTTCTGATTCTGATGCCCAAGATTCTAAGATAAAGTGCCTCACCTTGATATGGGGTGAAATCGCCCGCGCGCATGTGACGGGACCAAAAGACGTGCGGGTTGATTGGCATTGCAGCAATTGCAACTCTCAAAAGGCACCAGACATATTACCTGGGACACGAACACAGTCTTGGAAGCAGCATTGGGACATCCTACTGGCCGGTTTGGTGGCTCTACCGCCAGGCGGTTTTGGGAAGGACATGCAAGGATACATAAAGCTTTCCGACCATGTGAAATAGTAGAACTACACGTCTACGGATTTTGGAGCAGACTCAAGCCACATGGATCGCCCTTCGATTCAAACTGTCCACAAGCTCAAGTCCACTGTGGAAAAGAAGAGGGGTGTGAGTCATGCAAGAGAGCCTTGATCTTCAACCAAACAGCCAAACATGGTTGGAGGAAATGTTGTTTCTTAGGTCGTCGCTTGATACCCTTGACTCCCATTGAATCCAATTAGTCGTGGTACACTTCCGCAAACCGGCCATGTTGGATTGACCCCCTTTTTGGTGTTCCTACCGTGGACGGACAAAATCCTGCACCACTTGGACACGGGAAACCATTATTTGCTGGTATTTGCAGGGGAATGCTCATTCCAGGGTCTCCTAGGTGGTGCGAAATGGATTTTCTCCATCCACAGTATGAATTTACCGGGGAGCAACCTGTGCTTCCATTTGGTTAAGTTTTCTTTTTTTAATTTCCCCCTGTTGGTTTTCAAGGGAAACTATCACTACTGGACAGATTTTTTTTTTTTTCCAGGGGACGTATTCGCAAAAGGAGGTGTGGGAACCCACATAAGCCCAGCCTCAGCCAGGCGCTCGATCTCAGAGCCGCGGCGTGATCTCGCGCACGCCAGGGCCTCAGTTCGCGCAGCGGGCCGAAGGAACGCCAGGCATCGAGGGACTTAGACTACCCTCCCCAGACTAACATGGAAGCTCCCAAGACCCCTTTGGAAGACTTGGTTCCGTTTCTTACCCTTTCTGTTGGGTTAGACTACCCTCCCTCAGACGATTCCATAAAAGCTCCCGAACTGACCCCAAAATGGAAGACTTGGCAAGCCATTTACAGACGCCTTCTGGGAGCTTCAATGTCAGTCTGAGGGAGTGTAGGTCCCCCGGCTAGGTGCCCTTTCTGTCCCTTTTTTGGGGCGGGGAGGGATCCCCTACTAAAATAGAATGCAGAAGAAGGGTACCTTTTTATTCTAACCTCTCTACTGGAGGACCTAGTAGAGCTACTTTAGGCGCAAAAAGACAAGCATGCAGTCACACACTTTGAGTGAGGCACTGTGTTCCAAGTGATTGTCCAGTAATTCAATCTTGGTAGCGATGCGGTGTTAAGTGGTCGTCAAAGCTGTCCAACTTACCAGCAACACGGGAGTGACATTGATGTTGAAGGAATGGCCCCTGAGCAACTGGCAATGTATTGCTTATGAATGGAGGTCCTGGGCCCCAAATCCTTTGGCCCCCACCCCGGTGTCCAACATGTCTGCGTGAGCTGAAAATCATCCATGACTCTCATTTGTGATCTGGAGTGCCAATGTGGCCCAGCGCAACGATATGGGCCAAATGCAAGCGGTTCTACTTTCTGGGGAAGACAAGTCGAAGTAAGAGAAGCAGAGCGAGGGCTGCGTCTTTCCGCATCCCCAAGCCAAACCAGGTCCCCCAGTAGTGCCCTTTTTAACCCCTTTTTTGGGGGGAGGGCTGCCCTACTAAATCGACTACAGAAAAAGTTGGTACCAACTTATTCTAACCTCTCTACTGGAGGACCTAGCCCTTGCTTTGGGTGACTTCGAAGGGAAGCAAAGGAACCCCCACCATTTGGGAAGTTCCCCCCAAAAAAAGGATTACACCCGTCTGGAATTTATGGATGGAGGACCTGGTAAATGCGCCCAGTTGGTTCTCCAGCTCCTTGGCATTTGGCATCTCCAGTTCAATGGGCCGAGGGTTTTGGTTTCACCAGGGCCTATGGAAGACGAGCGGGCGAAGAGGTTCTGTTTTGGCCAAACGCAAGCGGGCCGCCCCTGTTTTCCCCTTTCTTGGGAAGGGTCTTCCCTTCAATCAAGCCAACAACGCTGCTTCCCAGTTTCTGGAAGGGTTGCCCAGGCGAAACGGGCGCACTCACTTCTTCTCTGTGGTGGTGGTGCAACGATTGGAGCTTCGCACCAAGGAGGCGGGAGAGACTTGAAAGCGGTGTCGGGAGGTTTGCTTTGCTTGGTGGATGTTGGGGTGTTGGGGGTTCTTTCTTTGTTTGCTTGCTTGCTTGTTTCTTTGTTTCTTTGTTTCTTTGTTTCCTTGTGTCCTTGTGTGTGTGCGCGCGTGTTTTTCCTTAGTTGTCTAATTATCGATGTATTGATGTATTGATTTCTTTATCTGTGCCCTCTTTCTTGATTTAACTCTTTCTTTGGTTCCTTATTTATTTATTTCTTGATCATTATTTATTGTTTATTTGTTTGTATGTTTGGTTGTTTCTTTGCGTGTCTCTATGTGTGTGTGTGTGTCGATGTTGTTGTTTGTTATGTTATTTTGTGGTTTGTTTGTTTGTTTGTTTGTGTGATTGTTTGGTTGGTTGGTTGGTTGGTTGGTTGGTTGGTTGGTTGGTTGGTTGGTTGGTTGGTTGGTTGGTTGGTTGGTTGGTTGGTTGGTTGGTTGGTTGGTTGGTTGGTTGGTTGGTTGGTTGGTTGGTTGGTTGGGTGGGTGGGTGGGTGGGTAGGTGGGTGGGTGGGTGGTTGGCTTCTTGGTTGGTTGTTTGCTTGCTTGCTTGTTTGTTTGTTTGTTTGTGTGTGCGTGTGTGTGCGTGTGTGTGTGTGTGTGTGTGTGTGTGTGTGTGTGTGTGTGTGTGTGTGTGTGTGTGTGTGTGTGTGTGTGTGTGTGTGTGTGTGTGTGTGTGTGTGTGTGTGTGTGTGTGTGTGTGTGTGTGTGTGTGTGTGTGTGTGTGTGTGTGTGTGTGTGTGTGTGTGTGTGTGTGTGTGTGTGTGTGTGTGTGTGTGTGTGTGTGTGTGTGTGTGTGTGTGTGTGTGTGTGTGTGTGTGTGTGTGTGTGTGTGTGTGTGTGTGTGTGGGTGTGTGTGTGGTGTGGGTGTGGGTGTGTGTGTGTGTGTGTGTGTGTGTGTGTGTGTGTGTGTGTGTGTGTGTGTGTGTGTGTGTGTGTGTGTGTGTGTGGGTGGGTGTGGGTGTGGGTGTGGGTGTGGGTGTGGGTGTGGGTGTGGGTGTGGGTGTGGGTGTGGGTGTGGGTGTGGGTGTGGGTGTGGGTGTGGGTGTGGGTGTGGGTGTGCGTTTGTGTGTTTGTGTGTTTGTGTGTTTGTGTGTTTGTGTGTTTGTGTTTGTGTGTGTGTGTTTGTTTGTGTGCTTATGTTTGCTTCTGTGTTTGCGTGTTTGTGTGTGCTCGTGTTTGTGTGTTTGAGTGTTTGTTTGTTTGTTTGTTTGCTTGTTTGTTGTTGTTTCTGTTTCTTTGCTTCTTTGTGTCGTTCTTTTATTTGCTGGTTTGCTTAGAGCCTTGTTTGGGCGACACGCCTCTTTGGAGTTCGCTTTTTGCTGGTGGCTTGACGTCATTCCATGGTCTGCCCACCCCTGTAGCCAGTGCGAAGCAAAGGAAGCCACGGCTGGCTCGGGAAACTCCTCGGGTCGCAGGGTGGTCCTTTTAAGACTGCCTGGTTGGCAAAATGTGTATTCCTGCTTAAGAGTGTAGGTGTCCCTAGGCATGCCAATCTTGTCCCAAAACAGGCACTCTGCATGGATCAGTTTTTGCTGGCCCCTCTTTTGGGACAAGTAAGTCGTTCGGATGAATGTGGGTGTGTTGCTTCAGTTTTCCTGGCTTTCCATTGACACGCGAGACACCACAAAAGTCGAGGAATGGCAAGGGGTGCCTGCTTACTCGGTTTGGGTTGGGGTTGGGGCCCCAATAAGTACAAGAAACTCGAAGGGCAAACGTGCACAGAGCAAGTGGCATTCGGGATTAATCCACCACAGCCGGTAGCGTCAGGTTGCATCCCCACTGATTTGACCAGTCTGTTAACTGCCCCCCTAAAAGCCGCCCCGTCATGGACTGCAACCCATGGCTTAAGGTCAAAGAATCGAGGAGAACAGCTTTGTTTGCGTGAGGCTACGTGTTTTTCTCTTGTTTTCCGCTGGTTTGAAAAAGAGGGATGACACCCCCTGCAAATGTGCATGCCCAGCAAGAGATTCCGATCCTATCAATGGATTGTTTGTTCCGCTAACCCACAAGAGATTAATTATGCGGCAGCTGCGAGGATGTCCGAAAATCGCGACAGGAGAAACATGGGGTCTGTCTCCCAAATGAGGAACATTCAAAATGGGATTTGCTGCTGTCCTTGGTTTTTCCCGCTTGCCAGCCCCCAAACGGGTACCCTCCAAGACAACACGCTCATATCCAATATCCATTTGCTTGCTACTCTTCTTGCGACCTTTTCCCAGCTGAGTGGCGCGGTATGTTCTTCCCTAGGTCCCCCAGTAGTGCCCCTTTACCCTTTTGGGGGTTCCCCTACCAAATTGTCTACAGAAACAGGGTATAAGCTCTCTACTGGAGGAAGTTTCGGTGCACTTCCATCCGGCAACGTCCGATTGTCCGTTCCTTCGGTCCTGCGGGCCTTCGGTTCAGTTGAGCTGCCCGAGCTTGGCGGCGAAGTATCAGTCGCTGCTGCTGGACATCAAGC